CATCTTCTGGAACACAGGGGTCAAACTCACCATGTCACGTGTCGCGACATATTGCGATATTTTTTTTGGGCACTGCCGGAGCTGGGGGTGGGTGCGGCCTTCATATGATGCAACCGGCCCGCGCAGTTGGACACCCGCCCTAGAATGACTGAAATTGATGCGGAGGCTAAAGAGTGAGGTTGCCTCTATTTACATTCATAATGTTTAATATTGTTAGAGAGCCATAGGTAGCTTTGAGGTTGACTTCCTTGTTAAGGCTGTTCATGCTGCTTGTTCTTTGCAAATTCTTTGTCCTATTCCCAGGCGGGGGATGGGTGGGAATTTTTTTTTTTTTTTGCCAGAGACCAGTTGAAACTAAAAAGGGGGCTTTTCTCCCCCCTTTTAAGCTTCTCTTCTAGGAATTAAAATGTACATGTACGTACGTTACAGAGAACTGCAGTAGTCTCCTGTTGGTACACACACTCTGCAGCCATGCAATGCAATTGTTGTACAACCTGTCCCCTCCCCCAGGGTCATACAAAGAAAGGCAGCACTCCCAGGCATCTCTTGCCAACCAAAACACAACTCTGAGAGATAGTTAGAAGGTCGGCAACCCATTAAATGATCAATGGAAAAATCTACTGAACGGCTGGACCAAACACTGGCCAGATAAACTGGCTTTTTACATCCAATCACGCTTGGGCTTGCGTGCAAACTGGCACATTGTGGGAAAAAATAAAATAAAAACCAGAACCTTTTCTGACTCATCTCTAAGCAACAGCACCATGGCAACTTTCTCCAGCATTTAGAAACCTTTTGTGGAAACAGGGGGGGGGGGGGTAGGACAGGAGAGACAGCATGCTGGAATGGCAGCTTTAATTTCCATTTCATTTCCTCCAACCGTTGGGGGCACAGAAGCCCTTTGAATCCCAGGACCCACCAGCAGCCCCCAAAAGCCCAACCGCACAACAATGCTCCCGATTCTTAACCGCCAAAGGATCACCACGGTCGCCCTGTCTCCAAAAGGAAAGTTGAGGCAACTCCTCCGGTTTTATATAAGCACAACCACAATCTACATGATGTATTTTCCCGACCGGATCTTTGTTGCATCCATATTTAAACTTGTGCATGTTTTTTTTTTCCAAATTTTTCTCCCATCACTCTGCTTCCTATTATTTAGCACAAGGCTGTTCTTGCAGATGCAAGAATGAACAGTATTTGCCCCCTCCCCCCCATTTGAAAGGGGATGTCTCTTGTGCATAAGTGTGCTTCGGTTACAACAGCTCTTTTCCAAGTAATCTCCTTCTGCACATTGAGGAAAGCTCTGCAGCTAAGGTGGCGGCAGCAGTAACCAGGCAGCTAGATGAAATCTCTTGTTACGCAGCTCTTGTGATGCTGCTACTGCAGCTTCACAAAGCCCCCCCCCCATGTGCAGCTTGAGATCGTCTCTATTCCTTTCGACATAAACTGGGACCCGGCCGCCATTTTAGAAAGGCATTCATACAAGCCAGCACTGCGCTAAACCCTCCGAGAGGCATGTTGTTCTCTCCAGCAAAAGGAGGATCAAGGAACGGTTTTCTGTTTTAAAAAGCTGGGCTGCCAAAGGATGAATCAGGCTGTGTTGCCAATCACAGCAAGTAGTACAAGACAGTCTCTCTGTGTGTGTGTGTGTGTGTGTGTGTGTGTGTGTGTGTGCATGCACTTTCCTCAAACACCTATTCAAACACACAAACAAAAAACAACACAAAGGAAAGCTGCTAGAAAAGGACCACCTCAGCTCCCAGCAAGACTTATTTTGCATATGGCAACTCCAACACTTTAAAACTGTTTCCCCATCTACTAAATAGTAAGACCAGGATAAAAATCACTTCTGATTTTGTAGCCTGCTTGCCCCAACTCTGAATTATGGGGGTGGGGGAGGAGAAGGAGTGGGAAGCATCTAACATAACACACTAAAGAACCTCTTTGGCACAAAATGAAAATGTATCCTGACCATCAACAAATAAGCTTCCATTTAAGAATACAGGGTAATTTCACTCTTTCCCTAGATTCATCAGTCAAGCTGTTCCCCCATGAGGTAACCAAGCAAGTCTATTTTTCCCATGATGACTCATTCGGTACGCTCCATAATCCTCCTAAACAGTAGGAGGAAAATTACAAGAAAACTCGCAATCCTCTTAAGTCTTTCACTGAAAATAACTTCAGCTGACCCACATAAGGGTCAAGAATGATGCATGTCAGTTTTCCTTCACAATGCCATAATAGGCAAGGCCAGAAACAATTATTTAAGACAGATGTTCCTGCAACTGTTATCTAGAATGTGTCCAATCGCCACAAAAAAAAGCCATCCCGTGAATACACACACGCCTGTGCTCTTAGGCTGCACACATTTTGTCCACATTTTGCTTCTCAACTGGGTGGAATTTAAAAGGCAAACATTCTTGCAGCCAGAAAAGAATATATCACAAATGCAAATAATAGGACTAAAACGACAATTCGGAATTAGCCATCCCGGAAATGCTCCACAGCAATAGAACAAAAGAAGTTGGATTTTTTTTTTTTTTTTAAAAAAAGGGGGATTTAGTCAAAGTTGTGCCTAAATATCCACGCTCCGGATTATTTCTTTCATAATTCCTTCAGAATAAGAAAACAAAGAACCTCAAAATAAACGTTGGCCAGCTCGTGTGAAAAATCCCAAGCCGTCAGTAGTCCGGAGTGCGGAAAGAAAAAGGAAGAAAAAGAAAAATGCAGCCCCGCTTGGAGTAAAAAGTGGTTTCCATCACAACACAGCTCTTTTAATTCCAGTCAGGGACATGAAGGCCAGCGGTGCAGCATCTTTGCTCTCTTGCCCATCTCCTTCTCCGCAGGCAGTCTCTAGAGCTGGAGAAAGACTGCACCTCCTTAGGGAAGTTTTTTTTATCCACACTTCCAAAATGCCCGATGCAGAAAGGAGTCCAGCAGCCTTGCTCAAGAACAAAGCAGCAGCAACAGCAACAGCAGCAGCAGCATCACTTGCATTGTGGGGGCTTCTCCAGCGCTGGAAGAGGTGCAGTGGAGAGGCTTCTGCAGCAGGCGCCAGATGCTCCTGGATGACAGGTTGCCCAGCTCGTCTTCGGCCTGGGCTCCCCAGAGGCCCTCTTAATCCCGGGCCTGCATCGGGTTCCCCAGGCCCTTACACACACACACACACACACACAGAGCCCCCCCCCCCAAGGCTTTACCTGGCGCACCGAGGCAGGGAAGGCCAGGCATTGTGGCGGGGGGGCTCCCTTCCTTCCCTCCCGCCCCCCCTTGGGGCAACTCACCGACCCGCTTCCCCCCCTCCCCCGGAGCAAAGGCCTCCCCGGGCTGGTCCCCCTCCCCTTCCGCCCCGCCCGAGCCCCCCCGGCGGCCCCGCTCACCGCTTGAAGTGCTCGATGATCTTCTCCTCGCGGACGTTCTCCGGCAGGTTGCCCACCCAGAGGTGCCTGGTCTCCCGGACCATGATGCTGCCCCCGGGAGACGGGGGGTCCTGGCGCCGCCCGCCTGCCGCCGCCGCCTCGGCTCGGCTCAGCGCCGCGAGGGGGAGCCGCCGCGCCTCCGCCGCCGCCGCGCTCTTCCGCCGCCGCCGCCGCCGCCTCCCTCCGCGGCGCCGGTGGGGGACACCATCCCACCGGGCCCCGCCGCCGCCGCCGCCGCCGCCACTCCCGCGCCACTTGGCCCCGCGCCGCCGCCGCCGCCGCCTATTGCCGCCGCTGCTCCCGCTCCGGATGCTGCTGCGGGCGGCGATGCCGGTGATAGTGAAGGGGACGCCGCCGGCGCCGCCGCCGCCTCCTCCTCCTCGACCGTCGTGCGCGCGTCCTTCTCGGCGGCGGCGCTGTCGCTGCTTCAGCCCAATTTCTCCTCAGCAGCCGCAGCAGCGCCGCGCGCGGCGTCGCTCTTTCGCCCGCTCGCCCGCCCGCACGGCGCCTGCGCGCTCGGCCGCCGCCGGAGCCAATCCGTCGCCGAGCGCCCGCCTCGCGCCCCCGGGACGCGCCGCCGATTGGGTGGCGGGAAGCGCGCGTCGGGCGGCGGGAAAGGGCGGGGGAGGCGAAGGGGAAGAGCGTGCGCAAGCGCTCTGGAGACTTCTTTTTTCTTCCAGGGGAAACAGGAGAGATTGCTCCAGCAGGCGGCGGGGGGGGGGAAAGAGGAGGGGGGAAGCGGTGAGAGAATCCTGTTCTCCATACGCCTCTCGGGCGGCCAGCGCGCACGCGCAGCACGCGCTCCCCGAGCGGGGGGGGGAGCTTTTCATCTGCGCGTGCGCTATGGGGCACTACTGCCGCCGCTTCTCATTAGCGTCAATGTCGGGGTGGGGGGGGGGATTGTTTCAGTGGGTGCGATTCACAAGTTCTGCACGCTCGCGCGCGTCCCGTCTGTGGCGACGTACTCGCGTATCCGGGATCCGCGTCCTCAAGTTATTGCCTCCCTTCTGGGAACGGAGCTCCGGCTCCCTTTCGGCCCCTCCCGGCCTTTCGGCCCCTCCCGAGCTCAGCGGGCTCTCAACTCCAGCTCCCATGCTCCGCAGCCCAGGCCCTTGAGTCTCCCGCTCCTCCCCGTGCGGCCTGCGCGACTGATTCTCGGTCCCGTCAGCAAGGCTCTGGCAGGCCCGGCGAGCGCAGTGGAGGCTCGGCCGACCCCTTGCCCGGAGGAGGGGGATCGGGAGGAGCTGGAGGACGAGGGGGCGACCGGGAAGGGCCGGCCGTTCTCTGCCCCGCGGCCCCGGGAAAGGCCGCCCCGCCCTCGTTAAGGGCGCCATTTTGTCGCCGCTGCCTGGCCGGGCGGCCAGTTTGTGACACCGGGGCGCCGCGGCTGCCTTTCCTCGCGCGTCCAGCAGGGGCGCTGTACACTGAGGGGCGCCGCTCCCCCAGCCCGATCGCCGCCGCGGCTTCCCCCCCCCCGAGTCAAATAAGGGGGGGGTCTCCGGACCCCCTCCCCGAGGATGCGTTTCGGGGAGGCCCTCCCCCCGAAACGGGCGTCCCGTAGATTTTGGTGCGAGGCTTCGATGCTTTTTAAAGCTTTTATTTGCGATGGTGTTTAATTGCACCCCGGTCAACCAAGATGCTTGCGAGGAATCCCGTGTCCTGCTCGGAGACTCGTCGGGACTGTCTGGAAAACACGCGTGGGGATTCGACCCCTCCCCGACCCCGGACAGGCCCTGCCTTTCTCGGCCGCCGCGTGTGGCTGGGAATCGCAAAAAATGGCTTTCATGTCCACGGAGATGGATTCTCAACTATCCCCTTCATGGTGGTCCCAAAAGGGGGGGGGGGTTCAAACTTGGCAAAGCTGGCTGAGGAATTCTGGGAGTTGAAGTTCACAAAGGGCCGAAGTTGAAGACCCCCTGCAAAAAGTGCTTTTCCAAAAGGCGGCTGGATTTACTTATTTATTTTGGATTTTTTATTTTTATTTCCCCCCCCCCCTTCCTTGGAAACTTTTCGCTTCTTGGATGGGAGAAGCGAAACGTTTTCCAAGGGAGGGGGAAAAAAAAAATAAACAAGGAAGTCCAGTTGAAAAGGACCTTTGGGGCAAATGGCTTTAAGCAGCCGCTCTGTTGTCTGCCGGCTCCCAGGCGGTTTATGATAAAGGCTGCAGGTCATCGGGCCTTTTGTCCGACGGGGGGAGAGGCTGCCCGGCCCCCCCAGTCTCAAAGAAGGACTGAAGCATCTGAGGGAGCCCCCAAAAGAGCCCATTCCTCTCCCCCTCCAGCTGTGGCCCTGGAGAGCACTTAGCCAGAGGCAGCACAAGTGGAGCAGTCAGCAAGATGCCGCCCCTTGCTTGGGGGGGGGGGAGGAAAAGCCAGCAAAAATGGGGAGCCAATTTGGGGACCCCTTTCCCTCCGTCGGCATGCTGGCCACAACTGACAAAACCAAAGGGAAAAATGCTTAAGGGTTTGCCCAAGAATCAAAAGCCTCCCCCCCCCAACGTGTCTGTATTCCGTACACTTTTCCCAAAAATTCCTTTCTGTCCTTCAAGGGGGGAGAGCCCCACCTGCCCCCTCCCCAGTATTTTAAGCCCTGCTTGGCTAGCAGCAGCCACGTCTTTCTGACTGGCAGGGAGGGCCAGAGCTGCGCTGCCCCCTAGTGGAGGAGATGGGTACTAACAGGAGAAGTCCACTGAACTTCTGCTCGTGTGTCCGCCAAGCCTTTTGTGTGATCTGGCTGCTGGGCTGGACTCAAAGAAGGGGCTTTTTTTGGGACACAAAGGGCAGGATTAGGGCCTGCAGGATTACAGCACCCTCAGCTCCCTCCGTTTGGGCCCAAAACACAATGGAGTTGCCGCTTGGCAATTTGCAAGCATGGACTTGCTCCATGTCCTGGTCCTCTGTGTTGGCTCAGGCCAGGCGCTCCTCAGAGGCGCGGCTGCCACCTGCCCCCACCCTGAGGCAGAGCTAGGGGGGGAAGCGGGGAGGGCCAGCCAGCTGTCAAACACAGCTGGACTACTAAGCACTCTGACTCTCTCCTCTCCTGGCCTGGGAAAGCAGCTTTCCTGCAGGCTGAATCCCGGCTCCTGCGGCACCTCCATCAACAAGGAGAGCAGAGCACTGTCCCTAGCCGGCAGACTTCAGCAGAGGGCTGGGGTAGGGGGGGGCAGGAGCACGGCGTCTTTGGTCTGTGTTGGGGAGGGGCAGGAGCACGGCATCTTTGGTCTGGTGGAAGAGTGGCAAGTCCAATTTGCAAGGAGGGCTTCGCTCTCGGTCCCTGGCCCACTCCCCACGGAAGGAAAACATCGCAGACAGAACAAGGGGAGGAGGCAGCTGGAGCACTGGACTAGCCCTCCTGGGCCCACTTCCAAGAGCGATCAGCATCCGTCTCCGCAGCAGGAGGACCCCGGGTCTGCCAGACGTAGCAGGCTTGGCAAAAGAGGCGGCTGCCAAGAGGGTAACACCCGTCCTCCGTGGGCTCCAGCGACAGCAAGACCTGACACTTCTACGGGTCAAAAGAAACGAGCGTCAGGGCTGCCTCCTTGCGCCCCCCCCCCCTCCGGGCTTGCTTGCTTTCAAACCCTCATCCCCTTTGCCAAAGAACACTGTGGGGTAAGGGGGGGGGAGCACGCTTTCCCAGTCACTGAAACCCTCCACCATTAGGAAAGGGAGTTTCCGGAGCAAGAAAACTGACTCGGTTTACAGATTTCTCACCAAGGAGAGGCCCCCTGACGATGCTGGCTTCTTTGCCTCAGCATCCTTCCAAAAAAGGCTTCCAAGGCCCCCGCCTGCTTCGCCAAGTTCCCCAGACCCACCTCGCACCGGTAACAATCCTCGTGGAAGCTTCTCCCCAGGCACTCGATCTTGTAGGCGTCCCTCCCGTCCCGCGGGATGATGGGCTCCTCACAGACGCCACAGATGGGAGCAAACCTCCTGGAAGGCAGGCAGGCAGGCAGGCAGCTCAGCCATCTAATTCTCCGGCCTTTCGTCCCTGCTTTCCTCCCGCCGCGCCCTCTTCCACCCGCTGCAAGGCAGAGAAGCTACGGTGCTGTACCTGTAAAAGTCCGGGAGGCAAAGAGCCTGGTGCTCGTCATCCACGGCAAAGGCGTCGCTGCCAATCTGGCGGCTGCAGGCCACGCAGGTGAAGCATTCCGGGTGGTATCCCTTCCCCAGAGCCCACACAATCTCATGGAGGATGAAGTCTTGACAGGCATCGCACTTCTCCAGGGTCTCCTGGGGTGGGCAGAGGCGAGACCCAGAAAGACGAGAGGCAAGCATGATCTTGGGGGCCTCTTGGATCTAAAGTGTTTCCTCCTCCTCCTCCCTCCCCCCCATCTGTGCCAGGCTTGGCCACTGCCTAGGCCAAGGAGAGGCAACCTTGGCTCTTTTATGACTCGTGGACTTCAATTCCCAGAATTCCTGAGCCAGCCTTGCTCAGCTTGGAAACCTCTCCCTTTCCCCTCAGCGTGGCTGGCTCAGGAATTCTGGGAGTTGAAGTCCACCAGTCATGAAGGGGGCCATAGTTTCCCCATGCTGGCTGAGGAATTCTGGGAGTTGAAGTCCACAAGTCATAAAAGAGCCAAGGTTGCCTACCCCTGGCCTAGTCTGTGCAGCCATTAGGTCTACAGTAAGGCTCGTTTAGAGCAGGGATCTTCAAATTTGGCCCTTTTATGACTGGTGGACTTCAACTCCCAGAATTCCTCAGCCAGCCTCCATTTTGTTTGTTAGATTTAACAGGGGTCTTCAAACTTGGCTCTTTTATGACTGGTGGTGGCCAGCCTTCAACTCCCATGAATTCCGCAGCCAGCATCTTCAAACTTGGCTCTTTTATGACTGGTGGACTTCAACTCCCAGAATTCCGCAGCCAGCCTGGCTCAGCTTGGAAACCTCTCCCTTTCCCCTCAGCCATGCTGGCTCAGGAATTCTGGGAGTTGAAGTCCACCAGTCATAAAAGAGCCCAGGTTGCCTACCCCTGGCGCCCTAGGCCTTACCTGATAGCAGGCCGTGCACAAGGGCCGGCCCTCTTTCTGGTAGTAGCTCTTCCCCGCAAGGCTGCTGTGACAGGTCCGGCAGGTGAAGCATCTGACATGGTACTGCTTCCTCATGGCTTCGAGAGCAAGAGCATCGGGCGAGATGCCCTTATGGCAGAAAGCGCAAATATCTGGGAAAGGAATGAAGCGGACCGAGAGAGGGTGGATCGCCCGGTCAGCCGGGGTCAAGTCGCCTCCCTGGGACACCGAGCGGGAGACCTCTCGGTGGGGACAGGGGGCAGCTCCTCACCTGGCGCTGCAACCTCCTCCTGCGCCTGTCCATCTGTCCAGCCGAGAGGAGAGGCCGGCGGAGGCTCTTCCACTCCAGAAGTCTGGAAAAAAAAATAAAAAAACAGACCGAGTTTCGCAGTCTGTCTGCCCGAGGGGATTCCTGCAGCAATTTAACAATTGTGGGTCAAGGGTGGAGGACTTTAATTAAAGATTCCTTCCCCTTCAATACTGGGAAGTCTTTCTTGGGGTTTTCTTTTTTTTGAAGCTGCAACATTTGTGTGTGTGTGTTGGTGTGTGTGTGTTGAAATGCGGCCTGGAGCCTCTCTAAATGGCCTCAAGGCCAGTTCTTCTCCCTCTTTCATTTAAAAAAAAACAGGCATGGATGGCGTGATTAAAGGGAAGGTTCCCGGTGAAGGATCCAGGCTATGGCCAGGCGGCCATTACAGTATATTAAAAAGTTTACGGCTACCGTGGAGCCTGTGTTTTAATTCTGCTCCCAAGCCAGCTGCCAGACTCCAAAAGGAAAAGCTGAAGATTGACCCTCTGCGGAAAAAGGATAATTACCTGCAGGGGGGAGGGCAAGGCGGCAGCTCCCTTCTGCAGACCGGGGCCCAGGGTCTCCACTGGGAGGGCAGCGGACGGCTGCAGAGACCTCAGGACAGCTTCCACAGAATGAGGGGGGTCCAGAGGTGGTGCCAGCCGGGCAGAGGAAACTGCAGGAAGGAAGGAGCTTATTCTTCAGCCAGATCCTCGTGGGTCCATCCAGGGCCCCCCAGCCAGAGATTCCCCACGGCTGAAGGTTCCCCACTTCTGCTCCCACTCTGGACCGGGACCACATTCGGGGCCCGGGGCCCAAGGACGACAGGAGCCTCACCTGCACCCGGACTGCTGCTGGCCCCCCTCCCCTCTTTACGAGGGACCAGCTTCTCCGTGGGAAGGACCGGCGGGGCCTTCGCAGGACCCCCGCAGCCCCTCCGGGGTGGCGCAAGGATGATGAAGATGGAGGAGACCATGCGCTTCTCCGCCTGGTGCGAGAGCATCCCCACCTGAGAAAAAGGGGGAACCCTGGCAGGCTGGAGGCAACCTCAAAGGGGGCTATCTCCCTCCAAGCCCCCCCCCCACCTCCCTCCATCCCAGCAGAGGAAGCCACAAAAGCCTGAAAGGGGGGGGGGGGTTAAGGGAAACATAAACGTTGCCAACCCCCCCCCCAGCCCTTGCTGACTCCCCCCTCCTTTTCTTCTGGGTCCAGAGCTTTGGGGGGGGGGCTCGTCTCCTCCGAGGCTCAAAAGGGCAGGGAAACCCCCCCCTCCTCGTGGAGAACAAGCGCCCAGCTCCCCCCTCCCTCCCTCCCACCCGGCCCCAGCCCCTCTCCCCCGAAGCCTCCCCAAGCGCCCCATGCAGGAACAAGGGGCAGCGCGCGTCGGCCGCTCCCGGCCGTTGCCTTCCTTCCTTTCCCGACCGGCTGTTCCCCGGGAGGCCAACGGGACGGCCCCGCTCGGCTCCCGGGGGACTTTCGGGAAGGGGAAGGGGGCGCGCAGCCCCTGCGGACCCTCCTTGCAAGCAGGAGCGCTGCCCGCCCGGCCTCTCCGCCCTTCTTCCAAGCGGGGAAAATGGGGGGGGGGGCGTGGGGCGGCTTCCCCTGCAAGCATCTCGTCCCGGGACGGGCAAAAGAGAGCGGACCCCGGGCGACCCTGACCGCCGCCCTCGACCTCACCTGGAAGCGGCAGCGACGGCGGGCGGCTGCTTCTCCCTCCGGCCGTCGCTCACAACACACACCTTCGCCTGCCTGCCTGCCGGGGGTCGAGCAGCCGCGCCCCGCCCCGCCGCCGCCGCCGTGGCCGTAAAAGGCGAGGGGCGTCTGCGAGAACGCGGCGCTTTCTCCTACCTGCCGGGCCCTCCCGCGCCCCGCCTCCCCTACTGGAACTCGCCGCGCCCTCCCTGCCTCCTCCCTTCCCTCCCTTCCCCTTGCTGGGGTCCCGGGCTCTCGCGGGCCCCCTCTGGCTTCCCAAGCAGAATCCCCCCCCCCAACAGCTGAGACTGCCCGACCCAGCATCCTCCCCCCACCCAGGGCAGGAGGCAACAAGTCCCATCATCCTGGACCTCTCCAGAGGCGTCACTGACTGAGCCAGGAAGGAGAGCTGTTGGATGGGGCTGCCTGGCTCAGCAGGGGACCACCCCCCCCCCCGTTCCCCACCTTGGGGGGAGACCTCTGGCATCCATCTCCCCCCCTCCTCCTTTGAGAGATTGGCAAGATGTCTTCCCTTGGGTCTCTTTTTCGCGACGGGTTGCGCCGCTGTTTCGCAGGACCTTTTACTGGAGCCGAGGGAAAAGCCTTAGCGAACCACCCAACCAAGGTGGGGAAAGGAAAAGACCCACGTCAACGTCGTTGTCATCGGCCATGTCGATGCTGGGTAGTCCACCACCACCACCACCACCACCACCACCACCACCACCACCACCACCACCACTGGTCATCTGATTGACAAATGGTGGTGGGATGGACAAGGGCGCCATTGAGACGTTTGAGAAGGAAGCTGCCGTGGACGGGTAAAGAGGCTCCTTCAAGTATGCACGAAGGCAGAACGTGAACGGGGCATCGCCCTTGACATTTCACTCTGGACATTTGAAACCGGCAAGTATTGTACGTCACTGTCGTTGATGCTCCTGGACGCAGAGATTTCATCAAAAACATGATTTTTACTAGGCCTCGGTAAGGCCACACTTGGAATACTGCATCCAGTTTTGGTCACCACGGTGTAAAAAAAGTGTTGGGACTCTAGAACAGTGATGGCGAACTTTTTAGAGACCGAGGGCCCAAACTGCAACCCAAAACCCACTTATGTATTGTCGGGTGCTGGGTGGGTGTGGCCCATTGGGTGGGTTGGCCCATTGGATGGGCGTGGCTGCGGTGGTAACAGACTGGGTGGGACTAAAAAGTTCAATCAATCAATTCCAACTTTGCAAGATCTTTTTTTTTCCCGCGAGTTGAAATTGACTGATTGATTGAACCTTTTTTTTTTGTACACGGCGGCGGAGGCCTAAAGCGAAAAGGTTTTATAAAACCCAGCTGAAGGCCTAGGACTGGGGCGATGGCGTGCGTGCCCACAGAGAGGGCTCTGAGTGCCGCCTCTGGCACCCGTGCCACAGGTTCGCCACCACTGCTCTAGAAAGAGTAGAGAAGAGCAACAAAGATGATTAGGGGACTGGAGGCCAAAACATAAGGAACGGTCACTGGAATTGACCATGTCTAGTTTAATGAAGAGAAAGACGAGGGGGGACATGATAGCAGTGTTCCAATATCTCAGGGGCTGCCCCAAAGAAGAGGGAGTCAAGCTCTTCTCCAAGGCACCAGAAGGCAGGACAAGAAGCAAGGGATGGAAACTAATCAAGGAGAGAAGCAACCTAGAACTAAGGAGAAACTTCCTGAGAGTGAAAACAATTAACCAGTGGAACAAATGGTGAATGCTCCAACACTGGAAGTTTTTAAGAAGAGACTGGACAGCCATTTGTCTGAAATGGTATAGGGTTTCCTGCCTGAGCAGGGGGTTGGACTAGATGACCTCCAAGGTCCCTCCCAACTTTATTATTATTATTATCTCAGGCTCACTGTGCTGTGCTAATTGTTGCGGCTGGCGTTGGCAAATTTGAAGCAGGTATTTCCAAGAATGGACAAACTTGTGAGCATGCCCTTCTGGCCTATACTCTGGGCGTAAAACAGCTTGTTGTTGCACTCAACAAGATGGATTCCACTGAGCCACCTTACAGCCAGAAGAACTATGAGGAAATTGTCAAAGAAGTCAGGACATACATAAAGAAAATCGGCTACACTCCAGATACGGTGGCCTCTGGGCTAATTTCAGGCTGGAACGGAGATAACGTGTCGGAACCTAGCTCTAAGATGCCCTGGTTCAAAGGGTGGAAGGTGACTCATAAAGATGGTGGAACTACACGGCTCGAAGCTCTGGACTCTTACCTTGCCATCAACCCGTCCAGCTGACAAACCTCTCTCTTAACGCCTGCCACTTCAGGATGTCTACCAAATTGGCGAGATTGGTACCGTTCCAGTCGGTCGTGTGGAAGCTGGCATTCTAAAAGCAGGCATGGTGGTGACAATGAACCTCTTCCCAGGCCCCAATAAAGCTTCCAGCTGGCCATTCAAGCTGAGGAGCCCCCCCCTCCCCACCCCCAAGGCCCCAGTCAGAAAAATGTAAAGGGGAACTTGAACCTGCCAAGGACCTAACTGGGGCTAACTGGGGCAAACAACTCAGCCTTCTTAGTTCCTAGTTTACAAGAACATAAAACGAGGGAGGGAGGCCTGCAAGTTACTCTTGACCAGTGGTTCTCAACCTTTTTAATGCCACGATCCCCAACCGGTCGTAAGTCGAGGACTACTCAACCGGTCGTAAGTCGAGGACTACTCAACTGGTGCAGCCCCGTTTGCAGACTGGGACTTTTGGCGGGCTCAGCAGGGCAGAGACAGCCTGGACAATTCCTATTGGCTTTGGAAAGCCAATAGAATTAGACTCTATTCAAGAGAGTCTATTCTATTGGCTTTCAAAAGCCAATAGAATAAAAGGGAGTAGCACAGCTAAGGAAAAGGGGGAAAAAAAATGGCGGACTGCGTTGTTTGGCGACCCCCGTGAAATGGTCGTTCGACCCCAAATGGGGTCCCGACCCACAGGTGGAGAATCGCTGCTCTTGACAGTCAAAAGTCCCTGGGGGGGTTAGTCTGGCCCATCTCGTGGGGCCGACCCCTTGGAAAGGAGCTTGGGGACGGGGGTCTGCTGCCGCCCCTCCCAGCGGCTTACCTCTCTCCCGAGAGGAACCTTTCGGTCACGCGATCCAAGGCCTCCAAGAGTCGCTCGTGTCCCACTGCTCCTGCTGGCCGGACCCCAGTTGTGCCCAGAGGATGCAGGGCATCGCTGTCCTGGGCGAGAGTATGTGGGCCTGATCCTCACCCATCCTCTGGTGGTCCGGCCCCGTCTACTGGCCAGGGACACCCCAACTGAAGTGGGCACCGCAGTTCAGGTTCTCTTTTGCACCGACAAGGCTGAACAGTGGTGGGAAGTGAGCATCAAGCAAAGCCTTCCGGAGTGCATCTGAAGAGGGGAGAGCAGGAGGGGCCGGGCAGAGATTTGCCCCTCTGTGTGTGTGTGTGTGTGTGTGTCAGGACAGTGCCTGAGGACTCCCCCAGGGCAGCCGAGGCTCAGCGTGACATCAACCCAGCCGGCTCCTGTTGGCTTTTTTCAGCCACTAAAACAGTGGTTCTCAACCTGTGAGTCGGGACCCCATTTGGGGTCGAACGACCATTTCACGGGGGTCGCCAAACAACGCAGTCCGCCATTTCCCCCCCCCTTTTCCTTAGCTGTGCTCCTCCCTTTTATTCTATTGGCTTTGGAAAGCCAATAGAATAGACTCGCTTGAATAGAGTCTAATTCTATTGGCTTTCAAAAGCCAATAGGAATTGTCCAGGCTGTCTCTGCCCTGCTGAGCCTGCCAAAAGTCCCCTTCTGCAAACGGTGCTGCGCCGGTTGAGTAGTTCTCGACTTACGACCGGTTGAGTAGTCCTCGATTTACGACCGGTTGGGGGGTCGCGGCATTAAAAAGGTTGAGAACCACTGCACTAAAAGAAGGCAGATTTCCCAGCCTCCCCCCTCCCCATTCCCTCCCTAGCCTCCTGCCCCTGAGGTCTGACTCTGCAGACTGGCAAAAGCCACCCAAATTGACCCAAGACTGCCACCTGCTGGACAAAACCAGCAGGGAGAGGGAGATGCATGTCCTTCCCCAGGTAGGACGGGCTGGCGAGACAGTCGGTCACACCTCGGGGGTCAGAGGTTACCGCCGAGGAAAGGAAACCAGCCCTTTCATCTATAAGCAACCTTTGGGGGCCATGCCTGCCCGTCCCCCCCCCATCCTGCCTTTGATGGGGACAGCCTCTGACACTGGGGGGGGTGTTTCTGGAAAGCAGTGAGGATGGGAGCCCTGTGTCCCTTTGAGGCTCGTGCGTTGTTATTCGGCGCTAGGAGCAAACACTGCAGGGGTGGAGGGGTGAAAGGCAGCCACCAAAACAGTGAAGCCGTTTGGGGGGGGGAGCAACGGCACCCAGGGCCAGAAGCCGGTTAGGTTTTTCCACGGACCGGAGAGTGCGTGGTTTTGTGTGCTGCCTGCATCCCACGGATGGAGCTTTGCTTGTTTGTGCGGCCCAGTCCCGGTCCACAGACTGGGGGTTGGAGACCCCTCCTCTAGGGAACAATGGAAAGGCCCGGCAAAGCAGCTGGAACTGCTCCCAAGCGGAAACTGACCTTTCTAGAGCCAGAGCAGCAGAAGGCAAGCCAACATGCCCGCAACAGAGTTTCCACAAAGCCCTGGCCTTCCTGGTTTCCTGCCTGAGCAGGGGGGGGGGTCAGACTAGAAGACCTTCAAGGTCCCATCCGACTCTGTTCTCCTGGGGGAAACAGACCCAGGCAGAAGCCACCAATCTGCAGGACGGACGGAAAGAGCCCGTCCAGATTAAAAAATTCACCAAGCAAGAGAAAGCACAGTCAGGCCAGGATTCCTGCATCCACAAAGCCATCAATCCAGACCGTCTGTTGCCAAAGGAGCCCCCAAAGGCATCAAAGCATTCCCCCCCCCTTGTCCCCCCCCATGGGAGATGCCAAGCTCCAGTGTGGGAAAAGCTTTCCAGACTCTGCAAGACTTCATTAATTCACTTCACAGGGAAAGATGTTCCGATGCTGCATTCAGAGCTGGTGGAGAAGCCGTACAGAGGCCTGGAGTGGAAGGAAAAGGGACTTGGGGCGGGGGGAGAAGGGATGTGGTGGACCTTGCAGTTCACTGGGGGGGGGGCTGTTAGGTACAGTAAGCCTGTTTATTGGACAGATGGATGGAGCACGGAAGAAATAGAGGCACGCAGGGCAAAAACCTTTCTGAGCCTGGCACCCAGGAAGAGCTTCACGTGGCAGGTACAGCTGTGCGCCCATCACCTTGGTGAGGACCCGTTGAGTGGGTGGAGGGGGGGGGAGAACGGGCTTAAGCCCAGTGCCAGCCATCCAGAAAAAGCACCACAAATGCATGGAGTGCAGGAAAAGATGGAATAGCCAACGCCTTACAAGGCATAGGACAGGGGTCAGCAACCTTGGCTGTTTTAGGACTCGTGGACTTCAACTCCCAGAATTCCTCAGCCAGCATGGGGGAACTATGGCCCCCTTCATGACTGGTGGACTTCAACTCCCAGAATTCCTGAGCCAGCCATGCTGAGGGGAAAGGGAGAGGTTTCCAAGCTGAGCCATGCTGGCTGAGGAATTCTGGGAGTTGAAGTCCACGAGTCATGAGGGGGCCATTTCCCCCATGCTGGCTCAGGAATTCTGGGAGTTGAAGTCCACCGGTCATAAAGGAGCCAAGGTGGCCTACCCCTGGCATAGGACAGCCCCCACTTGCTCCAAAACCCACTGTGGGCTGGTGGAGGAAAGAGCTGCAGGCCGTCTTCCCATTGAGGGTGGGGGCATGTGGGGAAGCCATTCCAGATCCCAGGCCCGCCCACGGGGGACACTCCGCAAGGCCCCCTTCCAAAGAAGGATCCCTCCAAAGAGATCCTGCAAAACTCACTGTGCCTGAAGAGGTCCAGTTGCATCGGGAGAGCGGAAATTGGCGTGGAAACCGACACGAGAAGAAAACAAAACAAAAATCCGATTTCTCTCGCCGTCCTTTTTATTTTACTTCCTACATTTGCAGGCTCAACCGCCGCTGCATCCTGCTGGAACACAAGGCCGCTAAAAGGCAGAGATTCTTTTCCTGTCTAACGAGACCAGAGAAAATTAACCGGCCTTCGCATTTCAGTTTGAGCAAAGCCTTGCTCACCACTGTCTGAAATAAAACCGCCTTCATCACTTTCCCCCCACGGGGGGGGAACTTTAAAACAGTGGTTCTCAACCTTTCTAATGCGGTGACCCCATAATACAGTTCCTCATGTTGTGGTGACCCCCAACCATTTATACATCACCGGGTCCCAGGGGCGCGGCCAAAGAAAAGGGGGAAAAAATGGTGGACAGCCTTGTTTGGTGACCCCCGTGAAATGGTCGTTCGACCCCAAATGGGGTCCCGACCCACAGGTTGAGAACCACTGCCTTAAAGCCTTAGCCGGGAGAACAGAGAGTGAAACGGGCAAGGGATGAAGACCCACCTGCCACTTCCTGTGGGTGGAGGGTGGGGGGAATACGGTGCTGGAATCAAGCCCGCGATGCACAAAGCAGGTGGCAGCCTTCGCCACGGGGCGGGGGGGGGACAGGGGGCCCATCTGACCCACAGACTCTCCTGGGTCAGCCCAGGCTCAGCTCCCTTTAGCCGGGAACCCTGGCACCCAGAATGGGAGCGATTCCTCCATTCGTCCCCCAGGTCTCCGGCACCTCCCCTTGGCCCGAATTAACTCCCCTTGCCACTGATCAACCAAAGCCAACCTAACCCAGCCCGCTTTGGCCTCTCTGCCATCCCGGAAAGGCAGACCGGAGAGGGAATTGCTGAAGGGGGTAGCGCTGCCACGGCACCGAGAGGGAACCCACCAACCCTTTGGCCCCAAAGCTGGACCGCCCAGAAGGAGCTGGGCTTGTGGCCTACAGTCTCTAGGCTGGGCCCTTGTTGTGAGGCTTCTCTTTTTTTTCAGGACGTGACCTCTGTCGCTGCTGCTGCCGCCGCCAGAGATCTTGAGGGCTCTTGGCGCTGACCGCGAGGTGGACCAGATGCAGATGCCACGAGAGGGGGATGCTCATCCTGAAATGGAAAGCAATGCAAACTATATGGAAGGGCCGGCTTCCCTCCGACAGCGCCCGGACCCTCAGCACAGGAGGCCTCTTGCCTATGTCCGTCAGAACGTCCAGACTTTGGGCTGGAGGGGGGGAGGGAGAGCAACCCCCCCCCATGCTGAGCTCATGAGGACCCCACAGCGATGGCCTGCTCACACCTTGAGCCCCATTGAAAGGGAACTTCCCCGATGCCAGCAGAGATGCAGCTGAGAGGTTGGGCTGCTTCTGTCCACAGTCCAGCCTCTTCCTCCTCCTCCTCACCTGCTCCCTGCACACCTCCAGCATGGATCTGGTCTGGGTCAGGCACCAGATCTCCCCCGCCAGCGAGATGAGGATGTTCACGATGTCCCTCCACTGGCCCACCGTCATCAGCAGGACCAGGAGGCCCCCCATCCTGACAAAGACGGTCTGGAAAGCCATCGACTGGGTGGGGTTCTGGTGCTGCTCCTCTGTCGGTCAATGAGCCGGAAGGAAGTGGGTCAGCGGGAGGAGCTGGGCACTGCCTTCCCTGGAGGTGGGGGAGATTGGCCCCTGCTCAGGAAGGATCCCCCCCAATGCCCCAGGGAGGGGCAGGGTCTGCAGGCCGGCCTGCTTTCCCTGGGGCCAGAGTCGGTGTTCGCCAAACCGGAAACCACTCACCCTGCATGTAGATGACCAGAAGCGTGTAGCAGATGGTCAGCGGCGTCCAGAAGCGGATGGCCTCCGAGGTCGAGAGGAAATCCCGGTTGATCAGAGCCACGGCTGCCAAGTCGGCCACCCCAAAGGTCACCCGGAGGGCGTGGCAGAGCATCCGGGGGATCCCGTGCCACGTGGTGAGGAGGAAGAGGCAGCCTCCGCAGTAGCGCTCCTTGCAGTGCAGCTCGTACATGGTGGAGACGTGCCAGGCCAGGCGCCAGACGTAGTGGGTCAGGAGCAGGGCCAGCCCCACGGCCAGGAGGAGGTTCCAGGTGCGACGAGGCGCTCCTTCCTGCAGGTAGCCCAGGCTGCAGGAGACGCCGCAGCCCAGCGAGTATTGGCAGAGCAGGTAGAGCTGGCTGCTGAGGGCCCCCTGGAGAGCAAGAAGCGGGCACAAGCCCCCTTGGTACACGGAAGCCTAGTTAGCCACCCGCCTGCCCAAAAGAGCTCGGGGCAGCACACACAATAAAAAGACCCCTGGAAACCACGCCGTGCTAGTGTTGAGGCGCTGATGAAACTGGCATCTGTCCAGCGACACCCCCTTCACCAGTGCCACCTGCGCCCCTGAATCCACCTGCCATTATTCACAGAAGCTGCTCGTAAAGCAGAGGTCAGGGCGCAGCTGGTACCCCTCCCTCCGAGGCGGCACCAGCAAGGGCCCCTGGAGCGTGCACAGTGCAGGACGTCTTTGTGCCCACCCAATGGGGAGAGACACAAGGGGTACTATGGGGAGTGTGGCTGGTGAAGCCTCAGGTTGTCCCACCCCCCCATTCCAATGGCGGGTGGGGGGACAGAAAGCAAGGGAGCCATCGGCCACCTCCTGGCAGAAACAAGGGGGCGGAGTAGAGGCGTTACTCTCCTGAGCAGGAATTCGGCGCCAATCAAGTGGCCCTGAAGCTGGCATTGGCACCACTTTTTCTCCGGCCGTCTTTGCCCCTCACTCTGCCCTGCCCTGGGTTCTGCCCACTCCCCCCCCTCCCGGCCCCGATGGAGAAGCAGGAAGGAGACGGGCCACCTTGTTGAGAGAGAGGATGGTGGACACCGCCCGGAGGGAGAACTCCAGGACGATCAGGGCGGCCACCCGGTGCCCCACCAGGGTGAAGATGGCCGTCAGCACCACGAGATGGAGCCGGTCGAGGAAGGGCTGGTGGTGCCGGAGAGCCTCCTTCTCCTTCTGCCTGTCGGGGTCACTGAGAGGACGAAGGGGAAAAGCCAGGTGGGGCAGCCGGACCAGTGCCCCATTCCTGCACAGCCTCTAGGGCTCAGGCAAAGGGTCAGCCACCAGCCGTGGGAGGTGCCCGGGGTGGTGGCGGGCTGAACCGAGTTGCAGAATGTGGCCTTGGGGCCCTGGAGCCCCCTCCTTTCCCCAGCCCGGGGCCCTCCCAGCAGACACTCACTTCAGGCACCGGATGTAGAGGTAAATCCTCATCAAGCTGCCCAAGATGCAGACGGCACAGGCCCCCACCAGCCCTGCAGGGAAGCAAAAGGTCAGCCAGGAGGGAAGGAGGGAGGGACCGTGGGGAGAGGGAGGGAGTGGAGGGGGGGGCGAGGAAGCTAACCCTGCAGGAGGGAGTCCACAAGGCTGGAGGTCCAGGCCAGCGGGAAGAAACTCAACAGCCAGGAGAGCATTGTGGCCCGTGCTGCACCCAGGCTCCTCTCCAAGGCCTCCGAGGGACGGCACAGGAAGGACCTTGAGCCCAGAGTGAGCAAATAAAACGGGGAGTGTGTGGGGGGAAGCAGTGGGCAGGCTGGCTCAGCCTTTTCTTCCCTGGGAGAGGAGGGAGGCCCTCCCAGCTAGCAGGACGTGGAGGGCACCTCCGCTGCCTGGGAAGACACCTCTGCTCACTCCGCGCCCGTCCAAGGCTCTGCTCTTGCAGGCTGGGGATGATGGAACGGCAGGGAAGTTGACTCAAAATTCTTTCCACCTGAAGCACAGGGGAAGCACAGGGGTGGAAGGCCTTCCTGGCCCCAGAGGGCAAGATGTGGGGGCCAAAAGAACAGACCCCCTTTTGCAGCTGTTTAGGGCACAGGAGTCACGGAATCAGACACACTAAGCAGGCAATCAAACACGTGCATGTGTATGTGTGTGTGTGTGTGTCCCCAGTGCTCTGAAGACCACAAAGTGCTAAAGACCGAGACAATTACATCCTGGGTCTAAGGTCCACAGCTGCCTTCTGCCCCAGTATTCGTGAAACGCCCCTTAAGGGCTGCCTCGGATGGGAAGCACCGATGCGTTTAGCCCAGTGGTTCTCAACCTGTGGGTCGGGACCCCATTTGGGGTCGAACGACCATTTCACGGGGGTCACCAAACAACGCAGTCCGCCATTTTTTCCCCCTTTTCCTTAGCTGTGCTACTCCCTTTTATTCTATTGGCTTTTGAAAGCCAATCGAATAGACTCTCTTGAATAGAGTCTAATTCTATTGGCTTTCCAAAGCCAAGAGGAATTGTCCAGGCTGTCTCTGCCCTGCTGAGCCCGCCAAAAGTCCCCTTCTGCAAATGGTGCTGCACCAGTTGAGTAGTCCTCGACTTACGACCGGTTGAGTAGTCCTCGACTTACGACCGGTTTGGGGGGGGGTCGCACCATTAAAAAGGTTGAGAACCACTGGTTTAGCCTCACTTGGAGGATCGGAGGCCCCCTGCCTGCTGGCCTTGGGCCTGGCCAATCCCTCCTGCCTGGGGGAGACATGTGGGGCCGGGCCTCCCTGTGGCATCAGAGCCACTGCCAGACTGCAGGCTTCTTCTTTCCCTGGGCACACTCCCAGACCCATCTTTCCTCAGTGGCCCCCCACACCCTCAGCCAGGGGAGCTGTCCCTCAGGCCAGGATCAGCCCCGAACAGAGGCCGACTCCGCTCCGCTGAGGGACTGGCCCACGAAGCGGGAAGCTCATCCGCTGCCTCTGAGCATGTGCTGAACGCGTCCACCACCCCGCACCCGTCCCCCCCTGGCCGCTTGTGCTGACCCCCTTCTGGAGTCTGAGCGAGGACCCCCGGCGGCTGGCCGCGCACATCCCACACAGGGGCTGCTCTCTGGTTTGTGGAAATGGAGCCTTTATTTTTTTTTAACAACAAAAACAGGAGAGGCGCCCCTAGGCGGTTTTCTGCCCCAGTCCTGCTGCGGCGCCAGGCCAGGCGAGGCGGCGATGGGTCAGGGGAGGTCCAGGGCTTTTGGGTTCGGGGCAGCAATAAATCTCAGCCACACCTTCCTTCCATCTCTGAACTTGGGCCCTTGGACCCAGCGCCTCCGCCGTCTCCCGATGGCTTAAACCCAAACCTGGCTAATTTTGCCAACTCAACTTTGTCCGACCAACGAGGAGGCAAAGACACTTCCAGGGTTCATAAACCCTGGGGGAGAAGGCTGTCAGCCTTTTCCTTCGCTGGGAGGGGCTGTCTACGTTGGCCACCCCTTGCCCACAGTGTCCTCCCTCTCCTTGCTGGAGACGGCTTTGCTGGGACTGGCTCTCGGACTCTACCCAACGCCAGCGATGGTTGCAACCTGTCCCTCCTGTGCGCCCCCCGGTCCCTTCTGATGGCTCCCCAAGGTCAGAAGAGGCAACGGGGTCGCTCCCAAGGTCTGGGCCTGCCTCCAGCCTAGGGGGGACCCCTGCCACCTCAGTGAAGGAGAGTGGAAAGTGTGTCCAAAGCAGGAAGGGCCCCTCTGCCCCAGCTGCACGAGACTTCCTTTTTTTCTCATCTCTCAGCATTCTGCCTCTCTCTCTCTCTCTCTCTCTCTTCCTCCTCCATCTTTCCTGCTTTACCTGCTCTTTCTCTTCTGTGGGGAAAAAACCTTTCTGCCCGTGTGAAGCCGCTACGGACGCTTGGAGAAGGAGAGATGCTCGCCATCCCTCCCTTTTGGCGCCTGCCTTTCCGACTCTGGACCTGGAGTGTGAGTCAAAATGGAGTGGGGGGAGAGGGCTCCCCGGAGCAGGAGTCCTTTCTCAGATGGTGAATTTGGGACCGACCCCCCTCCCCCTCCAAAAAGGGTGGTGTAGCTCTGTGGCGTCCTTGCTTTTCCAGCTCTCATCATCGCTCCGTATCTGGACACATCCGCTGACGACGCTCCAGCTGGGAAAAGAGCTGTTTGCTCTCCCTCTCTCCCCGCAGTCCAGCTCTCTGGGGCTGGAGGGTCCTGAGCAGTCTGGGGGGTCTTCAGGTGGCCTGCTGCCAGTAGGTGACCCTCCTCAACTCATCCCAGAAGAGAAGGCTGAGAACGGTGTGTGGTCCCAGGCGAAGGTAAGCGGGGCCGAAGCCCTTGTACAGGGCCAGGATGCCTTCCTTCTCTGAGACCCGCACGACGCAGTCGAAGAAGCCGCGGTAGTGCTTGCCCTGCAGCGGAAAGAGGACAGGACCAGTTGACGGGGCAACGTTCAGCCCAAAGCCTGGACGAGGGCATTTTGCATCAATGGGGCACCGCGAGAGCCTCACCGTGCCAGTTTCATCCACCGGCTGGTTGTAGAGTCGTGTGCTCACCACATCGAAGGGAGTCATGGCCACAGCCACGGCCACGCTGCTGATCATGCCCCCAGCAAGAGCCACCATCCAGCTGCCTTCTTTGAACCACTGGGAAACGAAAAGCCAGAGAAACTGTCTTGGCAAGGGCAGGTCCGGTGTCCGCAGGCTGCCACGGATGCTTGGGGAAGCAGGGTGGCTGGGAACGGCCAAAGGGGCGCTCCCACCAGCGAGCTGGATGCTGGGCAAAGGCCCACCCCCTTCAGGACACACACACACACACACACAAACACACAGAGAGCCTACTCACCTGCTGCCTTGCTACCCACTCCCTGGCAGAGGCGAAGGTGGCCAGCTGCACAGAGGAGCCCACCATGACACGAGGCACTGCTCCGCTCACGCCGCGCCACAGCCCCAGCAGCCCCTGCCGCCTATAGATGGCCTCAAAGGCCCCGGAAATGCTCTGCAAAGCGGCAGAAGGCGAGAAACTCAGCCGGGCGCCCCTTCCTTGGGCCAGGCCAGGGAGGGGACTGAAAAAGGGAGGAACTTTTTGCAGGAACCTCCCCTCCACTGCAGGGCCAAGCTTGGTTCCAGAAAGGACTTTAAAAAAAAAAAAAGGGAATCGGATGGCCTCACGCCGTTCTCTGCCCGTTCAGCGTGGGCCACGTAAAGGACCTGGCTGGGGAAACTCCATCTTTAACCGACAAAAGGGCAAAAGGTCCAGACTCTTTGCCTAGGATGCTCAGCTGGGAGGGAGGAGGGGCTGCTCTAAGGCAGAGCCCCCCAGCCTTTGGGGCACCAGGGACCGGTTCCGTGGAGAGAGGTTTTTCCACGGACCGGAGAATGCGTGGTTTTGTGTGCTGCCTGCATCCCACAGATGGGGCTTTGCTTGTTTGTGTGGACCGGTTGCTCGCATGCCGCAGCCCAGTACCGGTCCACGGACCAGGAGTTGGGGACCCCTGCTCTAAGGCATGTCAAGGATGGGATAGGCTGTTTGGGGCCCTTTCCAGCAGCTAGGAAAACGCTTCCATCCCAGGGTCGGCTGGGGCACAGCCCAGCTCCCGGGACGGGTGGGCTGGGAGCTTTTCAGGCTGGCCAGCTGGCCAGCTAGCGACGCTGGGCCACCGGAGCCGGTGTGCTAAGCTTCTCAAAGAGGATTCCTCTCCGGTTGAGCCAGGCCGTGGTTCGCCTGGTGACCAATCGGGCTCCCCCTCCCTCCGGCTTGGCAGTGCCAGCTGTCGCAAGGCCTCCCTTGGCTTCACCCCGCTGCGAAGAGGCTGAGTGGGAGGGAGTCTCCTCCCATGCACTGGGGCTGCTCAGGCGTGACCCTGGCAGGAGCGCCCTTGGCACCCCCAGGAGGGGTCCTGCAAAATGCCAAGATGGGCAAAGACAGCTCTGGGCAGAGTCCTGGACCAAGAAAGGGGCATCTTCCCCCCCCCCACGCCTCCTGAGCAAAGCCTGTGGCGAGAGACGAGACCACCTCGGACCTTGTGGTTATGCTGGTGTCCCACAGCTATGGCAGCCGCCGTCTGTGCTTGCAGATGCGTCTTGACCTGCGAGAGGAAAGCAAAAGTGCTGAGGTCGGGATGGGGGGGGGGTTGAGGGAAAACCAACCCTCTCCCACTGACCTGCACCCCTCCTCAACCTGGACTTGCTCGGCCTACGACCGTTAGGGAACGCATTTATTTCCCTCTCGGGAATACCAAGCTAAAGCCTTCTTCTGGGCTCTCTTCCCAAAAGGGGCTTCCTAATTAATGCCCCCCCCCTTGCAGGAAGCAACTGGAGCTCCCACTTAGGTCAAGCAAAGGCAGAACCTTTGCGGAGGGACAGAGCGCCATGCCCGCCTTGCACTGGGCCACTGAAGGGCCATTTTGGGATAAAGTTCCTTGGGCAGCTCTCTTGGGCTGCAAACGCCCAGGCTCTGCGTCTTCCTGGCGAAGAGGCTGAAGGATGCTCCATCCTAGCCAGCCTCCGTGCCCCGTCCTCTGCGGGCAGCAAAGAGAAGACCCTGGTGCCTGCAGAGGCACCCTGGGCAGAGGGAACCCCCCTCAAGGCCTCACCAGCCCCTTAGAGCCCGCAGCAGGCTGTGCTGCTGAAGAAGAGGACCTCCCTCCCCCCTTGGTGCAGCCAGGAGACCCCGGCCCCACCGACCTCCACGTCCAGCCTGCAAAGGGGGAACCACCGTGGCCCAACAAGCCAAGGAACTGCCCAGGAGACACCCCCCCCCAAAAAAAGGCTTACCAAGTAGGCCGGGCTCCCGACAAAGGCCCCCAGTGCCCCAGCCACAGCTCCGGCTGCCAAGGTCCCTCCCGGATGCTGGGTCAGGCCGATATCTTCAGCGTGGGAGTAGAAGCCGAATCGCACGCTGTTCATCAGCCCCTGGTACAGCAGCCCGGCCGCCAGTCCCTTCTGCAGACCCCGGAGTCCATCGGCCCGGCTGACGGCGGCCACGGCCTGCAGCACCCCTCGGTAGTGGCGCTGGTACGAGCCCCGGGGACGGAGCTCACCCTGCAGCTGCAGACGGGTCTTCACCACCTCCAGCGGGTTGGTGAACACGCAGGCCAGGCAGCATGCCGCTGCACCCAGGACGAAATCCACCGGCGGGGAGACGGAGGGCGCCGCCGGGCGGCGGGGGGAGGCCTCCATGGGGTGGCTGCCACCGGCCCAGGCGGAGAGACGGGAGGCGAGGCCTCCCCACCCAAGCAGGAGCCTTGCCGAGGCAGCCCTGACAGGGGGCGAGCAGGCCCCTTTCTTCCCACAGGCACGGGGTGGCTGGCATCGAGGCCCCCAACGGCCAGCCCGAGCTGTGCTCAGCCCTCGCCAGCATTGGCAGCCCTGGCTCTCTGCTCCAGCCCCAGCTGCACCTCCCTCTGGGTGCAACCCCAGCAGAGGCGGCCTTTATTTGCTGCTCCACCAGGCAGTGGGCTGGGCAGGGGAGGGACGCAAGTGGCTGCATGTAGGAGAAAGGTCACCCCGGGCTGGGCCCACCCACTGCAGCCCTTCCACCAGGCCTCCTCCCTCCAGGTTCGGCTCCCAAACCTGCCGGCTCCACCCCCTCCTGGCTCAGGGAAGAGGCTGGGTGTCCCCTCCCAGCCCTGACGAGTGACTGGATGGCTCTCCTGCCCAAAAAACGATTCGGCTGGGCAGGGCTCAAGCGCGCATTTTTCCAGCAGGAGTCTGCTGCCAAGAGCTGATCCCATCCGGGGGAGTGGGGTGGGGTGTAACAAGTTAATCCTGGATGGGGGTGAAGTTGCCAAGGGCGCAAGGGGCACCCCAAGCTTCTGGCCTGGACAAGCACAGCCTCCACGGCTGGCACACAGCCCTGAGCATCTGTGCGTCCAACCCTGGCCGAGCGGCAGCTCCAGGCTTCAAGAGCCCAGCCAGACTTCTGGGTTGGGGTCTCCAGCAGGGAGGACGTCACAGGAGAAGGGCAAGGCTACGGAAGACGCCCCGTGGGGGCATCGTGAAAAGGGGGGGGCGCATAACAGGGCTCAACCCCCAACCTTCCACAAGCTGGAGAAGCAGCCCCCTTTGCAAGCCTGTGAGTGCCAGAGACCCCCACCCCCCTTGCGTTTGTGGGCCACTGGGCCTCAGCCCACGAAGACAAACTTAAGAGGGACCTTGTGGACCGCAGCTGGGGCCACGCGAGAGGCTTGGCCGGTGACGTTGGACATGGGCTCTGGGCCAGGCTCTCGGGCATCTCTGCAGGGCAGGGGTGCGGGAAGCGGATCGGAGGAACTGTGAGAGGGCCGAAAAACGTTGGTCTTCGGAAGCCGCGTCCAGTGACCCCCGGGAGGAGTTCCTACCTATCTGTGGCAAGCGAGGCCCAGGCCAAACAGGCCGAGTTGGCGGGAGATCTCCGGCCCCAGTCATGGGACAGCCGAGCAGGCAGGCCGCAGCGCAGTGTTATCGCCAAGTTGCCTTTATTAGAAGGGTTGGCCACGTGTATCCAGGCACACTGCGCCCCAGAAGCCTTTCCTGGAAAAAGCCCCCCGCGGGAACACATACAGTACATTAGCAGGCCTCTCGTCTGTTAAAATTGAGACTCTAAAAATAAGAAAAGCTTTTTTTTTTTTTTAAATAAAAAAACAACCCAAAAATACCAAACCGTAGGCAACTACAACTAGCCCGGCTGTTTAAAAGGAGATAAACTGCAACTAAAACCCAGACCCAAAGGCTGGGGTCTGTCTGTGCACAGAAAGCCCCCCCCAGCAGAAGGACCCCCCCACCCGAGCGGTGGGAGCCACATGCCTTCCCAGCCTCCCGCCCAGTCCCCCACCAGAGGCTCTGCTGCTAGGAAGCGCGGGGGGGGGGGGTATGGCAGAGAGAGCCCTGGCGATTTCTTCCCAGCTCAGTGGGAGGGGGGGAGGATGGGTGGGGGGGCCGTGGCAGGTAGCGGAGAAGGGCAAACGGGGACCAGGAAGTGCTGCAAGACTGGCTGCGGGTCTTGAACAAAAGTAATACATGCAGGGGGCGGGGGGGGGGGAGAGCCCAGGCTGGGCTCTAGCATCTAAATGACGGACAGTGGCTAGCTTAGCGACTCCATCTTGTGCAGAAGCCCTTCCCCACTGGCACCCTCACCTCACTATTGCCCACGGCTCTTCCACCCTCTCCTGGACCCTTCCCCAGCTGGGGGGGGAGGGCACAGAGCCCCTGCTGCCCCTTCCCTCTTGTACCTGGAGTCCCTACTCAGAGGCAGCGCGGGCACGCCACCCTTGCCACAGACATGGCCTAACCATCGGCCCAACCGGTGCGCCACAGAGTCAATAGCAGCGGTAGCCAACAGACCCCGGATTGGGGGAGGGGCTCGTGGAGTGTCCAAGCAAGCGAGGCCCGCCCACCCACCCCGCCTCAAGTCCCCCTTGTGCGCCCGCCGCACTTCTGCCATCCTTCGCCTCCTGGGAGGCTAACACCAGGGGTCCCGGGAAGCCCGGCCACGACACAGGCTGTCGCTGCGCTGCCACGTGCTGTGGATCAAGCTCAGCGCATCCTCGCATTTCTTCCGAATGGAGCCGTCCTCGACGCGCTTGTGCGGAAGGTCCACCTGCGACACGGCGGGGCAAAAAGAGCCATGAGGGGAAGGGGGAGGACGGGGGAGGCGCCGTCTGGAGGGCCCTAGGTCTGCAGAGCCGGGCCACCCGCCGCCAGATGGGCCAACCTGGTAGGTGCTCTTCCACACGGCATCCAGCACCAGCAGGAACCGGTCCAGTTCTGCGGGGCAGCTGAAATAGAGGACCCACGGGGGCAGGTACTGCTTCTGCTCCTGGGCAAACTCCTAAGGGCGAGAGAGGAAGGCTGGGTGGGGCCCTGGGCCTCCTGACGCAGCAGGGCCGAGAGCCTCGCTTAACAGATGAGACCCAGTCCCAAGGCAGCCCCTTTGTCCTGAGAGCCCAAACCACATGCTTCCTCCTCCTGCTGCTCCTCTTCCTCCTGTAGACTCACCAGGAGACAATATTCCCGGCCGGCCTCCGTGGAGACGGAAGCCACCTCCGCCAGCTCAGCGGTGGCCAGTGAGCGGAAGAAGCTGGTCTGGCAGTCCTCATGGCAGGTGAACACTTTCTGCTCCGTCACCACCAGGCAGCAGGGGACGCAGGGGGCAGGGGCCATGCCCTGGGGGATGACCTGGGTGGGAAGCACAGGCAAACCACCTTTAGCGCTCCTAAGGGTGAGAGGGCTCTGCTCCTGACCCTCCCTTCCAGTCACCAGGAAGCACAGGAGCAGCGGGGACCCCCGCCGTCCCCCGTGGTCCCAATCCCAAGGGTGGCCTTACCCCTTGGGAGACCGCTTGGCATAAGTACAGCATCCAGTCGGCCATCTCCTCTTCGTTCTCTGCACTCAGCTCCAAGGAAGGGCGGTCCGTCAAAATGACCTGGAAGGAGTGAGGCCGGTCCGTGGCGCTCGACCTTCGGCACCCGCCACACTGCTCCCCCCTGCAATGGTCAAGAGTTTGTGGCAAATAAGAGTGAGGGGCCAGAACCGATGTGTGTGTGTTTGTGTGTGTGTGTGCGCGCACCCTGGGAGCCTGCCCCATCTGGGACTCACCCCATATTCACAGACAGCAGCGGGGTGACGTCTGTCCGGTCTGGATATTGATACAAGATGTCATTGCTGCAGAGGGAAGACAGAAGCAGCTGGTGGGAAAGTCCACAGCAGGGGAGCTTTGAATTAGCATATGCAAATTAGAATATGCAAATTAAATGCCCCCCCCCCCCGGTCCTCGAGAGGGCTGGACAGGCTCTCTTATGCTGTCACCAAGAGTCCAGCCCAAAGTAATACATGTAAAAGTTGATGACACTAGAAAAGCTGCAATCAGGGCATAGGAAGAGGCTTGTTAGAGCAACTGACAGAAAAGGGGATCCCGCAGAGCAGTGGTTCTCAGCCTGTGGGTCGGGACCCCATTTGGGGTCGAACGACCATTTCATGGGGGTCGCCAAACAACGCAGTCCACCATTTTTTCCCCCTTTTCCTTAGCTGAGGCCTTTGAACTCTGGTGCTGAAGAAGACTCCTGCGAGTCCCCTGGACTGCAAGGCGATCCAACCGGTCAGTCCTAGAGGAGATCAACCCTGACTGCTCTTTAGAAGGCCAGATCCTGAAGTGGAAACTCAAATACTTTGGCCACCTAATGAGAAGGAAGGACTCCCTGGAGAAGAGCCTGATGCTGGGAAAGATGGAGGGCAAGAGAAGAATGGGACGACAGAGAATGAGGTGGCTGGATGGAGTCCCTGAAGCAGTAGGCATGAGCTTAAATGGACTCCAGAAAATGGTAGAGGACAGGAAGGCCTGGAGGAATGTGGTCCATGGGGTCGCAATGGGTCGGACACGACTTTGCAACTAACAACAACTAAAATTTTACATGACAAAAATACAGATATAAGAACGGTTTGAGTTACAACTATAACTCTTACACGGAGACGTTCCATGTAGCGTAACAGCAAACTCGAAAAAAAGACATAGGGGATTAAAGATCAGATAAAAACAAAAAAAGAAAGATTAAAGAAATTCTGCAAAGAGAAAATTATTTCATTACATATTAAACTCTTAAAAGAAGAGTTGTCTTTGACGACGGTAAAGAGAAATGAAGGTTAAAATTAGCTGACTTTAAAAGTATCAAAACCACCTGATGGAAATAGCATAACATCGGATAAAGAGGCAAAACGCATTTCAGCAATGTTGGTCTAAATTATTTAACAATCATCCTGGCAAAAAGGCCGATGAAGGCTTAACAGAAGCAAAATTTACCAAAGATCACAGAAAAACAGAAACGCTTAATGAATAGCTCTCTATGACTATGCTGGTAAAGCTATAAAATGGGTCAAAATCAGGAAAGTGCCTGGATCGGCAGATTTACGGGTCTCTTTCTGTAAACTTTTTAAGGACGAAATTCTGCAATCTTTTCAACAGGTGACCAAGCTACCCTGTGGGGAGGGACCAGACAGGTGGAATGAGGCTCAGATGGGATTAAGGTAGCATATTTTTGCTATTACTTCTTCGCTGTTTAGCATTTCGGTTTATTTTCTTTATTTTCTCTGACGGTTTTCACTTTGTTAAGAACATCTTCAATAATAATAATAATAATAATTTTTAAAAAAGGGACCAAAATCTAGCCAGCCTCCTCACCTGAGCACCACAAAGCAGGGCTTCCAGACTTCTTTGCCTAAGTAATTGGTCCCTGCCTTGTAATTCAGCACACCTTCCTTGAGGATGGAGTTTTCCGCCGGTGCGTAGTGAGAGGAAGCTGGGCCGGGGGTCTCGTCCATGGGGTCTTCCCAGTGAACAAGGCCGTAGAAGTGGACGATCACCTCTGAGATCTACCAAAGGCAGGCAGCCACTTAGCCAGGCTCTCAGCCCCCCAAAAAGCCCCCCCCCGGCTTGGCCTTTGGCCCTCCCCCTAATGGAGACAGGGCGCGGGTGCCTCCCACAGAGGAAAGGCTGCCTGAGGTTGAAGGGAAGAAAGACAGCAGAAAGGCACACCTCCCGCTTGGACTCCTGAGCCACAAATTTGGCCAGCGCCAGTTTCTCCATGGTGGCGTCCGTCAGGATACTGGGGTACGGCGGCTCACGGCAGCCTTTGATCATCGCGGACTTCAGGGAGGTCAAGAAGAACCTGGAGAGGAAGAGGGGCATTAGGACCCCTGTGCCCAAACACCGAAGCAGGGGGCCTGGATTGAGCACAGGGACTAAAAGAGAGAGGAAGAGACCACATTAACTGGGGGGGGGGGTAGAACACCCAATTGTGAAAATTATTCCCCCCTGCAAAGGACAACCCTACTAGTTGGCGTTCTCTGGGCAGTATCCTTGCCATCCCAGCAGCTGGGGGAAGACGAGGCCCGCCCAGCCCTTACTCAGTCAGGGTAGCGTCCGCTGTATCCAGCAGGAACTGCTTCCGACGGTTGGTGCAGACCAAGCTCACCGTCTGCTGATCGAGGCCCACCTGCCGGGAAAAAGAAGACCATTCGGAGGGGATCGCCCTTGGCCCCTGGGAGGGGAGGGCTCAGCCCCTGCAAGTTAGGAATTTAGGGCCACTGGTCTTGCCCAGAGAAGAAGCCTTCTGGAGGGGTGCTCCCCGTGTTCCCGCAGAGCCCCAAACCGCCTGTTATGGTTCCGGCTAATGAAACACTTCAAAGAACTTCCAGGCATTTTATTTTCCTAAAAGTCAGTGATTGTTACAAACTGTGGGCACATGCATTAACGGAGGGATACTAGGATCTCTCTTCCTCTCAGCAGTTAAATTATCAGCATGTTCCCTCCCTAAATTAGCCGTCATATATCACATTATCCAATTAGTGTGAAGGTCAAAGGTTTCCTTCCTCTTTCTTTCCCGGGCTTTACCTCCACCCCCCTTCTGCTCTGTATTAACCCCATAAATACCAGACAGTTCTGCATATTGTCAAAAGCAAGAATATACAATATTTGCAGCGTTGACACCGCCACTCACCGAGATGTAGTCCAGCTCGTTGTAGGACACAGCCTCATCCACCAAGTAGGGCTTCTCGGCAGCTCCTGGAGATGGGAAAAGCAGGGTAGAAAGTCAGTTGCGCAGCCGGACTCTCCCCCGGGGAGCCAGGGATCGCTCCAAGGGGGTTCCCACCCCGAGCAAGGCAGGTTCCGGAGGCAGGTGGCAACCCAGAGGGCCTTCCTACCACAGGGGGGATGATACCTTTGCGGATGAGGTACATGTAACAGTCGGTCAGCAGCAGGTAAAGCAGCTGGAGGTTCCCTTCCATGTGCCCTGTGCTCATCCGGATCATCTGTTGGGGAGAGAGGCCTCCGTTACTGACCCACAGCGACAGGGGTGTGAGAAGAGCTGCTCCTTCGATCTGGAGAGGGCTGCTCCGAGGAGTGCCGGGGGGGGGGCTCCCCTTCTGGGCAACCGGACGTACCCGGAAGAGCTGCTCCTCGTTCTCGCGAAAGACGTGGATCATCAGGAGCAGCAAGTGATTGTTGTCCACCCTGCAGGAAGGAGGAGAAGGCTCAGCCGAGGGTCAGGAGCGAGGGAGAGCCGACCAGTCCCCCCGCCCTCCTTGGCCCCCATCACGAGGTGGCTTTCTCCAAGGAAGAAATGGTGGAACGGCAGGGATCAGCAGGAAGGAGAAAGCAAGACGGGGCCAACTAGGGACGCCTCTTTATGTCCGTGAGATATAAGGACTAATAAAGGAGAACATTGTTAGCTCGGGGCTGAAATCCGGGAGGCCTCGGTGCTCTCTGAGCTCAGTGGTTTTTTGGCAGATACTTCATGGCCCCAAATGGGCTACATCTACATCATCATCATCAAGGTGGAAGGGACCTTGGAGGTCATCTAGTCCAATCCTCTGCTCAGGCAGGAAACCCTATACCATTTCAGACAAAGGGCTTCCTCTCACTCTTTTTAGAAACTTCCAGTGTTGGAGCATTCACCGCTTCTGGAGGCAGGTTGTTCCACTGGTTAATTGTTCTGTCAGGAAGTTTCTCCTTAGCTCCAGGTTGCTTCTCTCCTTGGTTAGTTTCCATCCGTTGCTTCTTGTCCTGCCTTGTGGTGCTTTGGAGAATAGCTTGCTCCCCTCTTAATAGAATAACAGTTGGAAGGGACCTTGGAGGTCATCTAGTCCAATCTCCTGCTCAGGCAGGAAACCCTATACCATTTCAGACAAATGGCTGGCCAGTCTCTTCTTAAAATCCTCCAGTGATGGAGCATTCACCACTTCTGATGATGCCATAGCACTGGTGATGTTACTTAGTTTGGGTCATGAAACGTCTGCAAGAAAACCACCAAGCTCAGAGAGCACTGAGGACCCCATAATCTTCCTCCTCCTCCTATCTCATCTCCTCCTTTCTGCAAACCCCTCCCTTCTAGCACTGATGATGTCACCTAGTTGGGTCATGAAACATCTTCAAGAAAACCAAGCTCAGAAAGCACCAAGGACCCCACAATCCCCCTTCTCCTCCTCCTAGCACTGATGATGTCACCTAGTTGGGTCATGAAACGTCTTCAAGAAAACCACCAAGCTCAGAAAGCACCAAGGACCCCACAGTCCTCCTCTTCTTCCTTCTCCCCCCCCCTTCTAGCACTGATGAGGTCACCTAGTTGGGTCATGAAATGTCTGCGAGAAAATCACCAAGCTCAGAGAGCACCAAGGACTCCACAATCCCCCTCCCCCTTCTCCTCCTCCTAGCACTGATGATGTCACCTAGTTGGGTCATGAAACGTCTTCAAGAAAACCACCAAGCTCAGAGGACACCTCAATACATGGACTGGAGGGCAAAGGGTGCTGAAGCAGCCAGGAGGAGAAGGCAGGGACTGTCCGACGGAAGGTCAAAAGACCCCCCCAAAGCCTCCTAACAGTTTCTCGCTACACGCAGGGTGGGGTGCTGTCACCATGGTGCTGAGCCCCAACTTCTGCTCTCCATTGGATGCCGGAAACAGGCTGTGACTCGTCTTGGAAGAGGCCTGAGGAAAGAGGGGTGGCCGAGCGCTACGTCCCTCGGGTGGAGGAGGCCTGGCCAAGGAAGAAAGCAGCCCTTACCTGAACTCCGAGGGGTGGGCAGCCTCGGACGGACTGCCCTGCCCCTCCTCCACCCCGGAGTCCTCGGCGCTGCTCGGGGAAGGGCTCTCCCGAACCTCCTTCAGCCTGCTGAGGGCCACCGCGCTAGCCATCTCCACCGCCTCTCCCGGCGAGCTGGCTACGACCGGCTCAGCAGCCTCCGCCTCTCCTCCTCCCCCTCCTCCTTCTTCCTCTTGTCCAGAAGCTTCAGGGCCACCAGGAACATGTGGTGGTTGACCATCCCCTGAAGCGTCATGGTGGCCACTACTTGCTGCAGGAGTGTTTGGACTCTCGACGGTAAAGCGGTAGAAGTCCATGGGGGCCGGCAGCCCCTGACCAAAGCCGCCAAGGGGCGGCCCTTCCGAGGGGGCGTCCCTTGGCAAGTCCGTCCGAAAGGACTGGTCCAGGAGGGGGGGCTCCAGGGCGCGGCTCCACCCGTCGGTCCCCTCCAGCGAGCCAAGGGCCTCGCTGAGGGCCTGCCCCACCCGCAGCTCCGTGGCCGGCTCCTTCATTTTGGGGATCCGCAGGCCCAGCTGGCAGGGGGACAGCGGTGCCTCCTCCTCGGCGCTGACCCCAAAGTCGGACTCTGGGGCAGCCCCTGGCTGCCTGACCTCCTGACCCAAAGCGGGGAGGGAGGGGGCGGTGGCCTCCTCCGCTTTCACTTTCTTCTTCTTGACCGTTTTCTTCTTTTTCGCCAGCCTGTGCAACGAAGAGACGGGTTGGTTAGAAAAGATACATTTTTACACGGGCGTCATTAGGAAACTGTCACCAACGCTGATGTGCAACTGTGCATTTATTCACAACAAGAAGAACTGTTATTTGCTCAATGGGGAAAAATGTTTATCGCTGGAAGAAGAGAGGAGATATTGGATGGTGTTAATATTGGGTTTAGTTTGAAGGCCACGGAATTACTAAGGGACCCAGTCAACACGTCGTTTGTTGTAAAAATAGAAAATGAATAAACTATTTATATAAAAAGAGGGGGGGGGAAGCGAGTTCTCTGGCTGTGGGGCACCAGGGACCAGCTGCCAACTGGGCAGGCTTGCTCAGGACTCAAGTGTCAACGCTGCAAATATTGTATATTCTTGCTTATGACAATATGTAGAATTGTCTGGTATTTATGGGGTTAATACAGAGCAGAAGGGGGGTGGGGATAAAGCCCGGGAAAGAAAGAGGAAGGAAACCTTTGACCTTTACACTAATTGGATAATGTGATATATGACGGCTAATTTAGGGAGGGAACATGCTGATAATTTAACTGCTGATAATTTAACTGCTCAGAGGAAGGAACTTAGATCTTAGCATCCATCTCTGCAATAAAAGACTTTTAGGAAAATAAATGCCTGGAAGTTCTTTGAAGTGTTTCATTAGCCGGAACCATAACATCAAAGACAGGTGGAGGCCGGACCCCACTCCGGAGTCTCAACTGAACAGGGCCCGGGGGGGCTACCAAGCCCAGATTTTTTCTTGCAACTCCTGGGCCCTCCACTTCAGTGTCCCCAAACGAAGGAGGGCTCCCTGATGCCCAGACCCAGGGAAAACAAGAGGAGAGGACGGGTCCACAAGAGCCAGGGGCAGAGGCGAGAGCCAGACGGGGCCAAGCCATTGGGGGACGCTTCTCCCCCAGCACAACCTGATAACTTCCAGCTCCGTGCAGCCCTCGGATTGATCGGTGCCTTCGGCCAGGAGGTCGGCCCTCAGCGAGGCAGCGTGCACCGGGGTGCTCTCGGCGGAGGACGGCCCTTCTGCCTTCCCGTTGAAAGGGTTGTAGCGCTGGGTGGGGCTTTTGGCTGAAGCCCGGCTGCCGTTCAGCTCGGAGGCCACGGAACGTGGGCAGCTGAGTGTGTCGGTCAGGTCTCCTTCTGGAAGGAAGGAAAGGGGAAGGTCAGCCATCTCTCCCTGGCTCCCGGGAGCAGCCATTCAGAAAATGTGCCCCAGCTGCAACTCTCTGGCCCGTTGGATCAAGAAACTCAGGGATTCTCACATCTGGCAGGGGAGAAGGAGGAGCAGCTCCTTCAGCCCGCAGAATTCCGACTCCTACAATCCTTGCGGCCTGCACAGAGCTGCAACTGAACAGCTCCCGGCTTGGGAATTCTATCCTGAGTTCACATCGGTGACATCGTGTTGCTTTGCCCCACGGACTACGCACAACAAGGACGTCCCCTGCCCAGACCCACCGGGGGCTCCCATTCTCCGCTGGACCCCCACGGAGCCCCCGATGTAGCCCTGGAGAAGGGCAGGATGTTGCTGGCCTCAGGAGCAGCCCCCTTCGGCCGAAGGGAGACCGGGAAAGGGACGCTGCATCTTTGTCAGTTTTACAAGTGGGGAAGCACCTAGGGCAGTGGTTCTCAACCTTTTTAATGCCGCGACCCCCAACTGGTCGTAAGTCGAGGACTACTCAACCGGTCGTAAGTCGAGGACTGCTCAACGGGTGCAGCACCGTTTGCAGAATGGGACTTTTGGTGGGCTCAGCAGGGCAGAGACAGCCTGGACAATTCCTATGGGCTTTTGAAAGCCAATAGAATTAGACTCTATTGAAGAGAGTCTGTTCTATTGGCTTTCCAAAGCCAATAGAATAAAAGGGAGGAGCACAGCTAAGGAAAAGGGGGGGAAAATGGCGGACTGCGTTGTTTGGGGACCCCCCCAAATGGGGTCCCGACCCACAGGTTGAGAACCACTGGTCTAGAGAGTTGGGGGGGCGGAATCAGGAGGCAGGCTCAGCTAGCTGTTCAACTACTCTTATTACAAAATTCTCTCTCTCCACCAGGGAGCCTTGAATTGCAGGAGAGGGCCCAAACTAACCGGTTTAACTTTCCACCTCTTCCAAGTTGCCTCTGCAGGCAGTTGGGAGCACGGACTTAGCTCAACAGTGAAATGAGCAGCAGCTGAGTTAGGGGCCCAGAGCCCACCCACCCACCCAACCGTCTTAAGGGGCGCAGCAGGGCCAAAGCTGAGGGAGGCGAGGACAGAGAAAGGGCTGCAGCCGCCGCCACCACCATCGTGAGCGGGACCCCTGCTTGGAAAGAGAGGCTGTTGGGAGAAGCATCCGTGGTTACGAAATCAGCTGGCTTGGGTCCATTCCCCTCCCCTGGGACCCCCCGCCCCATGCACTGACAGGAGAGAGAAAGAGGTTAGGAAGAGACCGGCTGGCACCGACACAAGAAGCACTTTTCTCAACAGCTTGTTAATGCGCAAACCAGAAAGACCGATGGTTCATGCCGGGAGATGGAAGCCACAAAACTTAGAGGAGGGGGTTAGGCGTCCAGGAAGGGCCTGCAGAACCGCTGAGGCAGGTGGACCAGGCAGCAGATGCCCTGGGCTGAGGGCGCCAATTAAGCTGGCAAGGCCCTGCCGCCGAAGAACCCGGGTGGCCTGGCAGTTGGGCCCCCCCCCTGGTATTAAAGAGACCTGTGGCCCAGCATGCAGGCAGCGCTGGGGTAGAGGGAGAGGAGCAGGGGAGGGGGGGAAGAGGAACTGGAAAACCAGGTGAGCTGGTCCCACCTTCCCATGCGGTGCTAGGCATGGACGGTGCGGCAGGAAAGACTTCTCCAAAATCATAATCTATAAAACGAGGGATAAAAAGGAGGGTTAGCAATGAAGGAGTCTGGAGGGAGGGGAGGGGGCAGGGCAGAGACCCAGAATCCCCTTCTCGGAGATCATGATCAACGGGGGTGGGGAGGGAGGGAGGGAAGGGGGGGGAATGGAGCAGGACAAGGGCAGGGCGGGGAACCCAATCTCCGCTCCGGCGGCAGGGCTGGGCTCAGTTGCGGATCCTGCTCAAGGATCGCGTTCTCCTGAAGTTTTTAAAAAAGGGGTCATTATTGGGAAGGTGCCAGCCTGCGGTGGTGGGAGCCTTTCTCTTCCTGGCTGTGCTTGCTTTCCGCTGGCAGGGATCCCGCTGAGGGCAGAGCAGCTAGGGCTGGGGGGCGGGCAGAGGAAGGAAAGGACCGATTTGGGCCGAGATTCCAAGCATGCTGATTGTTCTGGATCAAGGGAGGCCAGCTCTGCAATGGGGCAGCGCAGGAACATCTCAAAATACTGGCCCGGTCTGCAGATGACCAAGGGTTCCTCAGCACCCCCAGATGGCCTGGAGGGGCTTTGGAGACGCTAGAGAGGGAGTCTGCAGCTTGACCTGATGCTCTTCTGCCCAAAGAACTGCCCCCAGCCCCGTCCTGACCCTCCGTTCCTTTAACCTTGCCCACGGGCGGGACGGCGGCCTGGACAGGCGTGGCCGCAGCCTTCAGTCCCAGGCAGTGCTCCGTGGAGCCAGGACGTTGCCAGGCCGCTGCCCACCCTCGCCCCTTACCCTCGCTGGAGGGGGCGATGGCGCTGTCATCCCACTCCAGGTTGGTGGAGGTCACCGAGTTGAAGGAGTTGAGAGAGAGACTGTCTGATCCGTGGACGGAGCTGGGCAGGCGGTCCTCAAAGTCCAGCAGGAACTGGGGCTTGTAGTAATCCGGCATGTAGGGGGCCAAGTCCAGGTAAGGAGCGTCCTGGGAAAAGCAGGGGAGTGTTAGGTAGAACTGCTGCCTGCCCCCCCCCCAAAAAAAATTCCCTTTGCCAGCCTTCTTCTTTTTTTTTTTCCCCAGGGATTTGGCCCATCGGTTGAGAAGAATCCTTTCGGCTTGGGAAAGCGGCCATCTTTATAGGTCACGGGGAAAGCCAGAAGGCAGGTGTGGGGTGGCCCAGCCCAGGGCGAGGAAGAAGTGGGACGCTAGCTGCTCCAAGCAGGCCGAGTCGGCTCACCAGGTCCAGGTCAAATCGGATAAACTCCAGGCCTGCCACCAGGGTGAGGAAGAGGGTCAGGTGGTCGTGGCTGCAGACCAGGGCGTTTCTGCGAGATGGCAAAGCCACAGCTCAGGATCCACGCGAGCGAAGGCAGTAACCAAGAAAGGGCCGCTCCTAACCGGAGGCCCCGCTGGCTGGGAAGAGGCCCGTCCGCCCACTCACACCCTGGAGGCAGGAGCTCTCCTGCCACGCTAAGCCCTTAAGTCCTGACTGTTGCACCAAGACAGCCCTGGGAACTAACTGCCGCCTTTAAGCTCCTGGCAGCGTCAGGAAGCTCCCACAATCCCCACCGTGTAGTTTGGGAAGAGGCAACCGGAAAGGGCAGTTGTGAAAAGGGGCCCTGCCTGTCTTCGAGCTTTAAGTCCGGCCAGTGACCCCTCTGGGAACAGCAGGCTTGGGGGAAAAGCTGCAAAGGCCCCTCGGTCTGTTTGGGGGAGGGAGGTCCTTCCCCTCCTCTTCCCACAGTGCCGGCCCCGGCAGCCCAGCAGACTTACTTGACGTAATGCTTATGCAGCAGCGGGAGGTTCTCCTGGAAGAGGCGGAGGTAGCTCTCCAGAGAGTTCTCGTTCAGGGCCAGGTACAGCCATGCTCGGCCTGCAAGAGAGAAAGACTGGCGGTCAGGGGGGCAAGGACCCACCCACCCCGAGTCATCCTGGCCGGGACCTTCTCAAGGGCAGTCCGGGTGGAAGCTCCATCTCTTGACGTCCAAAGCCCAGGCTGCAGGTGGCGGGTGGCAGGAGGTGCCCCCAAACCCCTCGGGGGCTGGTCCGGCTCCTCTGGGGGCTCGTCCGGCTCTCAGCCCAAAGCAGGGAGCAATCTAGTTCCCAGCCTTCTAAGTGGAAGCTCAGAAGCCTCCTGTCAACGCTGCTAACATTGCATGTTCTTGCTTTGGCAAGAGATGAAAATGCAGCCATTTCCCCCTTAACGTGTGTGCTACTTTTAGAATTAGAATTAGAGCAGTGGTTCTCAACCTTTTTAATGCTGCGACCCCCAGCCGGTCGTAAGTCGAGGACTAAGCCAGTCGTAAGTTGAGGACTACCCAACCGGTCGTAAGTCGAGGACTTTCCCTTCCCGGGAGCACCGTGCATGTGTGGTGCCACCCCGAGGCGTAGCTGGCAAACAGCAGAGACGGAGCAGCATGACCACTGGCTGGGCCATCAGCTGGCCCAGCCCAAGGGAGGTAAGGCACCCGCCGGAAAATGAGGAAAAAAATGGCGGACTGTGTTGTTTGGCGACCCCCGTGAAATGGTCAATGGACCCCAAATGGGGTCGCGATCCATAGGTTGAGAACCGCTGAATTAGAGGATGCGGGGGGGGGGGGGGAGAGAAGGAAGAATGTGTATGGGAATTAGTTAGACAGAACAACCTTGTAGTAAGAGTGTTTTTCAAGGCTGTTTGAAACAAGAGATGATAAGGAATGGCCGGGTGGGAGAACTGGAGGGAAGGTCAGCATTTCAAACTAATGCAGAGAATGTGATTTATGACTGTTAATTAGAGGAGGGAATTGTGCTTTGGTATTATGTGTTTAGAGGCCAGAATTCAGAATTTGGCTTCCACCATGTATGTGCCGATGCCATGTTACTTGAATAAAGATTCTTTAAGGTATAAACAATGCCTCGTTCTTTGAAGTGTAACATCTGTCGGAACCATGACATCTCACTAACAAGTACCTGCACATCCTCAGGGGCGGGCAAAGGCCCCTGGGGTCCCAGCGCCCACCGGGCATTCGGTGACGTGGGCTGCACAGGGCTGGCCAAAGCAATGCTGAGACTTACTGCGCCCCAGGTTGGTGGTCACGTGCTCCAGCAGTTCGATCTGTTCGATGGCCTCTCGGCGGGTAAAGTGGACCACCAGGACCCAGTAGCCCGAAGGGAGGTCCTGCAGCCTGCCAAGGAGAAGGAAAGTCACAGAGCTGTTTTCTTCAGCACACCCGCCCTTTGCAGGTTCCCCGGCGCAATACATCCAGGCCAGGGAGAGGCAACCTTGGCTCTTTTATGACTCGTGGACTTCAACTCCCAGAATTCCTGAGCTAGCATGGCTCAGCTTGGAAACCTCTCCCTTTCCCTCAGAGTGACTGGCTCAGGAATGCTGGGAGATGAAGTCCACGAGTCATAAAAGAGCCAAGGTTGCCTACCTCTGGCCTAGGCCGTTTTATGACTCATGGACTTCAACTCCCAGAATTCCTGAGCCGGCCTGGCTCAGCTTGGAAACCTCTCCCTTCCCCTCAGAGTGACTGGCTCAGGAATGCTGGGAGATGAAGTCCACGAGTCATAAAAGAGCCAAGGTTGCCTACCCCTGATCCAGGCCTCGTCCAGCTCATGAAGGTTCTGCCTCTGCAGCCTGGAGGGAAGGAGTGGAGGAAGGGCACGCTTGCCATCACACCCCTGTTCATGTGTGGGCTCCACTAGGCCACCCAGACCCAGGAGACCCTACTGCAGTGGGCTGAGGATCAGACCCTCTTCCGGGCACCCATGAGGGCAGCGCAGTAGCAAGGAGTCATCTGCTTGCTTCAAGGAAGGGAGCAAGGGCCCAAACCTGAGCCCCCGGGGTGCAGGCCGGTCCCCTGCTTGTGGCTCCCTCCAGGCAAAAGCCACGGCCATGTGGAGGCCCCTTACCCGTAAAGCAGGGCGTGATCCAGGTGTTCACAGAGGCGCTGCAGGACCGTGTCGTGGTTTCGGATGGCGGGCGTCTCGTCCTCGCAGGCAGCGAAGTAGCTCTGCAGCTGGAGACACGAGCACATCTGGTGAGGGAGCCACAAGCCAAGCTGCTGGCTGTCATCCAGGCGGTACCATATGCGGCAGCCCCTTTCGGAGTTTCAGGAGGGAAAAGCTGAAAAAGTCCGTTTTCCCACTCTGCCTAGGCCAGGGGTAGGCAACCTGGGCTCTTTGATGACTGGTGGACTTCAACTCCCAGAATTCCTGAGCCAGCATGAGGGAAACTTTGACCCCCTCGTGACTCGTGGACTTCAACTCCCAGAATTCGTGAGCCAGCCTGGCTCAGCTTGGAAACCTCTCCCTTTCCCTTCAGCATGGCTGGCTGAGGGATTCTGGGAGTTGAAGTCCACGAGTTATAAAAGAGCCAAGGCTGCCTACCCCTGGTCTAAGAGGCTCACCGCTTAGAACAGGAGGACTTAGGACAGGGGTAGGCAACCTTGGCTCTTTTATGACTCGTGGACTTCAACTCCCAGAATTCCCGAGCCAGCCATGCTGAGGGGAAAGGGAGAGGTTTCCAAGCTGAGCCAGGCTGGCTAAGGAATTCTGGGAGTTGAAGTCCACGAGTCGTGAGGAGGGCATAGTTCCCCCTGCTGGCTCAGGAATTCTGGGAGTTGAAGTCCATGAGTCGTGAGGGGGCCATAGTTCCCCCATGCTGGTTCAGGAATTCTGGGAGTTGAAGTCCATGAGTCATAAAAGAGCTGGGGGGGGGATAGGCAACCTCGGCTCTTTTATGACTCATGGACTTCAACTCCCAGAATTCCTCAGCCAGCATGGCTGAACTTGGAAACCTCTCCCTCTCCCCTCAGCATGGCTGGCTCAGGAATTCTGGGAGTTGAAGTCCACCAGTCATAAAAGAGCCAAGGTTGCCTACCCCTGGCCTAGGGTTATTTAAGAGAGGTCTGCCTGCCTCCGGTCCGGGTGGCGAGGCCCAATCTGCATCTTTGCAACTCACTTGGCAAATTCTTCAAAGCCCCTTGTAGAGGTCTGGCCTGCTTTGGCCAAAGCCGAGCCGAGCCGAGGCCCAGGGGACGCTACGGGCTATCCCCAAGTTACAACGTTTAGCGATCAGAGTTACGACGGCACCGAAAAAGCAACGTACAACCGGTTCTCACCCTTATGACAGTTGTAGCCTCCTTACGGCCCTGTGGTGGCCTAAAATTCAGGCGCTGACTCACATTTACGACGGCTGCAGTGTCCCCGGGGGTCACACGGTTCGCCCAGCCGCAGTTTGACTAATTTAACCACTGCAGCTGTTCACTTAACGACTGCAGCAAGAAAAGTCGTAAAATGGGGCATACTCCCTGAATGTTTCATTTATCGGCAAAAATTCTGGGTTCGGTTGTGGATGTAAGTCGAGGACTACCTGTGCTTTCGTGCCAGCACCTGTAGTCTCTCTCTCTCTCTCTCTCTCTCTCTCTCTCTCTCTCTCTCTCTCTCTCTCTCTACCCCTCCCCTGAGGATGCCCATAAGGACCCCCTGTTCAGATGCTATTCCTTCCAGCTGGACTCCACCTTGCTCGGGGAACAAGGAGAACAGCTTCCCAGGCCAGGATTCCCAGCCACACCTTTACGTGTCTTGGCTAGGCCCGAGAGGGAGTGGCAGCCAAGTCTGGTGATGCTTCATCTCCGGAGAGAAATACGGGGTGCCTGGGGCAGAAGAGCAGCCAGCTCTCCACAAGGTACACCTCAAATGGCACCAGCACAAAGGACTCAGCCACCCACAGATGCTGGGGGGGGGGGAAGGCTCTACTCCTGCCTGTCGAGAGCATCTCTGGGCTGCAGACCGTCAGGGCAAGATAAGAAGCACCACAGGAGACAACAGCCTGGAAGCCATCACACACATACCCTTAACAAACGAAATGGCGAAAGGTCCAGACTCTTTGCCTAGGAGGCTCAGCTGGGAGGGAGGAGGGGCTGCAATAAGCCAGAGGTCCCCCAATCTTTTGGGGTACCAGGGACCGGTTCCACGGAGAAAGGTTTTTCCACGGACCGAAGAGTGCGTGGTTTTATGTGCTGCCTGCCTCACAAGGATGGGGCTTTGCTTGTTTGTGCGGACCGGTTGATAGCATGCCGCGCGGCCCTGGACCGGTCCACGGACCGGAGGTTGGGGCCCCTGCGCTAGTCCTGACAACTGGAAGCAATCCAGTTGCTGCGGAACTGACGCAGGCAGCAAACGGCCTGCTCGCTGGGGAAACGTCAGGAGCGTCCCTCGGCCACTGTTTCTGTGGCGGAGATAAAACAGGGATTAGATGGATTCAGCCTTCCATCCTTCCGGGGTAGGTAAAATGAGGATCCAGATTGTTGGGGGCAATGTAAATATATATATATACATTGCTTACTGGTGTACACCACTTAGAGCAGGGGTTCTCAACCTTGGCAACTTTAAGGCTTGTGGACTTCAACTCCCAGAATTCCTCAGCCAGCAAAGCTGGCTGAGGAATTCTGGGAGTTGAAGTCCACAAGCCTTAAAGTTGCCAAGGTTAGAACCCCTGGCTTAGAGAGTGCTCGCACTTAAAGCGGTATATAAGTCTCATAAATAAATAAATCAGATCTATGCGGAGGCCTCACAAGTGGGACCTCTGAGAAAACCTTTAGCAGGCAGGACCTCTTGGAGTTCCTGTTCCATACAGCCACATCATCCAAAATGGCCAAAACCTACCAGAAAGAGAGTGTGCTGCAGATTCAGATCCATCTTAGCATCAGCAGAACAGGCCCAAGGATAAGGCCGCACGGCAGACTGATCCCACAACTAGCAGTAAAAGTGTCTTACCAGGCATCTCCCTTCTGCTGAACGATACTGATTCACCTTGATTGACAGACTGGATTCTGTCCCCCCCAGTTCTTAAGACTATCAGGAAAGCTGGCTTAGCTCAGTGATGGTGAACCTTATGGCACAGGTGCCAGAGGCGGCACTCGGAGCCCTCTCTGTAAGCACGCGTGCCGTCGCCCCGGTCCTAGGCCTTCAGCTGGGTTTTATAAAACCTTTTCGCTTTAGGCCTCCGCTGCCGTGGGCAAAAAAAAAAAAAAGGTTCAATCAATCAATTTCAACTTCTCGCGGGGGGGGGGGAGAAAGATCTTGCAAAGAACTGATTGAACTTTTTAGTCCCACCCAGTCTGCCATTACCACCGCAGCCATGCCCACCCAATGGGCCACACTCACCCAATTGGCCACACCCAAGCCAATGGGCCACACCCACCTGGCACTCAACAATGCATAAGTGGGTTTTGGGTTGCAGTTTGGGCATTCGGTCTCTAAAAGGTTCGGCATCGCTGGCTTAGCAGATGAAGCCAGAGTTCAACCAGCTGCTCTAGGCTACATAAAATCTCTTGGATGGGCAAAACGAAAGAGGCAACTGCCCCAATTCATCTACTACTATTTTATGTAGCTGGCTTCCTAGGACAGTTGCCTCTACTACTACTACTACTACTACTACCACTACTACTACTAATAATAATAATAAAAGTTGGAAGGGACCTTAGAGGTCATCTAGTCCAACCCCCTGCTCAGGCAGGAAACCCTATACCACTTTGGACAAATGGCTGTCCAGTCTCTTCTTGAAAACTTCCAGTGTTGGAGCATTCACTACTTCTGGAGGCAGGTTGTTCCACTGGTTAATTGTTCTAACTGTCAGGAAGTTTCTCGTTAGTTCCAGGTTGCTTCTCTCCTTGATTAGTTTCCATCTATTGCTTCTTGTCCTGCCCTCAGGTGCTTTGGAGAATAGCTTGACGCCCTCTTCTTTGGGGCATCCCCTGAGATGTTGGAACCCTGCTATCCTGTCCCCCCTCGTCCTTCTCTTTGCTAAACTAGACATACCCAATTCCAGCAACCGTTCCTTATATGTTTTAGCCTCCAGTCCCCTAATCGTCTTTGGGACAAGCATCTTTAGAAATATGCTTGTGTGTGGGGGGGAGAGACTTAATTGGCCCTTATGCCGCTGAATACCCAGAGCCTCTCATCTCCTGGTGATCTTGTTGATACAGCCTGCAGCAATTAGGCCTCTGGAGAAATGTGGTTTTATACCACAGACAGAAGGTTGGGCAGTGCATGGAAAAGGTGTACTGGCAGAAAAGTGGCAAATTCAGCTTTGGGGGTTTCAGCATCTACAGATTTTGCTGCTAGTTTCCTTAGCCGCTACTGGCCACTGCTGGCCTCGGATGAGGATAAACAAAGGCAATCTGTCTAATACAGTGTTTCTCAACCTTGACCATTTTAAGGCATGTGGATTTCAACTCCCAGAATTCCACAGCCAGCATTGCTGGCTGTGGAATTCTGGGAGTTGAAATCCACATGCCTTAAAATGGTCAAGGTTGAGAAACACTGGTCTAATATGTTATGCTCTGTTCTGAGGTTTTACTTGTCAGGGTTTGCAGTTTTATCTGCCAGTGGATTCCTTCTTCCAGCCTTCTCCAAAGGGCCAAATTCATGCGATCATTTCAAAACCTGCATCGTGAATCACTAAGAGGACGTTAAGCTCTAAATACACCAAATCAACAAGCATAAATTAGCAGCAACAGCCACTTATACACAGCCGGTCAAAAACTCTTGTCAAGGTTTCCGGTTCACTTGGGGGAAACGTGATTAGCTGCATTTACGAATAAACAAGCACGGTTAGCCTGCTTCGACACCATCCTTCAGCAGTTGCACCGCTCAGGGCTGAAGCTGCATCGGGACGAATACAACACACCCAGTTTTTGGAGATTTGGGGGTAGCAAGTCGTTACCTGTGATCCCAGAGGCGACACAGCAAAGCGCAACCCTTCCTAAGGGTTCGATTAGTCTTTATGCACAATGCACCACATAGCACTCAAAACACTTCCCTTGCAGGGCCAGTCCTGGGATCTTAACTGTGCAACCGTTTCAAGCAAGGAATGTCAATGTAAGAGAAGCCAAACCAGCCTAGCAAGCAATACTTTGACGGGTTTTTAAATTTAGACCTTTTGCCTGCCCTGCATCAAAATGACGTTACCCATCTTCTGGGTTTTCCCTGCACAGAGCTGCATATATGGACTCCTTCCTTTTATGAGTGGGAGAGGGAAAACCTCGGAGGGAAACCTAACGGCGCATCCGCCAAAGAGAAGGGGAGTCTGTTACGGCTGGGCTTAGGCAAGCCAGGCCCGCCACAGCCAGCCGGGCAGAAGCCCCAAAGGCCAAGGGAGGGAGAGAGACAGAGGGCAGAAAACGTTGGAGGTTGACAAAATTAGCACAGTCACAAAGGAGGATCCAGATGGAAGAAGAGCTGTTAGACCAGTGGTTCTCAACCTGTGGGTCGGGACCCCATTTGGGGTCGAACGACCATTTCACAGGGGGTCGCCAAACAACACAGTCCGCCATTTTTCCCCCTTTTTCCTTAGCTGTGCTCCTCCCTTTTATTCTATTGGTTTTTGAAAGCCAATAGAATAGACTCTCTTGAATAGAGTCTAATTATATTGGCTTTCCAAAGCCAGTAGGAATTGTCCAGGCTGTCTCTGCCCTGCTGAGCCCGCCAAAAGTCCCATTCTGCAAACAGTGCTGTACCAGTTGAGTAGTCCTCGACTTACGACCGGTTGGGGGTCACGGCATTAAAAAGGTTGAGAACCACTGTGCTAGAACAATTAAGGCGCCAAGTGGTTAAGGCACCAGGCTAGAAAGCGGGGGAGCTGCGAGTTCGAGTCCTGCCTTAGCCAGGAAAGCCACTGGGTGATTTTGGGCCTCTCCCTCTCGCTTACCCACCTCACAGGGGTGTTGTTGTGGGGAAAAAAGAGGAGGAGGAGGAGAAGGAAGAGAAGGGGAAGGGGAAGGAGGAAGAGGAGGAGGAGGAAGAGAAGGAGGAGAGAAGGAGAATGAAGAGGAGGAAGAGGACGAAGAGGAGAAGGAAAAGGAAAACGAGGAGAAGGACGAGGAGGAGATTGATGATGATGTGGAGGAGGAAGAGAATGAGGAGGAGAAAGAGGAAGAGGCGGAGGAGGAAGAAGAGAAGGAAGAGAAGGGGAACGAGGAGGAGGAAGAAGAGGAGGAGGAAGAGAAGGAGGAGGAGAAGAGAAGGAGAATGAGGAGGAGGAAGAGAAGGACAAAGAGAAGGAAGAGGAGAACGACGAAGAGGAGGAGAATGATGATGAAGAGGAGGAGGAGGAGGAGGAGCAGAAGGAAAAAGAGGAAGAAGGGGAAGAGGAGGAAGAGAAAGAGGAGAATGAGGAAGAGGAGGAGGGAGAGGAGAAGGAAGGTGTGTGTTGAACATATTCTAGGACGGAATAACTTCATTGTCAATTTAAGCGTAGGCTCATGGGCACCCATTAAAGTGAAATCTTTAATTTAAGCTCTCTCAAAGGGAGAGACCCTCACCCCTTATTGGTAAAAAAAAAAAAAAAAAAGGCGGGAGGAAGAGAAACAACCCCCCTCCCCCCTGATTTGGCTGCTTCTCCTGAAAGGACAGGCCGGGTTTCCATTTAAAAGTCGCGCCCACGGGGGGGGGGGAGGAGGAGGGGGGGACCACGGGCTCCTCCTCCTCCTCCTGTCCTCCGCAAAGGCCCACCTTGTCAGGCCGGTTTTCCCAGAGCCCACCCCCCACCCCCCCACCCGAGGCCCGAGGGAGGGGCGGGGGGGTCCTCCGCCGACCTTCTTGACGGAGAGCGAGATGTTCTCCAAGATGCGGTCCTTCAGCTGCGCGGGGGGCTCCATGGCGGCGGCCCGCGCTCCCGGCCCGTCCTCCTCGGGGCTCCCGGGCCGCCTCCGCCGCCGTCGCCTCCGCCGTGGGGCCTCCGTGGTGGCGCTGCCGCAGCGGCGGTCCGCCTCGGCAGGGAGGGCGGCGGGCGAGCGAGCGAGCCGGCCCTCAGCCCCGCGTCCTCCTCCTCCTCCTCTGCCGCCGCCGCCCCCCTCGTGACCGCGCGAGGCACGCCGGGAGATGTAGTCGCCCGCCACCGCGGCTGCCACCAGCCGCTGCCAGAGCGAGTCGAGCCGGGAGTTGTAGTCCGGCCCCCTCCTCCTGGCTTCCACGCTCACGCTCCGACGACAGCCCTGCGAGGGAGGCGCCCCGGTCCTCGGGTCTCAGCCGGGCGTTTGACACCTGCCGAGTGTCTCTGGCAGGGGTAGCTCCCCTCATGACTCGTGGACTTCAACTCCCAGAATTCCTGAGCCAGCCACGCTGAGGGAGAGGTTTCCAAGCTGAGCCGTGCTGGCTCAGGAATTCTGGGAGTTGAAGTCCATGAGTCATGAGGGGGGTCATAGTTCCCCATGTTGGCTGAGGAATTCTGGGAGTTGAAGTCCACGAGTCATGAGAGAGCCATAGTTCCCCCATGCTGGCTCAGGAATTCTGGGAGTTGAAGTCCACGAGTCATAAAAGAGCCAAGGTTACTTATCTCTGGCCTAGGCCGCGTTATGACTCATGAACTTCAACTCCCAGAATTCCTGAGCCAGCATGGCTCAGCTTGGAAACCTCTCCATTTCTCCTCAGAAACGCTGGCTGAGGAATTCTGGGAGTTGAAGTCCACGAGTCATAAAAGAGCCAAGGTGGCCTACCCCTGGTCTGTGTGGATTCTCCGTCATCCAAGTCGTGGTTGTCCCAAAGGTGCTTTTTTTTTTTTTCAGGAGGCAACTGGACTTTCTCATTTTTTATAATAATAATAGTAAAGTCAGAAGGGACCTTGGAGGTCATCTAGTCCAACCCCCTGCTCAGCCAGGAAACCCTACACTATTTCGGACAAATGGCTGTCCAGTCTCTTCTTAAAAGCTTTCAGTGTTGGCGCATTCACAGCTTCTGGAGGCAGGTTGTTCCACTGGTTAATTGTTCTGTCAGGAAATTTCTCCTTAGTTCTAGGTTGCTTCTCTCCTTGGTTAGCTTCTCATCCAAGAAGCTTCTTCAACTCTGACCGGATGGTGGGGAATGGCTTTCCTCAGGGTGACACAGACAAATCTCCAAGTGGCCTCAACAAGTCTCTCAAACAGAGGTCTTCAAACTTGGCCCTTTTATGACTTGTGGACTTCAGCTCCCAGAATTCCTCAGCCAGGCACGCTGGCTGGGGAATTCTGGGAGTTGGTCCACAAGTCATGAAGGGGCCCTAGTTCCTCCATGCTGGCTGAGGAATTCTGGGAGTTGAAGTCCACAAGTCACAAAGTTGCCAAGTTTGAAGACCCCTGCTTTAAAAGAACGCAAAGGACTGGATGTCTGCAAGGAATAGAAGTCCTTTCATTCCCCACCATCCTGTCAGAGCCGAGGAAGCTTCTTGGGTGAGAAACGTCTTCAAAGAAAAACAAGAACGTCCAGGTGCCTCGTGAAAGAAGCACCTTTGGGACGACACCTGCCAAGGTTTCACCTGTTGTACCGGTTGGGCCTGCTGGGTCACGGAGCCGCAAGAAGGAAGAGGCACTGCACACACCCAGCTGGCTGCGGGCAAGTCAGCCAGGCAGTTCAGGAGATGCCAGTTGCAGGCCTGGCACCTGCCAGCTTGAGCAAGGGAGAAGGTGCTGCGGGCGCTTCCAAAACCTGTTGCACCACCCAGTGGGCGCTGCCCCGGGCTGGTTTGCCGGCCGGGTCCCTCACCCATCCGATCCAGAGGCAACAAGCAAGGCAAGGAAGGCCAAGCGCTGGGAGCCATTGACCGCATTCCAGAGGCCCAGCTGGACGTGGCATCGGTGCCCGGCTGGTAAAAGGAATCCTGGCAAGGTTGCCTTGGCTGGGCAAAAGCGAATTTGGGGGCAAAGCTACAGCGGTGTCCCTCCTGTTACCCCCAGAAAGGGGGTGCCACCAGCACACAAACACCGCCTTCCATTCTTCTCCTCCCTCCAGTGCCCACCAACCGCCAGGCCCTCTTTGGCCCTGCAACTCTCCAATTTGGCTGCCCTTGAGCGGCTCCTGTAAAAGATCTATCGGACAACTGCTCTGAGAAAAAAACACATCTTTATTTTTTAAAATCCAAAACGTTTACATATTTCTCCCAGATGAGAAGCAACCTGCCCCCCCAATATGTCCTTATTTTTGGTTTAAAAAAAAGAAAAAGATGTGAGCTACAAAGATGACACCTGATCAACGGCCAAGAGCCCCACCATCTTCTGGTACCACCCAGCACCACTAGCCGAGAGGGCCGAAGGAGGGCGAAGGGCTGCCACAAGGCAGGCAGATTCCTGAGAGAGGCTTCGGTCGCTGGGTGTACCAAGGCACCCGACTCAAGTATGGCAACCGGTGGCCCATGCGTCCACTCGGTGTACGAGGGAGCAAGATCCAGTGCTGCTGCTCCTTGAATTCTACGCAAACGCTCCGTGGCGGCAACTGCTTTGCGGACTCTCACAATGGGAGCTGAAGCCGTCAGGACCATCCTCCAGTCAGGCTCTCTCTCTCGCGCGGTCTGCCAGGAAGTGCCGCCCTTGAAAGTCACACAAGGGTGCGTTTCCCAAAAGCATCGCCTCCTTGGCTGGGCTCCAGGACTCTCTTGCCCCGTTGCGGCTGTAACCCAGAGGTTTGGTCCCTCTGCAGCACACATATCCAGCGACAGGCACCTGCAGGGGGACCCCGTTAAGGGAACCCCTGCCATGCAGAAACACCCCCCCCGCCTCCCCATAAAAAAGTTGTGGGTCTCCCCACTGCACCTCCCCTGCCCTTTGAGATCAACAATCCCAGCAGAGCGCCACAGCGTTGTCAAACCAAAAGAGAAACACCGCTTGTGTGGCCCCCCTCATTTCAAAGCTCCCCGATTGCGCTGAATTATGGGGACAAGATTTCCGCCCGATTTCTTCAGCGGCAGAGCAAGTTCAGAAACACATAATGGAAGCCCCCCCACCCTTTCTTAACTTCAAGAGCCAGTCCTGGCGGCGGAATCAGGGCCGTCAATTGTCTCCAAAGGGGTGCGTTCCTGCCCCCCTAAAAGTATTATCAGCAGCTACAAATTCCCTTTCATTTCAAAGGACACACCGTTAAGGGGGGCTCCCAGCAGGCAGACCCCTGCCCTAGCATCCCCCCGGGGAAAAATGGGCAAGCGCCAGCTCCTTCATCAACCTTCTCTCTGCCCTAGCTCTGCCATCCCACCAAGCCCGGCGCCGTCATGCCAATCCACCCCCACACCCAAAGCTGCTAAGCTGCGATTCGGCCTGCACCATGAATGGCCAAAAGGACACACACCCCCGGGGTCTTTTCCCTCGGAACCAGCCTTAAAACCCTGAAGAGCTGACCTTGTGGGTGCAGCTTTACCCCACAGTACCCCAAAAGTGCTGCCTCTTGGCGCGCTCTGCCCTGGAACTGATTTTCACCCATGACTGCAGGCTAAGCAGTGACTGGCACGCGGTGTCCCTCCCTGGAGATAAAAAGGGGTGCCACATTCTGCCCCTACTCCTAAAGTCTCTGCCCCGTGGCACTTCACCAAGGCAAGCACCCCTTCGGAGCCGGGCCTGTAGTTCCTAAACCCTACATTTGCATACTGTTCTATAAAACCATATATTTAAATAAAGTTTATTCCATCAACGTAGCCAGAATAAGAGTAATGAGGGATGGCGGTTTCCGTACAATACCAATATTTGCTTCTTTTAAATGGCCCAAATTCAACAAGGCAAATTAGGAGATGACCTGGTTGAAAATAAAGGGGTATTTTTCTTTCCTGCTTTCTAAAGGAAAAAAAAAAAAAGTACAGCTGAATCAAACTTCGTCATGAGACGCGGGGGGGGGGGGCCTCTTCCAGAAAGGCAGTCTTGGCTACGTGGGGACCACGATGTTCCTGGCTAGCAAGATGAGCAGGGCCAGGTCGGCGTTCCCCCCCGCGTGCTCCAGCGCTTCCCCAGCTTCCTGGGGTGTAAAGCCAGCCCCCACAATCTGATCCAGGTTTGCAGCCAGGGCAGGAGGAGCGCGGGTCTCTGAAGCCCCGGGGAAGGACAAGGGTTCGGACAGCTGCTCCAGAGGTTGCTGCTGCTTGGCCTCTACTTCCGGGGAGATGCTGGAGGCACCCCCTTCTTTGGGGGAAGGGCTGCAACCACTCCGGGACTCCGGGCCCAGCGAGGCAAGAGAGCTCGGCCCTGCTGCCGCACAGCTGGGAAGCTGCCCGGAGGATAAGTGCTGGGCCGGGATTCCCGGGCATTCTTCGGCCGGCGGCAGAGGCCGCACCGCCGAAGGGCTTGCTGGGACGGAGTCGCCACAGCCAGAGACCCTTTGCTGCCCCCCCTCTAAGTGGGGCTCCTCCAGCATCTCTGTCGCGGTTGGGCAGGAGAGGCCCGTGTCCTGCCTCGCTTGCTCTCGGGAGGACGAGGCCTCCTCGCCCGCAGCCGGCCCTTCGGGGGGAGCCTCCAGCAAGGGGCGGCTCTCTTCCTGCCGACTTCGGAAGTCGTGCTTCGCACTCACGACCAGGAGGCGGTGGAGCTCCTTCAGGGCCGAGGCGAGAGAGATGCCCGGCTCTTCGTCTTGATCCCTGGGCCGGTCAACCGCGACATTTCCGCGACTCGCTGGGGGCAGACCAAGGGACAGAGGTAGGCCGCGGCGTTTGTGCAACTCCAGCTCCATCCCGGGGTCCGGGGCGCTCAGGTCAGCCGACTCGAGGTGGTGTGGGTCCGAGGCCTCTGGGCCGGGGGGGCCTTCAAGCGAGCGGTCATCTCCTGGCGGCTGGGCCAGGGCCCCCTCCGGCCTCTCTTCGCCCCCTCGGGAAACCTCTCCCCCTTCTGCAGCAGCGGCCAGCGGCGAGGAAGCGTCCCCCACGGGCCCAGGCTCCCTCCGTTCGCCCGTGGGGGTCCTGCACCTCTTGAAAACTGGAGGAAGCTCCGCGGGCTCTAGCAGCAGGGGGATGCCGGGCTCGCTCGCCTCCGGGGACGCCCTGCCCGGGCTGCTCTCTCCCTCCATCCCCTGAGGCTCGTGGCCAGGAGCAGCCTCCTCCGCTGGGCCGCGGGAAGCAGCGTGTACATTTTGGGAGGTAGCTGAGCCCCCAGGGGGGGAGTGAGCCCCGGCGCCAGGCAGATGCAGCTGGGAGGCTGGCGGCTTCTCGCTCCCCAGCCACCCCCGGGGCGCCAGGAGAGAATCTAGGGATTTCCCAGCTCTGGGACTTTCAGGCTGTGCCCGGCCGCTCGGGGGGGAGCCAACGGCGGGAGCAGAGGCCGAGCGATCGAGCGATCGGCTGGCGGGACTGTCGCTAGTCTTCGGACCACGTTCTGGAAGAGAACCCGGAGGTTTAAAGCCGTCCGACGTTGGTTGTGAAGGAGCTTCACGCCGTGAGGTAGTTTCTGTATCGCTAGTCTCTGCGCACACAAGAGGAGAGAAGAAGGGGAAAGGCAGAGTAAGAACCCCGAAGACCCCAGGGGAAACGGGAAGGCCCTCCGAGCGAGCGACCGACCGAGGGGCAGCAGGGACAGCTGCCTGCCCCACCCCTCCTGGCCTGCTCCCTTCACAAGGGGGTGTAAGCCAAAACGACTCTTCCCCCCCCCAACCCATCCCCAAAGGGTCTCCTTTCCCCACTCCCTCCCCCTCAGCCTTCTTCTACACCGGGGGAGCCTGGAAGAGGCAGGCAGGCCAGCCAAACCAGCTGCAAGGAAGCAAGCATGCAAGCATTGTAGCCATCAAGGACGACACCCCCTCCCCTTCAATTTCACTGCAGTTAAGGTCTTAACCGGCTGCGAGGGTCACTTCCCGACTTCCGGGGAGGAGCAGAGCCGCGACAGGTGTGGCGGAGAGCCCCTCCTGCAAAACGCCAGAAGAAAAGTGCTCTGCCAAGCTCAGGGGGAGGGGGGGGTCCTCCGGTTAGCCCGAGCCAAGCCCGGCGGGCGCCCTCCAGCACGCCCCACATGCATTAGCCGAAGTAACGCCCAGCACTGCAGAAGCAGGCGCTGCTTTTCGAGCGGAAGAAAGCCAGGGACGCCGTTTGGCATCGAGCGATCCAGCCGAGCGATCCTCCAGCCGGCCAAGCGGGAGCACAGGCACCGGCCCGGCGTTCCCGAGCTGCCATGATTCCAGTAGGGACGAGCTTTGGCCAGGAGCGTCGCGACGAGCCTCCGCTGCTGCTGGAATCCTCCGCGCGTCTCGGATCCGGGCCGGCGGTCCCTTCCACCCCCACCCCCCCGTGCAGGAGCCACGAGAGGGAGGAAGCGCCGGCAGTACCTGGTCTGTGGCCCCCTCCAGCGGCAGCAAAACCACACTACATGCATCTAGGCTTCTGGCATTCTGTTTGGATTAGGAGACAAACACATCAAAGGTGGATTAGCACACCACATGCACCGTGCTCCAGGGGTGGCCCAGCGGCCCTTTCCGCCCCCCCTCCTGGCAGCTCCTCTCTGAACAGCCGCTGGCTTTGCCGGGCGAAGGCTCAACTAGCGCTGACTGTCCTGTCGATGCTGCTGCTGCCTGTCTGACCGTCGCGGCTCTTTCTCCTTCCTCTTCCTGCGGTTAAGAAGGGCAGCCTGGCGGGCACACAAGAGCCCCCGGGCTGGAGCGCTCCAACGCTCGGCCGGATGGGGAATCTCTCCTGACTGTCCAGCACATCCCAGATCCGCCAAATGCCGGCTAGGCCTGTTTGGCCTCTGCTGGCCTGGCTCAGGTCCTGCAGGAAACGCTCTCCTGATCCTGGGTAGCTGTCCTGTCCTCTCCCTGGACTTTCTCAAGACCTCCTTCCTCTTCCTCTCCTCTGAGCTGGCTGGCTGGCCGGACGGGTGCAGAACCAGCGAGGTTTTATGCCCGCTGATTCCTCCGTCCGAGGGCTCTGGACTTCCGTCACTTGCCCTCCAGATCCAATGCAGGAAATTACAAGCTCAGCCCTGAAGGAGGCCAGGCGCTCTGTCTGTCTGTCTCTCTGTCAGCTCCACCACAGAGCTAGCCAGCTGGATGCGAGGGTTGCGTGCTCTCCTCACCAGGTCTACGCTCACTCCGGTCCTTAGCAGACGCTTTGGGGAAAGGGGGACGCTGCAGTCGCGCAATGACAGGCACTTCTGCGACCGACTGCAAAAGACAGAACTGCGTCCGGGGTGCGGAACTGCGCAGGGCAGCTGAGGGACGACGCCAAGGACCCGCGGTTCCCATCACACAAGCCTCACGTGGGGCCAGAGAGACCTCCCCAGCCTATCATGAAGCAGTGGGTGACCAAGCAGCGCCAGAGGGCCTCTCGATGCAGGAGAGCGGGGGGGGGGAGCAGCTGGGGACTTCTTGGGCTAAGGAAAACTCAAGACTAAGCTGGGTCTCGTAAGGGAGAGCTTTAATACCAGGATATAAGGATACAAAAGCCGCTGCTTGGCTGACCACAGAGCGTTTTTCTCGGGGGGGGGGCAAGGGGGTGGTGGTGGTGGTGGAACAGAGCTGCTATAAGAGGGTGCAAAGGGACTGAGCTGATGGGCTGGAGACTGCGCGGTGCTTCCTTCGCTTGGCTTTCCGCCGCTGGTGCCTGAGGCAGCCATCGTGCCCAATTCCACCTGTAACTAATGGTGCCACAAGAGAGGAGGATGAAGGAAGCCCCCAGACAGACAAAATCGTTTCCACTGCCTTCTTCTAGGTGTGTCAGTCTGCCTGCCACATCTCTCCCACTTCTGGGAGCTGGGGGGAAGGGGGAGCAGTCCCAGAATAAGCCCCTCTGAGTCCACAGGTCAGAGTCGGGGGGGGGGGTTCACCCTCAGAGAATGCTCCAGGGGACTCGGCAAGTGGGGTGCGGACCGAGCCTCGGCCCTAGAGAAAGCAAAGCCTACGAATGCGGCTGAGAAAAAAAAGAACTCTGCACGAGACAAAGAGAACGTATTTCCTTCCCAGACGCTGCTGAGAATGTTTACTGGAGAGGAAAACGTGGCTAAAGAGAATGAAGCTACTCACCTAAGGTCTCCTGCTTTGGATAGAACTAGGGTGCAATGTGGAAATCTCTGCTTAAAAGCCGCTAGTCGCAGCTCCCCGCAATGCGCGTCCCTTCTGGGAAAATCTGAACGGCAGCCAAAATTCTCGACGCTCCCGCCGAAAAAAAGCTCTGCCTTTTCCTCTGTCGCAGCGCCATCGGTCTGCCTCTCCTTGACCGTCTCCCCCCCCCTCCCAGACCCTCTTTTCCTGGGCGCTCCTTCCAAATTAAGAACTCTGTCTCAACTGAACAAGCCTCCCAATTTCAGCACTGCAGGATTAACGCTGGCCTGAAATCCGGTCAAACGCAAAGAGCAAAAACTTACATTTCTCCGGCAGGCGCCCCACATGGGCCCGTCCTCCTAAGCCCTGCCCGCCTACCTGCTTCGTCGGCAGACTTCTGAAGGGCTTCAGCCAGCTCCTGATCGGCCAGCTCGTCGGGCCGCATGTCCTCCCGGCCCGGCCCGTAAGCCAGCCTGGCACATTCGGGAAGCTCCCCTTCAGGCAGGAAAGAGGTCTGGGAGCCGGTGGTGCCGATCACCAGCATGTTGTTCTTGAGGTCAATGGAGCACTGGGGAGGACGGAAGGAAGGCGAGGGGCCCCTGAGGCTGACCTGGGCCTGCTGGGGGAGCTGCCCACAAGGCCAGGAAGGGAAGCAGGCCCCCCTGCCTGGGAGGGCCACTCCTGCCAGCCTCAGGGGCCCGCTGCTCACCTGGTGTCTCTTCAGCATGTCCAGGCCCAGCAGCATGTCCATGGGCTGCTCCTCCAGGATGGAGAAGGAGCACGGAAGGAAGTCCCCCTCGATCTGCACCTGAGCTGCAGCAGAAAACATGGCGGGTGGGCCTTCCTTCCACCCGGAAGGGAGAGGGAGAGGGAGGGAGGGAGGGAGGGAGAGAGAGAGAGAGAGAGAGAGAGAGAGAGAGAGAGAGAGAGAGCGTTGCCAGCTGCTTCCCAAGAAACACATACCCAGGTGCACCCTGCCAATGATACGCTGGGTGCCCACGCCCCGGGCGATGCCGGCCCAGCGCCGGTCCACCAGTCGCATGATGTTGCACCGCTCTGCACACGCCTGGCTCATGATGGTCATTTGAGCACCTGCCAAGAGGGCACGCCGAGTTGAAAACATTCCCACCGGAGCGGGGGGAGGGGGGGCTCTTCCCGAAGGAAGTAGGCCTGCCGTCCTCCCCACTCAAGGCTGTCCGGCATACTCCCGCCTCCCCCAGACGTGGGCCGGTCACGCCTGGGCAGAGAGGAAAGGGTGGGTGGGTGGGTGCGAGGCAGACGGACCCGAGTCCACGAAGGCCTTCACGGGGTGGCCGTTGACCTTGCAGTTGATGTACAGCATCACCACCTGGCCAAAGCTCTCGGGGGCCTCTTCCATCGCGATGGTCATGTTCTCCTCAATGTTCTGCTGCCTGAGCAGGAGACCAAAGCCGGTCAGGGGCCTCCTTTGGCCAGCTCCCTCCAGACCCAGCCCTCCGCTCGCCCCCTTACCTAATGTCCTCCTCGATCTTGGCCTGAGCTTCCAGGTCAAATGGGTCAGCGGAGAAGAGACGGATCCTCTCCTGCTCCCGGCGCGCTCGGTCCTGCTGCTGCTCCACCAGAACCTGAGTGAATTTCTCTGGGACACAAAGCGCGGTGGGGAGAGTAAAGGGGTATGTGAAAGCCATAGGGCAAAGGGGCGGCACTACCCTCCCCCCTGCCCCATCCCTCCTCCACCCAGCCCCCTTTCTCCCTTCCTGGCGGGACTCACCCAGGTCCCCGCTCAGCAGCGCCTCGGCCAGAGGGGGGTTGCGTTCCTTCAGCAAGGAGAGCTCGTGGGGGTTGGCCAGCAGCATTGCTCGCAAAAGGGCCGGGTTGTCCAGGCCCTGCGGTATGGAGGGTGGCTCGGGAGGGGCTGGGGCCCCTGTGGAATCAGGTGGGGCGGGGGCTGGGGGCGGCAGCTGTAGAGACTGGGACAACTGGGTGGACGTCCCCGGCACGGCGATGCTGCTGAAGTCTATCCTGGGCAGGCCTGTTTGCGACGGGGGGAAGAAGACAAGAGCGGATCAGCCTCTGGCCTTGTGGAAAAGGCAGGTGGATCTTGCAGGGGGATTCTGGACCAGGGGCACCCGCCCACGCTGGGCTTGAGATGGACCGACTAGGTAAGCCTCCCTTTTTTTCTGACGCTCCAGAATTGGGGAAACATGACCCCCCCACTGTGCCCTCCAAAGACTGCCCGGCTGATCCGAGCAGCCGAGACAGGATGACGGCATCTGGGGCCCTCAAGGAGAAAGCTGTGGAAACGGAGCGACAGCCGACAAAACGTTGGTTTATTACGACTCTGAATGCACCTTGCATTCTGCTCCTGCCTTCCTGAATGCTATTCCTGTGAAATCCACTTTGCGCGCACAGTTGCAGAGAAAAACAGCCCTCGAACAACAGGGGGAGCTGCCTTAAGTTCCCGGAAGGAGGAGGAGGAGGGTGCGAAATCTGCCAGGCTTTCCAAAATGTGATCTGAGGGGCTACCAAAGTTGCTGGCAGATTTACAACCGGCAGGTTAAAGGGACAGAAAGCGCATGAACCTCTGACAGAGGCCGGCCAGGCCAAAGACGGGGACCCCCCAAGGAGGAAGAGGAGGAGGAAGAGGGCGTCTCTTACCAGGAAAGGGGGCCGGGGACAGTGCCTGCCCATTCTCCACTTGCTGCAGGATCACCACGTCGCCATCCTTCAGGCCGTAAGACGCCAACGACCGGTGGTTGTCGGTGAGTGGCTGCTCGCCGAAGATGATCTGAGAGAGACACAGGCAGCCGGTCAAAAGCAAGCGGCCTCCGCTGGGTCAGCAGAATCGGGCCAGCCTTAGACCCCCAAAGCTATAGAGCGTGCATGCCTAGAAGGGCAGCCTTCTGCCTGGAGCACCCTAGCCACCCACCTCTCCGAGCGGCTTAACAAGAGCAGCCCAACCAAGCTGGCCTTTTCCTTTCCAAGCCTGGCTGTGGAATTCTGGGAGTTGAAGTCCACAAGTCCTAAAAGGGCCGAGTTTGAAGACCCCTGCTCTACGTGCGACCGCCCGGCTGCCCTCCCTGATCCACCGTCTTCCTCAAAGCTTCCCCAGCCAATCTAAGGTGGGTAAAGCCATTCCCAGAAAGGATTCTTCAAAGTGCCAGGAAGTGGATCCCGCTGAGGCCCCAAGACACTACCAGGATCTGGCAGAAAGCACTGCCTGAAAGAGTTCCCGCAGCTGTGCCATGGTGGGGGGGAGAAGGCGAAAGCAGAAGGACGTAACTCGGAACCACCCGCAGGTTCCAGCAAGCCGACCCGACCGGTACAAAGGATTGCAGGCTGGCCGGTTGGGTCACGAGCTGGATCCACCCCAGGGAGGAGGGATCAGACTATCAGGAGAGGATCTGGGCCAAACATGGCTGCAGTTGGCACTGCAATTGGGGGAAGGGGGGGGGATCGGGATCTACAGACCCCAGAAGGAGCCCGGAAAGGGGTGGAGGGGCCTCCCAGCTCAAACCAATCGCCCTGCCTTCTTGCAAGCGGCTACCCAGGAAACGAGGGGTCTGGGTGCAGCCAAAAGAGAGGAACGGGGCAGGGGGGGGGCAAGCAAGGCAGACAGAGGGAGGCAGCCCACCCGAGTCCCAAAAGAAGGGGCGGGGGAGGCAGGTACTCAGGGCAGAAGGGCCGCCATCCGCAGACTCGGAGCTCTGGCAGCCGGCCAGCCAGCCAGTTCCGCAGCCCTGGCAGAAGACCCCTCCCCAGGGCAAAGCCCCCCCCCGCCATCCGGGGGCATCTGGAAGCCCCTGCCCAGCTGCGCGGGGGGAAGGGATAGCCGCCCCACAAGCACCGGAGGGGGGGGCAGCGGAGGGGAGGGAGGGAGGGGGCTGAGCCCACCCCGCAGGGACCCCCGCCCCGCCGCCCACCAGCCACGCGGCGCCGGCCGAGGGAGCCAGCCCGGAGCAGGAGGGAGGGCGACCCGCCCCGGCTGCAGCGCCTTCCACACACACACACACACACACACACCCGCAAACGGCTCCTCGGGGGGGGCTCCACCCCACCCACCCCCGGGAGACCCCCGGGAGACGCGGGGGTCGCGCGCCCACCTGGCTCTGGGAGGCGGGGACGCCGGACTCGAGGGCGCAGAGGGCGCGGAAGTTCTGCAGCTCGAAGTCCGCGTCCACCTGCAGCGAGAAGGTCAGCTCGGAGCGGTCCCGCCGCAGGCAGAACACCGTCAGCAGCATCGCCCCGCCGCCGCCGCCGCCTCGCCCGCGCAGCCCCGCCGGAAAGCCCCGTCCGAGGCGCCCGACGGCTGTCGCAAAGCGTCGCGCAAGGGGGCGCAGGCGCGGCAGGGGGAGGGGAGGAGCCCCGCCCCTTCGACGGGCCGGCTAGCTAGCCAGACGGCCTGAGCGGGGGAAAGAGGGATGCCGCTGCCCTCTAAGGGTCACGTCGGGAACTACACCCGCGCACAGAAATAAACTTTCCAGCGGCATGTTAGGCTTATTATTCAGTACCGTTATTATTATTATGGATCATCGCACAGTCAGCCAGATGTTCAGACTGGATTTGGCATTTTTGTCTACCTATTGAGTCCTTACCCAGGACCTGGGATAGGCAGATGTGGATGTTTGATGGTATTACAGATCTCGTGGCAGGATGGAAGCAGTTACTAGTAAGGCCACCTTTTGCAATTGACTAATAGCGAATTTGTCAATATTATTATTATTATTATTACTGTGGATCATCGCACAGTCAGCCAGATGTTCAGACTGGATTTGGCATTTTTATCTACCTATCGAGTCCTTCCCAAGGACCTGGGATAGGCAGATGTGGTGGTATTATTATTGAGCATCATCGCACAGTCAGCCAGATGTTCAGACTGGATTTGGCATTTTGTCTACCTATCGAGTCCTTACCCAGGACCTGGGATAGGCAGATGTGGATGTTTGATGGTATTACAGATATCGTCGCAGGATGGAAGCAGTTCCTATTATTATTATTATTATTGTTATTGTTTTGTTGTCCTCCTGTGATCAAAGCAGGTTTAGCAGCCACAAAAACAAATAAAACTTTTTAAATGGGATTTTAGGTATATTATTCTGCACCTTTATTATTAAAAGACTTGTTATTAAAAGGGCAACTGGAGGCCCAGGGGCTGCTGAATAGGCACAAAAGAAGGAAAGCTGCTTCAAAAGGCCTATGATGGCTTCAAGGCTAAGGTAATATAAGCTTGAAAACCCTTCATCCGACTTAAAAATGGGTATCTTCAAACTTAATGTAAGGGACAGAAAACAGTGCCCTCCTGTGGTCAAAGCCGGTTTAACAGCCACAAAAAGAAATAAAATCTTTTTAACGAGATCTTAAATCAGAATGGAGATTTTTTTCAGAGGGGATTGTGGTTCTGCTCCATGTCCCTTTTTAATGCCTATTCTTATAGACCTTTGTGTCATCCGTGTTGTTAGTGATGGCAGTGATCGGGTCCCTAAACAAACGTCCTTTAAAAGGCGGTCCGGCTGCTGTAGATGAGGAAGCAGCCGAGGTGATCCAAAAGCCGAAAACCGTCCCGCTCCTGACATTAACCAGAAACAGCCCCAGGAAATGGGATGGAATGGTGTCTTTATTTTGCAAAATGGAACAAAGATGGAAGAGAAACAGTGGCATGGAAGCGGAGGGAGGGCATCCCCTCCTTGGGTTCGGTCTATGGCTTCCAGGCTGTCCATAAACGGAGGGGAGAAGCCACTCTCCCTGTTCTGGCCCATTCTCAGTCCAGAAACAGGTCCCCCAACTGGGACTCGGCAACTCAGTGGCACTCCGGGCGTGCCAGGACCTCCAACGGGGATCCTGTGCTGCTCTGGCTGAGTCTCAGTCGGACTTCTCCTTCTCCTTCATGTGCAGGAACACAATGCTGAACAGGAACAGGCCCACCATCATGGAGAAGGCGCTGGCGTAGTACGGAAAAGCGGAAGGGATGAAACGCTCGTACTGCGTATGCTGCAGGGGGCGGACGGACACCTGGCCAAGTGGGGGAACAAGGAATTAGTACCAAGGCAGGCCGGGAATGGACTTTTTGTGACTCCACCTGGTGAATTTCAGGCGCCCAAATGAGCAAGAGCAGCAAACAGCGTGTACTCCTGTTTACAACAACCATAAACGGTGTCCGTAACTCAGCAACGGTCGCTCGGCTAGCAAATCTCCAACCAGATTCCCCCAAAATCTCCAGCTGGGCCACAGAGACCAGCACATCTGTAATTCAGCACTCTGTCTGTCAGCCCTGCTACAAAGGCAGCCCCCCCAAGCGCATTTGGAGAGAGGAGACTCTCCCCTCAGCTATTTCAGCCGGCAAACTGTTCAGAGGAGCAAGGAAGACCACCGAGGCTCCACAGAAAAGCCGGCTGCTACATTTAGGGCAAGTGAACTATCTGGGTGTTTCTCCAGAAAGTTGGGCCTTTGCACGTGCCTGTGCAAGCTCTGCACAGCCAAGCATTGACTTCTGAAGCCGCTTCAGTGTCTGCTCGGAGGCCAAGGAAAAGAAGACAATTACCTGTGTGGAAGAGTAGAGGTGCGTGTAGCCAAGACGGTTGTAGTCCACCTTGAACTGGAACACCCCGTAGACATCTGGCAGCTTGAACTGGACGCTGTACTTTCCGCCTGGAAGCCAAGCACATTTCTGGCATCAGAGCAACGCAAAGCCTGGAAAGCTTGTCGGCCCCTTCTCCAGCCCGCTGCAGGCCTACAGCTGGGACAGGGGACCACAAGCTTGCTCTCCTGGGTAACTGCTTTATGTTCGTGAGGCAGACATCCCTGATCAATGAGAAAAAGCTGCTTATGACTGGCTGGGGGCTTTTATAGCCCCTCATCTCTCCAAAGGCCGACTAATCAGAGATCTGCATGCAGCCGGCTGTTAAAAAGTCTTTTTAAAGGAGAAATGGATTTTTTTTTTCTTCATGGACAGTGTGTGGAGGAGTTGCTAACCCAGCACAAAGAACTGGTACCTCTGCATTTCAAAGATCAAAAGCCGTTGTTCATTCAGCAAAAGCCGCCTCACCATTTTTCTTGAGGAAAGTCCTCACAAACGGGTCAATACGGACAAACTCCAGCTGAATATCGTCGCCATCGAAGGGAACCCATTTCCCATCGGACAGCTTTTCTATGACGATGCTGTACTCCTGCAAAGACAGGGACCCGTCGCTGTGTGAAAAAAAAAAAAACCAGCACGAAGAACCCCGAGCTTCGGTGGTGTTGAAGACGCTAAGCTCTTACCACCAAGTCGGTGACGGTGTAGGCGCTTGGAGGCATCTTCTCGCCCACGCGATGGTGAGACACCTCTCCCACACGCAGCACCCCTTCCTCCTTGAAGACCCAGTGGGACAAGGCCATGGCCAGCTCGTAATTTCCATTTTGGGGGTACCTGAAATAGAGAAATTCAGGATCTTCAGCCTGCTTACCCAACGTCGGAGCTCATTTTTTCTGCCATTGTGCTGGCACTGCTTGCCCGCGGGAGGATCCAGCTGGGGTAGGAGGATGGTGAAAAGAGGCTGGGCTGCACCTGAGGCAGCAACTCCTGGAAGATCTTCACGAAGGGCACCTCAAATTTATGCCCACAGGTGTTCAAGCCATCACATTTATACAACCACCAGGAACTGCCTGGAATTGTTTGTCTCCTTCCCTACTGCAATTTTTAGATTGCTGCCTACCAATTTTCCCATAGCATAAAGCAGTGGTGGTGAACCTATGGCATGCCAGAGGCGGCACTCAGAGCCCTCTCTGTGGGCACACACACCATGCCCCGGAGATGGTAACCGTCCCTCCTCAACCAGCCGCCCGCTAACTCGCTGAGGTCCCACATGGCTGGATGTATCCCAGCACCCATGCGCTTGCTGGCCTCTGTGTGCAGGGGCTGATGGTGTCAGGCAGCAGCCACCCCAGCCCCTGCCTCACCTTGCCCTGACAATGGCACCCCCACCCTGCCTTGCCTCCCTTCACCCCACAGGACGAGGCTCCTGCCCACCGCCCCATCTGCCAGAGACTCCCCTGGATCTCCCCCAACCCTGCCCAGCCCCCAGACGTCCCTCCCCACGAGCAACATTGAGGTGATCACGCCCACCTTGGCCACACACACCCAATCTTCCATGACCACCACAGCCATGCCCACCCAGTGGGCCACGCCCACTTGGCACCCGGCGATAAATAAGTGGGTTTTGGGTTGCAGTTAGGGCACTCGGCTTCTAAAAGGTTCGCCATCACTGGTATAAGGTGCCCATTTATTTATTTTTTTGAGATCGATGCTGCAAAGCCATCTTTGTCCTCGTCCAGAGAGTCAACCACATGAAACCAACCCTGCCTTCCTGTCCTTCCCACAGCCCAGGTTTGAAGCTAAGCTGACAACAAGAGCCACCTGCCTTTGAGAGCCTTCTGCCGCCTTCTGCACCGACGATGTGAAAAAGGCATCGCTGAAAAAATCCAGGGAGCCGCTGAAGACCACGCGGGCGTTATTCCGGGCCTGCAGGCCGGCAATCAGGAGGGTGTTCTTTCCGACAGCATGAGGGTACTGAAGAAAGAAGTTGCTTTTTTAACAATATCCTTCCAATGTTTGAACATTCTTAATTGCATGCTTGTTTTTTAGTACTTTTTCTTTTTTAAAAAAAAGAAGCCGACTTCAGTTGTGCATAGATACATGTGCAAACACCCTTCTCTTTTCAGGAAACCCAGAAATATGGATTCAAACCATGAGGTTGTCTGAAGGCTATCCAGAAAAAGAAAACATTGCCCAACAATCAACCACTGACTAGCAGTTCTGAAAGAGGCTCAGCAGACACAGTTCAAGTGGGGCTAAAAAGGAGGGGGAAGCAGTGGGACCCAACCTCCCAACTCTTTCCAATGGATTGGGAAGCACAATTCCCACATACCTGGGTGATAGGTTTGTCAGGAAAGAAAGAATACGAAGTTGAGGAGCCGGTGAGAATATCAAGAACCAAAGGGTTGTCAGGATCCGCCACCATCCTGGAAAGAAAACGGTTCCTGAGTGGAAGTGGGCAGGGCTAGGGTGAGTTTCCTACTGGGTGGGTGCCAGGACTTACCCAACTCCCCTGAAAAGAATGGGGTTATGCGGCTTCTTCCCCACAATCGTTGGAGCCTTAAGGAGATTCTCAGAGTCTGCAACAATGAGGGTGTGCTGCAGAGAAAGAGACACCTTGTAAGGACCCACCTCACTTTACATCTTAAGAAGACAGAACTCTTGGAATATTTCTTCCAACAGGCATCTTTATTAAGAGAAAATGATGACAGGCGTGCTAGACAGGATCTGAGAAATTCTCTCCCATCCTTCAATGTTTTAAGCGTTCCCAAGCAGCCCCCCACCCCACAGTTCTTCCAGGCGATGATCCTTGTCCCCCCCCCCTTTTCCTTACTGCCGGCAAAAGGGAGACTTCAGAGAGCGAGTAGATGAAAGGCGATGGCCATATTGTTACAGTCAGTCCTCTTGGTGAGAATCAACACCCAGTCCTTTTGAAGTTTTAATGAAGGAAGTGAGAGCCATCAAACCCCCCTGCGCATCCCCCTTCCCCTTCGTAGTATGATAGACTCCAGAGAGAGCAGAAGTGGTTTTTTCCCAGAGTAGATAACTGGAAATGAAATATAATTGGATTCTGACACACCTACTAAACTTTCCTAGCAGGTTTCTTACTCTGTTGAACATCTCTGGGAGCAGAGGGATCATAAGGGCAGCAGCCAACTGGACCTGTGTCCTTCTTACCTGTCCTGAGTCAGAAACATCGTAGTTGTGATGGTCAATCACAGCTGTCTTTTCCTCATCAAATTCTATCCCGCATTCACTTCCCAATTCTCGAAGGGGATCACCTAAGGAAGATTAAAAATCCCATGTGTTCTTTGTACTAAAAAGTGAGCACCCCTTGCCTCTTATCTACCACCTAAGAGGGTTTCTAACATGCTGGGGAGACACTTGCAATAAATCCATGTGCCTTGTCGGAAAACACCAAAGAATTCTCGTCTTTCTTTTTTAAAATCTCTCTTATTTTATAAAAAGACGCAGAATTCTAGAACTACAAGGCCCAAGCAAGTGTAACTGTCTGTCTCCGAGTATAGCTACAAAACAGAAGAGATGAATAATGATCAGTTACTGTTTTGAAGCTTTACTTTCCACAAACTGTTTAAAACCTGGTTGTTCTCCCAGACCTTAAATAGGATGGGCTTTTGCTGCTCAATTTTGGGCAGCCTTGAGATTGAAATGATAAAAAAAAATAAAATAAAGGGAAAAATATATATTTAAGCTGAAGACAATCTGCCCCATTGTGCCCGTTTCACTGACCGATATCTGAACTGGCAGCCACGAGGATGTTTCCACCCCCATCAATGAAAGCAGCAATGGTCTCCACGTTGATGTTGCCTCCAAAATCTGAAACGCGATGACTGGGTTAAATTTCTTGTCAGAATGTCAAAATGTTTACAGTAATACAGTATTCCAGCTAGCAAGTGTGCAACAGAATAAGACACGAAGCCCTGACAAAGGAACAGCAGTTCTTCACTGGACGGTCTCAGCTCTGCCCATCACATATCGTCATCATGGCAAGAATAGAATAGAGCTGGAAGGGACTTTGGAGGTCTTCTAGTCCAGCCCCATGCTCAAGCAGGAGAACCTAAAGCATCTCGGACAAGTGACTGTCCAGTGATGGAGTGCCCACAATGTCTAAAGGCAAGCTGTTAATTGTCCTCACTGTTAGGAAGTTATCACCACCACTATCACCAATATTATTATTGTTGTTGTTAATTTTCATTTCAATTTGCAGTCTGGGACTGGTAAAAACTTCACAGTTCAAGTCCTAAACAAGGACCTAATAGCTATTAAGGTAACGACTGCGTATATAGGCAATTCCGAGTAAGGTGGTTTTTTGACAAATACTTTTTTTTTACAAGTATTTTACAAATGCTTCTTATTCAGGTATAAGAAGTTCAAAATGTCCATGTATCTCTGCAGACCTTTGGGTATTGCTCCAAAGCATTACTATTGGCACAATCATTGATTTCTTCCTCCACTATCGCTCAACTTCAGTTTGCAAATCACAATATTATTATTACTATTATATTACTATTATTATTGTTACTATTATTATTATTACTATTATTATTATCATGGATCATTGCACAGTCAGCCAGATGTTCAGACTGGATTTGGCATTTTTGTCTACCTCTCGAGTCCTTACCCAGGACCTGGGATAGGCAGATGTGGATGTTTGATGGTATTACAGATCTTGTCGCAGGATGGAAGCGGTTCCTAGTAAGGCCGCCTTTTGCAATTGACTAATAGCGAATTTGTCAATGCCAATGGTGTTCAAGTGGTGCTCCAGTTGTTTTGGGATTGCACCCAAGGCACCTATGACTATTGGTACTACCCTTGCTTGCCTTTGCCACAGTCTTTCTATTTCTATGTCTTTGTATTTTGTTATCTTCTCCAGTTCTTTCTCTTCTATTCTGCTGTCTCCAGGCACTGCCACGTCCACTATCCAGACTTTTTTGTCTTTCTTATCGACAATTGTTAAGTCCCGGGTTGTTGTTATTATTACCATTATTATTGAATTTATTTGCCGCCTATCCCGCCCCGGGGCCCCTCATCGCTTCCCTCCCCCCTCCAGGCGCCGACGGCGGAGCCTCAGAGCCCCTCTGAGGGGAAGGAAGAGCGATCCGCCTCACCTTCCACCGAGGGCGAGAAGACGACCAGGTTGTCGTAGAGGAACTCCCCGTACTTGATCAGGGACAGCCCGGGGTCGTCCGCCGTCCGGAAGGTCAAGTCAAAGCCTCGCTCTGCAGGGGAAAAGGAGTGAGGGAGGCCGCCGCGCCCCGTCCTGGTAGGGAGGCGCGGAGACCCCCTCCGCGGAGCTCACTCGCCGCGTCCCCCCACCGCCTCTCCCTCCGGCCGCCAGACCTGCCAGGCCGCGCAGGAAGAGCGAGTGCGTGTCCTTCAGGTTCATGTTCTCCAGCAGCACCAGCGTTCGCGGGCCGCCGCTGCCGGTCGCCGCCGCTGCAGCCGCCGCCACGAGCCCTGTCACCAAAACCAGCACCGCCGCCGCCATCTTTCCTCGTCCCTCGCTGGGCGCCCCGGAAGCAGAACCCGCCTCCCCCCAATCAGCTCACAGACCTCGGCCTGAGGAGGCGGGGCGAGCCCCGGCTAACCAATGGAGAGAAGAGGACAAGGCGGGGCCTCTGTCCGCGTGAGCTAATGAGAAGGAGCCACCTCCGCCCCGAAGGAACGACTGCTCCGCGTTCGCTGCGCCAGGCAGGCGTCGCCACGCCCCTTGTTGCCAGGAACCAATCGGCACCCAGGCAGCGTAGGCCGGCGAATGGACCGCCGAGGGAAGCGAGCGTTACTGTGGTAACGGAGGCGCGCCCGGCTTTCTTTCCGAGCGGTCCTCTTCCGGGAAGAAAACGACGCGCAGACTTTGCATTTGAAATATAAATATATATATATATTTATCTGTATATTTGCAGGCCATCTCTATACAAACGGCTTTGCGTCTGTTCAATATAAGCAATGCATCTTCAGCACTGTACACAGCAGCCCAGAGAAAGCAACATACACTCTTCCAATAAGTTACTCACATACAGGCACATTCAGCTTCCCATAAATAAAGAGCACTATGCTCCAGCAGGGAGACACACCACAACAGCCACACTGCAGGGATGGCCAGAAATTCAGGCTCCTGATCAAAGGCATTCGTCCCCCCCCCACGCACAGGCTGGAGAGAATTGGCCAGGAGTGCAAACACGCAGGGAGGCTCAGCATGGCCCCCTCCCCAACCACGCTGACCCCCAAAATGATTGGGAAATGTGCTGCCAGCCCAAGACACCCCTTGGAACTTCCTAGATGGGGTGGGGGCCCAGTCAACCCGTGCATCAGCCCTCCGATTCCAGCAGGGCCGACTTCGCAGGAAGAAACCCTGAATTACGAGACGACGAGAGGAAGGGCATCTTTTGCGCACAATCCAAAAAGAATGACAACAAAGCCAAGCCACAGAGTGGGGCAGAAAGGGTCACCAGGGACTCTGTCCTCTTCTGATGGCAGAAATACTAAGAGAAGGACCCGGCTATGCATCCTTCCACCTCGTGCTGCACAGCCAGAGATCGACTGGCCCCAAACAGCCATGAGGACTTCCGACGAGTTCGCTCTTCTCCCCAGAGATCCTCGGCTGGACCGTCTTGCTCCTCATAACCATGGTTGATTCGTCCTGCACCCAAGGAGCAGAACAGGCCTGCACGAACATCGGAGTAATTGTCTAGCAAGGCTTCCATACTGGGGAATTCTACATTCAAATGCTATGGGGGAGGGGGAGGGGGGAGGAGAGAGAAAGAGAAAAGAAAAATATGAAAGACCGCATACTTGGATTCCAAGCACCCATGACAAAAGTTGATTTTTGCTAAGTAAATCGGCGCAAGGTACTGCAAGCAAAACAACGGCTAATTTAAACGATTAAATAAAAACAGCAAGGGAAACGTGGGCTTAAGGATTGAAGAAAGGAAGCTAGTTCAGTGAGGCTTTGGGTATGTGTGCTCTTGGTCAAAGGAGGGGAGAAAAGAGGAAGAGGGCACTGGAAGATTCTTACAGCGAGCAGAATAGAATAAAGAATAAATAGAATAGAATAGAATAGAGCTGGAAGGGACCTTGGAGGTCTTCTAGTCCAGCCCCCTGCTCAAGTAGGAGAACCTATACCATCTCAGACAAGTGACTGTCTAGCCTTTTTAAAAATCGCCTGTGATGGAGCTCCCACGATTTCTGGGGGCAAGCTATTCCACTAGTTAATTGTCCTCACTGTCAGGAAGTTTCTCCTTAATTCCAGGTTGCTTCTCTCTTTGGTCAGTTCCAACCATTGTTTCTTGTCCTGCCCTCTGGTGCTTTGGTGAATAACGTGGCCCCCTCTTCTTTGTGGCAGCCCCTCAAATACTGGAATACTGCTATCATGTCTCCCCTACTTCTTCTTTTCTTTAGACTAGCCAAACCCAAATCCTGCAGCTGTTCTTCGTATGTTTTAATCTCCAGACTTTCATCATCTTAGTTGCTCTTCTCTGAATTTTTTCCAAACTCTCAACATCTTTTTTGTGATATGGTGACCAAAATTGGCTGCAGTATTCCAGGTGTGGTTTTACTAGAGTTTTATAAAGCGGCACTAATACCTTGCATGGTCTTGATTCTATGCCTCTGTTTATACAACCCAGGATTGTATTAGCTTTTTTGGCTGCTGCTGCACATTGCTGGCTCATAGTCAAGTGATTGTCCACTAGGACTCCAAGGTCCCTCTCACAGTTACTGTTTTGAAGCCAGGTCTTGCCCAATCTGTACTTGTACCTTTGACTTTTCCTACCTAAATGTAAAACTTTGCTTTTCTCCACATTGAAAGTTTATCCGACAACATCGCCACCTTTCCCAATTCTCTCACCTCAACTGAGTACTTCCCCAGCTGGCTGCGGTAAATTTGATATGGAACCACGCCACAGCGGGTCCTCACTGCCAGGCACCACTGATGGGTGGATCCTGACTCAGCCCACAGAAGAAAAGCCCCCAGCATGTCATTCCTCAGCAGGGCCAGGCCAGCATCTCTGGAAGGCAGAGCAAAATGCAGGAAGCAGAGGCAAAACAGCAGGGGATCTTTGCAGCCTCACCCAAAGGGCACTCAAGGCCCAAAGCCCCCCCCCAAAACCCCAGTAACTATCCATCGCCATGTGCACCAGCAAGTCCTAAGTCTGCTGATGGGGTGGTCAGAACCGCCTATTAGGGCCTCAGGGCCATCCAGGGGGAGGCCCCCTCACCTGTTGATGCCCGCAAAGGACCACACACTCTCCTTCAGATCGTTCTCGTTTTCTGGCAGATGAAGCAGGCTCCCTTTGCCATCGCAGCTGGAAGAAACTGGAAGCGAGGACACAAAGAACCAGACTGAAAGCCTTCACCAAGGCCGTCGCCTAATGTGGAAATGTGGCAACGGGCAGCACAGGGTGTTGTGCTGGTGGATACTGGCTCCCATCCAGCACCCATGCCCAGTTGCCATGTTATTTCAACCTGTGATAATGCGTGGAAGATTTTTCCTCGTTGTGAGGAAGAAAAACGAACCCGTCCTTTCCCCTTCGTGACTGTCAAGGCTTTTATCCGTAATGTAGAGCTCCCAAGGGTTATCAGTAAAGCTTTGTGCCTTTTTCCTTCCTGGCTTTCTTCTCTCTCCTCTTTCTATTTCCCAGGCTCCCCAAATACTCACATCCTTCCCAAGCACCCTGCTGAGAGCCCGCCTCAAACGTACAACCTCGGTAGGCCCCAGAACGGAGAATCTTGCTGCGAATCGCCTTCTTGCGCACCAGAATTGGGGAACAATAGGGGTTTCCAGGACGGGCACTGCCCACGGTGCTGCTGGTTTCCTCCAGGTCTAGCCTCTCTCTCTAGGGGCACAAGCAGAGCAAATCCTGAGCAGGGGAGGCAGAGACTCCAGGGGCCTGGTCCAAATCTGGAGACCGCTTTGCATTTGGTCGATGCAAACGACCTCTGGGACACAAAATAATGGTTCAGGCTGTGAACCAAGCCTCAACTCTTGAATCAGGGCTTGCTTGACCTACAGCAGTGGTGGCGAACCTATGGCACGGGTGCCAGAGGTGGCACTCGGAGCCCTCTCTGTGGGCACACACACCGTCTCCCCAGCCCCACTTCCTCCCACACCCCCCTCACCAGCCGCCCCTCCCCTGAGGAGAGTAGCCCCTGGCGTGGCCCACACGAAGCAGCGGAGTAGCTGGGCAGCAGGGACAAGAATCCACCCTTGTGCCCCATTGCACACAGATGATGCTGCGGGGCAAGAGCGGAGGGCCTGGCCGCCATGGCGCTGCTGGGCTACCTGGGTGATCGGTGGCGGGCCGTGGAGGTGGTGGGTGGCCCAGTGGGCAGGGTGGGGCGGGGACAGGAGTGGGGGGCCCAGTGGGCAGGGTGGGGCGGGGACGGGAGTGGGGGAGCAGTTTTTGGGCACTCGGTCTCTAAAAGATTCGCCATCACTGACCTACAGGTAAGACCTTAGGTCCACAGTGTTTCTCAACCTTGACCATTTTAAGGCATGTGGACTTCAACTCCCAGAATTCAACTCCCACAGCAATGCTGGCTGTGGAATTCTGGGAATTGAAGTCCACATGCCTTAAAATGGTCAAGGTTGAGAAACACTGCGCTTAGGAGGCGCCTGAAAACTGGACACGTCTCAGGGAACACCCACACCCCCACACCCCGCCCAAGAGAGCAACCGCCGCTACGGAAGGGGTGAGCTCTGCAGGTCCTCCAGGGGGAGACAGGAGAAGAAGAGGCCACTCACCACGCTGACCGAGGGCCCAAATTCCGTGGGGCAGGGCAGCCTCCGGAAGGAGACCAGGGCATTGACGTTCTGGGAGACCTCCTCCGGGTTGAGGGACTCCCAGACCACCTGGCTGTCCAGGGAGGCGCCCAGGAGCTGGACAGAGGCACCGGAGGAGGAGGACCAGTCCTGTTCCTCCGGGTGCAGGAGAAGGTAGCCCAGCTGGAAGAAGCGGCACAGGAGGTAGTGCAGCACCTGGACCTGGCCGGGGAACGGAGAAGGAGGAGGCTGAGTGCCTGACCCATAGCCTGGGCCGGCCCCTGCAGAGAAGGCCTTCTTTCCGGGCGCCCCCCAGGAGGGCACCCCGCCAGGGGATGGGGAAGAGCCTGGGCGAATCCTGCTTTGCCCCAGGGCCGCGGACGGGCTCGCCGACGCCCACGCACCTCGCCGGGCTGGCTGCCCACGAAGAGGTGGCAGAAGAGGCTGCCGCGGGGGCCGCGCGGGTTGCGCGCCAGGAAGGCGAACTGCCGGTCGGCGGGCCTGCAGGTGCTGTAGGCGAGGCGCTTGAGCGCGTGGGCCATGAGCGGCGCCTGCGGGCGAAGAGAGCAGCGCGGGCGGCTCAAGTTTCCCCCGACGGCCGGCCGAGCCGCCCCTTTGCCCGGTCCGGGGCGCAAAGGACCCCGTGCCTACCTCGCCGTCGCGGCCGAGCATCTTCAAGCCCTGCAGGCAGAAGCGCAGGAGGACGGAGCGGCGGCGCGGACAGTCCTGCGTGGGGGGGGAGAAGGGCGAGAGGGACGGAGCTGGGGAGGGGGCGTCGCTGGCCGGCTCCCTTCCAAGCCGCCTGCCCGCCCGCCCTCCTCCGCCGGAGCCTCCCCGCGCACCTTCAGGAGCTGCAGCCGCTGATGCACGGCTTGGCCCGCCCGGGGCAGATCGGCGTCTTCCACGGCGAAGGAGCCCACGTACTGCGGCAGCAGAGGAAGGCGCGTCAAGGCCAGCCCGGCGACCCTCGCCCAGCCCCGGCTTCGCCCCCGCCTCACCTCGGCCGCCTTGGTCAGGGCCCGCCCGGCCCTCGGCTCCGGAGCCCGCCCGGCCGGCTGCCTCTTCATGCCGCCGCCGCGAGAGGGGACCCGCCGCTCCGCGATCGCCCGTGGCCGGACGGACCCTTCCCCCGGCTCCGCCCCCCCGGCCAATCAGGCGGGAGACAGCCAGACCAGACCCCGCCCCCTCTGCTTCTCCTGACCCCCCCCCCAGCCCCAAAAAACGACGCGCAAGCAGGCGGGGGGGTCTTCGGAGTCTCAAGCTTTTATTTCTGCAAAGAGGTTTTTGCAAAACCTTCGCTCTGCGGTTCTACATTAGCGATCGGGTCGTTCTCCGGGAGGGGGGGGGCGAAAAAGGGGGCGGGGAGGGGGGTTGGGCAAAAGGAGGAGTGAAGCGTCCCCCCCCCTTTTAAGGAAAACAGCTCAAAGGCCCCCTCCGAAGGAACTCCGGGTGGGGCGGGGGGGGGCGACTAAGCTGAACAACAGAACACTGACGGGGGAGAAAAAAGGCAGCCTTTGGTGCCCCCCCCCTCCGGAGAAGGGCTGCTGGCTGGCTGGCTTGGGGGTGGGGGTCTTGGAGAACTGGGGAAGGGGCTGAGAAACGGAGGGCCTGGCAGAGAGCGCGCGTGGGGGTGTGGGAGGGGGGGTCTGTTTCCACTTCTAAAAATATAAAAATCTTTCCAACCGGTTTCAAAAGCCCCGACTCCAAAGCTCAGAGGCACCCTGTACAGATTATATATTTTGTTTTTTTTTTTTGCCCCTTATTTAGAAAAAAAAAAAAAAACCAGTCCTGCGTTATAGGGTGGGTGATGGATTGGAGGAGAAAGGAAGCCAGACTTTGAGGAGGGGGTGTGTACGAGGAGGGGCAGGGGGTCGGTGGGTGGGAAGGGGGCCAAGGCACAGCAGGAAGAGTCTGGATCCACCTGCGATGCTTAAGACCCAGAGGCTGGCTTGGGGGGGAGGGGGGAAGAGGTGCTGCGGTTCTCCACTGCTGGAGGGGGGGAGGGAGGGGGAGACAGAGAGGGGGAAGCCTCAGAACTAAGTTACAAAGGAGGGGAGGGGGCTGTACTTATAAAAGAAGGGGGGGCCCTAAGCAGAGCCCCTGCCTGCCCGCTCGCCGACCGGCTACTTCTTGGCTCTCAGCGACTTCCGCATGGTGGTCTTGGTCTTGCTCCTCTTCCCGGGGGGCTTCTTCCGGTCCCGCTTAGCGCTGGCCGCGGCCGCTGCAGCCGGCTTCTTGGGTGGGGGGGCTGGGCTGGAGAGGCTCTTGACCGCCGGCCGGGCAGGCACGCCCTTCGCTTTCTTGGCCTTGGGGGGCGGGGGCGGGGGCGGCTTGGGTTTCCCGCGGTGCGCCAAGGGAGCCTTCCGGGCGGTGGGCTTGACCTCCCGTCGCTTCACCAGGGGAGGGGCTCTGTTCCGGGCTTTGGGTGGGGGCCGCTTCGGCATCCTGCCCAGGGGAGAACAACATCACCAAAGGGCGGGGCAGCCCCTCAGCCTGGACCGGCTCGCCCCCTTTCCCGTAATGCCCAGGCCGCCCGCGTCCACGGACCCCTGACCCAGCGTCTATGGGACACCATTCAAGTCCCCCTGTACCTCTTCTTTGGAGGAGGCTCCTCTTCCTCCTCCTCCTCCTCTTCCTCCTCGTCGTCATCTGTCTCTTCTTCGTCTTCCTCCTCCTCCTCCTCCTCGTCCTCCTTCTGCTTCTCAGGGAACAGAATGCCGGGGCTGGGAGGGGTGAGGGGGGGAGAAGACAGGTCACCCCCAAGGAAGAGCCCATCCCGGCTGGCAGCCACGCAGGAAAGGCCACCAGCAGCCCCCCAGCCAGGCCCAAGGGATCTGGCGGCTCGGGGAGGGTAAGCGGTCAGGGTGCCCCCCCTGGTGCCCCCCGGTGCCCAAGACTCACCTTGGATAGTAGGGGAAACACAGCTGAAAGGTGCCGCTGAAGCCCTTGCCGGAGATCTGCTCCATCCAGCCGTACTTCTCGCACTTCTGCAGAGTCCTCTTCAGGAGGTGAACTGTGGTGGTGGGGAGGGGGGCAAAGAGAGAGAGAGAGCGGTATTCAGGGCCTGGACCAGCTTGGCCCCCCATCTGGAAAGGCAGAGCTCCAAAAGGGGCCCCGGGGCCGAGTCTCCAAATTTAAGGCTCAAAATGCAAGGCGGGGTTGGGCAAAGTGGCGGGCACCCAGAACGGGGCATCGCAACCCCCCCCCCCCAGGGAATGGGGAGCCGTGCGCTGAACTCTGCCCTCCTGGGATCTCCCTGGCCCAGAGGAGGAGAGACCCAAAGACCCCCATCCTGGGGGACGCACTGCTGGAGGCTGGCGGATATTTCCCAAGGGGGGGGGAGCGGCAGCTGAGCACCTCCCCGCCCGCCGCGGTGCTGCGTTGGTCCTACCCTGGAGGCTGGAGTTTGTGCCAGGGTGCTTCTCCAGGACGTATTTCTTGAGGGCGGTGGTGGAGCAGGTCTTGGGCTCGTTCATGGCTGCGATGGCGGAGAGGATCGCGTCCTCCATCAGGCTTCCGCCCAGCAGCGGCTTCTCCCCCGACTTCTTCAGCTGGTGCACACAAGGAGGAGGAATGGGCATCTCGGGCAAGAGTAGACGGAGGGAGGGAGAGAGAGAGAGAGAGAGAGACACCCAGCCCACCCCCAATTCCCAGGGGAGCCTCCCTTACCCACCTGGAAGGTGCCGGAAGCCCCCTTGCCCGTGATCTGCTCCAGCTGGCCCTTCTCCACCGCCCGCTGCAGGGCGTTCTTCAGCAGCTGGGGCCTAAAAGGGAAGCCACAGAGAAGCCGCCTGGCTGGCTAGTCCGCAAAAGGGCAGGGCAAGGGCCCCCGGGGTGCCCCCCGCCCCTCCTTGCCCACGTTCATGCACGCTTCCGGCCGCCTTACCGGATGTCCACCTTCAGCTTGGGATAATATTGGGACACGTATTTTTTGATCAGGCTGTAGGAGGCCTCCTTGGGCTCACAGAGGCGGGTGAAGGCCAGTGGCAGGACGTCCTCCAGCTTCACGTGCTGCTCTGCGCTGGAGGCCGACAAGCTCCTCTGGAGGAGAAAGGGAGGCACAAGGGCTGAGGCTCCACCTTGGGGCCCCTGGAGGCTGAGTCCAGGGTGGGGCTCGAGGCCTCTTCCGTCGGGTCCGGTCAGAGGCTGCGAATGGCCGCAGTGCCCCTCCTGTACCATCCTGCCCCTGTGGAGCTGCTGTCTTCCTCAGGGCCTTTAGAGGAAGACCCCACCCTGAGGGAAGCAGGGCTCAGAGTCTGGAGGTTCCGGGGCACGGCAAACTAAGCACGCCGGGCTTACCTTCCTGTCTCTGGACTTTGAGGCTGCTTTCCCTGAGTTGGGGGCCACCACAAAGCTTCCGGACGCTCCTTTCCCTTTCACCTGTCCCAGAAAAAGTGTGTGGGGAGGGTCAGGATGGAAGCATAAACCTCCTGCAAATGCAAAGGGTGTCGAACATTCCCCCCCCCCCCAGTTGATGAAGCAAAAGGGAGGGGGAAAACTGGGCTTTGCATAGATGCTTATATGACTTGGCTGGGTAGAATATGGAACGGAATGGAATAGAGAACAGAACAATAGAATAATAGAAAAGAGAAAAGAGAAGAGAATAATAGAATAGAATAGATAATAATAGAATAGAATAAAATAGAGAATAGAATAGGAATAGAATAGAAAACAGAACAGAATAGAATAACAGAACAGAGAACACAATAGAACAGAACAGAGAATAGAATAGGAACAAAACAGAATAGGAATAGAATAGAGAACACAATAGAATAAAATAGAGAATACAATAGAATAGAGAATAGGAAGAATAGAATAGAATAGGAATGGAATAGAGAACAGAATAGAATAGGAATGGAATAGACTAGACTAGAGAATAGAATAGGAACAGAACAGAACAGAATAGGAATAGAATAATAGAATAGAGAACAGAATAGAATAGGAATAGAATAGAGAACAGAATAGAATAGAATAATAGAATAGAAAACACAATAGAATAGAGAATAGAATAAGAATAGAATAGGAATAGAATAGAATAGGAATAGAAAATAGAACAGAATAGTAGAATAACTTTGTCACTTTAAATGTACACTAATCAGCATAAATTAATACGAGATTTCATTGCAATGCTATGGCAGGAGGTTTTGGGGCGGGGGGGGGGCAAGCCACAGTCCTACCCCAAACGCCGGAGGGACTTTCCGAATTGCCCCCAGCTATAAAGGCCAGCAGCCTTCCAGGGCAGGCCGAGTCTCCAGCTCAAAGGGCCCCCGGTGGCTGGCGGGCAACCGGTGCTTACCTGCCGTATGACCCCCCGCTCAAGTTCCCTCTTCAAGGCCTGCTTCAGGAGGTACCCCCTCCGCTCCAGGTCCAGCGAGGGGTACCTGCTGATGATGAACTTTCGGATGGCGACCACTGAGGCCCCGCCTTTCTGATAGCACGCCTGGGAGGGCGAGAAGGACGGGTGGGCATCGGTCTTGGCCGCCAAACGGTCAAGAGGTCTTTCTGCCTCCCCCCCCCGCCGCCAATCCTCCCTCCCTCACTTTGATGGCTTCGATCAAAATGGCGTCCATCTTGGGCCGAGAGGAAGCGGCCATCTGCGTCTGCTTCTGCGCTCGGGCTAGCTGGCTGGCCGAAAGAGTCGCCCAGGCGGGAATGGTCTTTTTCACCTTCTTCTCCTTCTCCTTCGCCGGATCCTTCTCCCTGCGCGGATGAGGAAAGAGGTGAGTGGCCCGGAGGAAGGCCAAGGCAGGGAACGAGCTGACAGCTGCCTTTCTCGAAGACCCGTCCCCACCGTACACCCACCCCCTCCTGTCCAAGGGCCACGACTAGGCCAGCAAAGCTAGGCTGGCAGGTGCCCCAGCTGTTGCTCAGCCAATAGGCAAAGTGTGGGTCAGTCCCCTATCCCAACAGGAAGAAATGAGCCCCCCCCCAGTGGACTGAGGCAGCAGGCCACGGTCAAGGGGGCTCTGAACCTCTGAGCCCCCATGCCAGCCAGCTGGATAACGGGGGTGGGTTGCATTACAGGGGCAGCCAGCACATGGTGGACACTGGGTCCTTTTTAGCAAGGACCGTCGCCTTCTTCTCAGCAGCCCACCTCCCTCTTCCCTCCCATCGTCCTTCCTGCTCTCCCCCCCCTTCTTACTCCTTTTTGGCTTCCTCAGCAGGCTTCACCTCTGCCTTCTCCTCCTCCTCCTCTGGCTCCTTCGGCTGCTCGGCCTCACCGGCGGGAGCCAGGGGTGCCCGATTCTCCTGCTCCTCGACGGTGGAGGCGGATTCTTCTGAACTGACATCCGGCTCTGAAGGGGGAAAGGGGGCAAGCAGTGGCAAAGGACGAGAAGCTCCCTGCTGAAGACGGGCCCTTGGGCTCTCCGGCCAGGCGCAGCCGCAGGGAAAGAGCGAAGGGGCCGAGGAATCCTCTGCAGAGGTCCTGCAAAGCCTGGGCTTGGCAACTCCGATCAACGAGATTGGCTGGGGGATGAGAGACCCCCCCCCCTCTCGCTGGAGAGCTGCATTCCTCCCCCCCCCCTCCGGCTCCCCCTACTTTGTCCTACAGCTGCAACTCTACAGCTTCCGTTGTTAAGCCTCAGAGCCCAGACTGGGGGTGCCTCTTAGCTGGAGACAGCGCTGGCAAATTAGCCTGTAATCAGATGTAACAGCCAAGTCCTGCCATAGAAAGAAGCTTAAAGCTGGGAGAATGGGGCTCAGCGCAACCATCTTTGGTGGCAGACCTACCCCGGTCTGATCCCTTAGGCAAGTCAAACTCCAACTGAAGCGAAAAGACACTTTGACGAAGAGATGCTGACTGCAGGAGACTTGAGCAGACTCTATAAAAATCCCGTTTCCCCAAGCCCTCCCGTCCAAATCCAGCACCTCCGCCATATTATCAGAAACTCCCAAGGTGTTTTGGCTGGTGAAATTCCACTCTCCGAGCAAACGGCCTTGAAGATGCCAGCGGGCCAGCAGGAACTGGATTCCAGACTGCTCTGTTCTTCCTCAACTGTCAATCCCCCCCCCTAATTCCCATGATAAAAGCATACAGCTTTTTATTGCCCATTTGTTCCCCCTCCTCGATCAATGGCAGAACTGGCAAGGTACCCGAGCCGAAGCTGGTGGATCTGATGTTTTGGCTCAGGCCAATCAGAGCCTGCTCAATAAACAACAGGCAACGTAATGAAGGTAACTGAGCCACCTTCATGGGTGGCATAAAAATTAATTAAAATGGAGGTATCTTTTGGGCCTCTTTAAGTGCTACAGGCATCCTGAAAGGCACTCACCACCGGAGCCAATGACTCTGCAGGGCCTTAGGAGACCCAGCTTGGTTATCTCTGCTTCCCCGTCCCCCGCAGGGGTCAAGGTGAGACAGAGAAGAAAAAAATCCCTCTTTTACCTGGTTTGGCCTCGCTTTCAGCAGACTTGCTTTTGGGAGGGGTTTCCCGAGAAGAAGCGTTCACCGCCCGGCGGATCGGCATGGCTGCGTCTTCAACTGTCTGGGAAGGGAGCAAAGCATCACGAGAGGCCCGGCAAAGGAGGCCCCTGACCAGCTGAGAACCCCCCCCCCCCACTGCCACCTCTCCTGGGAGTGACTTGCCCATCCTAGAAGAGAGGCGACTGTGCTCGGGGTCCAGCTTTCTGCTTCCACTTAACAAGTGTCGCAAGTGTTTTTTGCTCCAGCTCAGAATGACACAGAGGTGAGGGTGGGGTGGGTGGGGAGGGGGGAGAGGGGGGGAAGCACTGGGGAAGCAGGAAAGGAAGGGGGGGGTCCAACACCTGGAGAGGAGGAAGGACGGATGGAGCCCAGCTGACATATCCTAGAAGCAGGCGGAGAAAGAGTGCAAGGGCCCTTGCCAAGGGCCAGCCCAAGGGCAAGCGTGGAGAGGGGTCAGCCCCTACCTCACTCAATTTGTCCAGGGGAGCTCCTGTTAAGAGTGGAACTGCCTTACGGTGTGCGGGATCGGCTTCAGACAGCTCAGTCGCCATTTAAATTAATGTCTAGCCTCAACGGGAGGGTAACACTTTGAAGCCCCAGGGCTTAACTTCAAGGGGAAGGTGGCCTTCCTAACAGAAGTGCAAAAAAGATTCGGTGTGAAGGAGGTTATCGAGAACAAGGACACACACAAAAAATCTTAAGCCAAATTTAGTTCCCTTTCACATGGCAAGAGTTATAACAATTTAAAAACACACACACACACACACACACACACACAAAACCCTCAGTCAGAGAGAAGGCAGCCATCGGCAGGATCCCTTTGGCTGTTACTTAACTCAGACACTTAGCTAAGCTGAAACCGCCTCCAAGAACCGGCCGCTTTGCTAGCAAGGTAGGGCACGATGCAAGGGCGCTCCCAAGATGCAACACAGCAAGCAAGGGGGGGGGGGACACCGAGAAGAGATGCACCTCCCTACAGAAAGGACCAGTTGGGGACTTTACAGGAAGCAGCTAGACGCAGGCAACTACGAAGCCAGAGGGACGCAGGCTTTCACCCGAAGCTCAAACATGAGCAAAGCAAAAAGCAGCCCAAAACCAGAATTGCTGCCCACCAACTGTACCCGGGGCAAATTTTAAAAATAACCCCAAAGTACTCCACCAGCTGCCACCATCTCCTCTGACACCCAACTGAGACTCCAAAGACATCCCTTTGATAAAACAGTAGGCAGGCTTTGCTTCGAGGGGAGAGTAAAATGGGTAGACCGTCTATTGGCTTATAGGTGAAATATGAAAATTATTCTTTCTGGATCCAAGGGAGGTAATCCCCACCCCCAACGGCGCTGAAAGAAGAATGATTGTTTAGGACAGTGGTTCTCAACCTTTTTAACGCCGCGACCCCCAACCGGTCGTAAGTCGAGGACTACTCAACCGGTCGTAAGTCGAGGACTACTCAACGGGTGCAGCATCGTTTGCAGAAGGGGACTTTTGGCGGGCTCAGCAGGGCAGAGACAGCCTGGACAATTCCTATTGGCTTTGGAAAGCCAATAGAATTAGACTCTATGCAAGAGAGTCGATTCTATTGGCTTTCAAAAGCCAATAGAATAAAAGGGAGTAGCACAGCTAAGGAAAAGGGGGGGGGGAAATGGCGGACTGCGTTGTTTGGCGACCCCCGTGAAATGGTCGTTCGACCCCAAATGGAGTCCCGACCCACAGGTTGAGACCCTGACAATTCTGGGAAAGAGGGTACAGGCTGCGTGCCTCTTCCAATTCTTCTCAAAAGCGGAAGCACTGATGTGAGCAGGATGGACTTCTTTAAATAAGTAAACGAAATGGCCAGGTTTCTAGGATTGGATTCCTTTTAAAAAAAAAATGAGGAAAAAATAACCACTCAACGTAATAATGTATTTGCATTCCCTTTCAACGGGGGAGTCCATTTACTTTACATAATGTAACTTTAAGATTTATAGCCGATTACTCCTTACAATAGCCCTGTTTCTAACGCAGACAGTATTGCCAACACTTAGCATTTTGGCAAAGGCCAGGCAGCTAGTAAAACCGTGTTCCTGCTTCACCGTTTCTGCCCTTCCAAATTTCCTTTGAAGCATCAGCGCAAGACACACTGAACAGAGCAATGCAATTTAGTCTGACCGCACAAGGCCAAGCTGCAAAGGCTTATTTTTCGACAGCGTGCGAAACTCCCCACCGCCTGCTGCATAATGCAGGCAGAATATTTAGGCCTGGAAAGAAAGCAAGAAGCCATCCTCACGCTTCGTCCCGCCTCAAGAAATCCATCTACAGAGACGGGCAGCAACTTCTTTTTCTTCATACACACACACACACACACACAATGCACACAAGTCCCACAACAGCGTCTCCTTTCCAGAAAGGACCCTGGGACCACATCATGTGCAGCACTCAGCTTTGATAAAGCCAAGGGGGATTCTAAAGCTATAGGTATGACGCACCATTCGAATCCGAGTCTCAGAGAAGCCCGAGCGTTATCAGTTTGTTGTATGAAATGGTGAGGGTGCGAGGAAGGTGATGTAAAAATAAATATAAGAGCTCTAAGTCCTGTCTGGAAGCCCCCTGGGAGGCAATTATTTCTGCAAAAGTTGCCTGGGATTTGGCTCATTACTGGCTGGGCAGCCCAAAGCGAGAAAGCAGGGGGAAGAGCTGAATTGTCACTGTCACACACACACACACACAGTCGAAGTGGCATCTACAAGCAGGACACACACACACACACACACACAAACACACACAGTCTAAGCGGATCTACAAGCAGGACACACACACACACACACACAGACAAACACACACAGTCCAAGTGGTATCTACAAGCAGGACACACACACACAGTCCAAGTGGCATCTACAAGCAGGACACACACACAGAGACACAAACACACAACAGTCCAAGTGGCATCTAAAAGCAGGACACACACACACACAGTCCAAGTGGCATCTACAAGCAGGACACACAGACATAAACACACACAGTGCAAGCGACATCTACAAGCAGGACACACACACACAGTCCAAGCGGCATCTACAGGCAGGACACACACACAGAGAGAGACACAAACACACACAGTGCAAGCGACATCTACAAGCAGGACACACACACACAGTCCAAGTGGCATCTACAAGCAGGACACACACACACACACACACACACACAGAGAGACACAAACACACACAGTGCAAGCGACATCTACAAGCAGGACACACACACACAGTCCAAGCGGCATCTACAAGCAGGACACACACACACACACACAGAGACACAAACACACACAGTTCAAGCGGCATCTACAAGTAGGACACACACAGAGAGACACAAACACACACAGTCCAAGCGGCATCTACAAGCAGGACACACACACACAGAGACACAAACACAGAGTCCAAGCGGCATCTACAAGCAGGACACACACACACTCACACACCGTCCAATTGTCATCCACAACCAGGGATCCAGGCCCCTCCGGGGCTGCTGCTCAAGGCGAGGCCGGAGGGACCCTCCCTCCAGCCTCCAGGCAGAAGCCCCGTCGCTTCCCCGAAGCTACCACGGAGAGCGGCCGCCCAGAGCCCGCCCGCCTCCCTCCTTGCCTGCCTGCCTGCCTGCGGGGGGCGATTCTGACCAGGCCCCGGCCCAGCCTGCGATGGGGAGGGAGGGAGGGGGGAGGGGAGCAATTGCCTCCGACGGCGCAACGGGCAAGCCCCCCACCGCCGCCCCACAAAAGGGCCCCGGGGCTCCCCGGCCTCGGAGCCAGGCCCGCTTTCCTCGGCTGCCCCCGGGAGGGAGGCCCGCTTCATGGCGAGGCCCGCCTGAAGGGGTCGCCGACGTCAACGGGACCCGTAGGCCGCGCCGGGGCCGGCCTGGAGGCGGGAGGCCGCCGCCGCGGCCCCGCCCTCCTCCCGCCCTCCCGCTCACTCACCGCGCCTTCGGGGCCCCGGCTGAGCTGAGGCGCACAAAACGGGGCAGCAGCGGCGAAGGCTCCCCTCCCCCACACAACTAGCACGGCGGAAGTCCCGGCGGCGACAGGTAGGAAAAGGCGGGCTCGTCCCGGCGCAGGACCAATAGCCGCCCACGGGGGTGAGCCAGAAGGCGCGCGCGCTTTCTCTCTCTCTCTCTCTCTCTCTCTCTCTCCCCCTCCCCACAACACACTGCGCAGACGCCAGGAACAGTCTCCCCCTTTCCGCATGCGCGCGGCGTCCTTACCGATTGGGCAACTTCTGCGCACGCGCGCGGCTTCCTCTTTTTTTTCCCCCCTTCCTTTTCCCCCCTCTGGCAAACAAAATATTTTCCAGGGAGGGGCGGAGCTAGCGGGAGAGAGCGAATGGGCCCGGAAAGGGAGGGGGGGAAGGAAGAAGGGCGCGCCCGCGCTGAGCTGGCCCCGCCCATGTACGGGCGGAAATGGCTGCCCGGAAGGAGCTGGTGGGCGTGGCGGGTTATTTCGCGCCCCAATTCTTACGCCGTGAACTGCGAAATACAAAAATTGTTTTTTAAAAAAGCATTATACTCGATATGTATATATTTTATGCTCTGCAGCCCCGATCCTTGGGAGGAGCTTCCCCAAGACCAGGGGTCTTCAAATGTGGCCCTTCGACGACTTGTGGACTTCAACTCCCAGAATTCCTCAGCCAGACACCTCCTGCTTGAGCAGGGGGTTGGGCTAGATGACCTCCAAAGGTGTCCCTTATAACTCTCTATGTCCTAGCTCAGGAGTCGTCAAACTCGGCCCTTTGATGACTTGCGGACTTCAACTCCCAGAATTCCTCAGCCAGGCATCCTGGCTGGGGAATTCTGGGAGTTGAAGTCCACAAGTCATCAAAGGGCCACGTTTGAAGCCCCCTGCCCAAGACAAGTGGCGCTCTGCTCCCAGGGAGGCTGGCACCTGCCGGGCGATCATAAGCTGCCAGCTGCATGCTGGGTTAGCTGACTAGGAAGCATCACCTGTTCTCTGTTGCACCTGGGCAAGCAGCCCCCCCCCCAGACCCCACAATCCAACCCCGAGTTGCTTGTCTACACAAACACACACACACACACACCAAAAAAACCCCACAAGAGCTTGTGAAGAGATTCCTCCAGCGATCCTTCCTTCATCCTTGGATGGCACCATGAAATTCATTTCCACAAGATTCCCAATGACCAAAAAATACAGGACACAGAAAAAAGGATGTTAAGCAATGCTTGCCTAGTCAGTGACCACCTACCTCCTCTTTATTCAGGCCTGGGAGTCTAACTCACTCTCTCTCCCCTGCCTGGACAGTGACATTTGCACCCAGAGCCAGTGGGACATGGGTCCCTCGACAGCAGAGGCCTGACCCGGGACAGTGCCTCTGATCACCTGTCCAAAGAGAAGCTACTTCCTGTGCTTTTAAACTTGCAAGATTGCTCTTTTATTTTGTTCTGTATGTTTTGAAAATGAAAAGAATAGCATGGAGTCAATTTCGGTTGGTTTGGGGTTTTTTTTTGTTTTTTTTAAATATTTGTTCTATCTATTTACAAGCCTTAAAAGTTGCTCTAAAGGTTCTGAAAAGTTATCACTAGGCCTTTTTTCCCCCCCTCTCCTTCTTCTGCTTCCAGGGCAGGGCTGTTTCGAACACGTTAATTCTCCAGGCAGTCTGGTCCACAACCATTTTCTGATATGCAAGTCCAAGGTTACATTTTTTTTTTTGGCTTCTTTTCTCTTAAATTTCGGAAGCAACCCGAGAGGCAGGCAGAAAGTTCTGGGGGTTTTCTTTTTTGTGTTGTTTTTTTGTGTGTGTGTGTGTTTCCTGAAAGTTCCTCTCCCTCATCTACTCTCTCATTCCTGACTCCCTTTAGAAGTTATGACTCAGCTCCCGTGCTTTCAAACAAAACTTGAGGTGGATCTGAAAGGGAGGTAAATTTATTTCTCTGCTTTTTTTTTTGTCTATTATACAATTTGTTACAGAAACTGCAAATTTAAAAATTACACTGACATTTGCAGTTCTTAAAATAATAAATTATAGTTCTCAGGGTTTTTTTTGTCTAAACAGGTTTTTTTTTGTTCTTCTTAAAGTATGAGAGTCCTTGTTTAAAAATGAAAAAAAAAAAAAGATTAAAACAGAAAACAGTTTCTATAAATAATAAAGATGTATTTTGGTTTAGTGCTCCTGCCCCTCAGGTTTGCGCGGACTCGAATTCTCAAGTCCTTTTTTTTTTTTTGTCCTCCATGATCGCCTTTGCGTGTGTGAGTATTTTTGTTCCTCTCCCCCACTCGTGCACACGTGGGGGAAAAGGGGGGTTCTGCGCGAGAATTGGCCTTGCTGCACTGTGATTGGCGAAGACATGAAACTTTTGTTTTTTAAAAAAATACTTAAATTGTTTTTGTTTTCTTTTCTCTCTCTTTTTTTTTTGTATTCAGTTTTAATTATCCTCAGACTCTTCTTCAGCTTCTCGTAGCCACGTGAAGAACGCGGTGACGGATTTAAGCGCTACGCCCTTCCCGGTTTGCTCCGCCGGGTCTTTGCTGCTTTCCCATTTGTAGAAGGCGTCCTCCGATATCACCTCCTCGTCGTACAGGCAGTCGAAAAACATCCGTAACAAATCTGCGGAGAGTGGGAAAGGCATGCCTTTGGTGAAGGGGCCGAGGATGGGAAGCAGAACCCTTCCGTCTCGTACTTCAACCCCGGGCAGGAGATGACCCTCTCTGCCTGCTCCATTTCTCACGGCCGAGCGGAAGGGGCAGTTCAGGCAAGCACAGTCTCCAGTCAGGAAACGGGACTTTGAGCAAGAACAGTAAAAAGTCCCAAACGGGGACAAAGATTGTACAAAGCTTGCCTTCCAGGCTGCTCCAGCGGTCTGCTGAAAGCTAAAGGCCTACCTCGCCTCCTCAGCCTGGAACAAAAGCCACACTATCTCTGCCCCGCCACTCCTGGCCGTGCTCCTCCAGGTTTACAACCATCAAGGGAGCCCTGGGGTACCCCTACGCGCCGCTTTACGTATGTCCCAATCAAGCCATTAACGATGTACTAATTTAAATCCCCCAACGCGTGCCGTACACTTACTGGGAGGTTGATCAAGTTTTACTATGGATGCCTGTAGAGCATAAAGTGCTTGTAGTTCCTTCTCTGTGTCCGAGTCTAGGTACTTGAGTAAGATGGGCACTCTCCGCTTGATAACGGCAGTATCCACTCGCAAGCTAGAGCTGTCCACTGGGTGGGAGGAAAAGAGGAAGTCACACCCCCTTTCCCGCACAACTTCAAGACAGCGTCTGACATTGCCGATGGGTCGAGCTAGTCTTGGAAAATGGAATGGCTGCAGAGCGCTGACTGGTCCCCCCTTCGCCCCAACTCCCCCAAAGCTGGCTGGGAATCCAAACTGATCTGGTGGGGAACTGGGGGGGGTATGGGGGGGGGGACACAGGGACCCCTGGCCTAGTGAGCGAGTGCTTGCTCCTTCCTCTCTTTCTCTAACGCAGTGGTTCTCAACCTGTGGGTCGGGACCCCATTTGGGGTCGAACAACCATTTCACGGGGGTCGCCAAACAACGCAGTCCGCCATTTTTCCCCCCCTTTTCCTTAGCTGTGCTACTCCCTTTTATTCTATTGGCTTTTGAAAGCCAATAGAATAGACTCTCTTGAATAGAGTCTAATTCTATTGGCTTTCAAAAGCCAATAGGAATTGTCCAGGCTGTCTCTGCCCTGCTGAGCCCGCCAAAAGTCCCATTCTGCAAACGGTGCTGCACCAGTTGAGTAGTCCTCGACTTACGACCGGTTGAGTAGTCCTCGACTTACGACCGGTTGGGGGGTCGCGGCATTAAAAAGGTTGAGAACCACTGCTCTAACGGAAGCAGCCCCAAGACAAGAGCCCCTGGCTGCGCCGTCTCTCACCGGCCAGCCTAGTTCCGTTACCCTCGGTGGATCAGATCCAACATTAATATACAGAAAGGCTCCCTTTGCTATTTCAGTGGAACGAGAGAAGAACAGTTCTAAAGGTTAAGAAACAAAAATAAAACTAAATGACACTGAGAATCGCAGCTAGTCTTACCTGGGCCACACTACTGTCTTTTGTGGGAGCAACTCAAACCCAGGCAACCCCATTTGGGCTTAATAAGGAACAGGCGCCAACGATTCGAATCCCTTAAAAAAACAGGCATGTGAGTGCCCAAACACGGCATCCCTTCCAATTCTGTTGTGGCCGTGACTCACCTAGGAGAGCAGCTTTGCAAACGGCCGTCATTAAAGCTCTAAGGAATGTAGGTGAACTCATCTGCCTGTCGTCTAGGTTAGCCTGAAACCGAGAGAAAGCGTTTGCCGGAGTTAAGAAGCCGGGGTTGGCTTTGGTTTCTGAAAAACTTTCTGGTTTCTCCCCAATTAGCTCTAGCCACGGAAGAACGCTCATTCCCCCTCTGCCTTTCACAGTCTCCTTATTTGGCCGGAATGAAGCCAGAATTAAATGCAGAAATTAAATAAAAGGGACACGCTGCCATCGGCTAGGCCCGTGCTTCTTCACAGCCAGTTGAATCTCTAGCCGTGCAGCTCCGTTTGCTGGTCCACCTGCACGATCAGACAGCCAAATGCTGTTCGGGTGAAGTAGAGTAACCCCTGGGAGAAGGGAAGGGAGGCAAGCCATGGCCAGCCCCGTCGTTCCGGGGGCGACAGAGGCAGGGCGGAGGGCCCCCTATCCTAAGAGGCGCCCGGTGTGTTCCCGCTGGGTGCAGAGTCAAGTCTTATACCTCTACCCAGTCAAAAATCTGCTCGTCGCCGGCTTCTTCGTCAACAATGAGCTTCTCCAGCTGCTTGTTCAGCTCCTCGGCAGAGAGTTCTCGCGGGGAAAGTGCTTCTGAGGAACTGGGACTGTCTGTTACCGTGAAGTCCAACTTCTGCAAGGTCAGAAGAGCGAGAAATTCAGGCCCAGCCCTTCTGGAAGCAGTGGTAACCAGGGGCTCTTTCTTGGCCAGCGGCCCTCCCAAACTCTGGCCGTAATCGGCGGCCTGCTCGCTTTTCCATCCAAGCCCCCCCTGCCTTCCCCCCCCCCTCGACAGGAGACCCAACAGGCCCCTCACCTGCTCCAGGAGAAAGGTGTGGACGTCGTCCTCTTCAGGTAGAAAGTCCTTCCAGCTGAGGCCAGCCTCCCTCCACAAGGCTGCCACTTTCTTATGGCTCTGCAACGTTTAAGGAGACGGATTGGGCCAGGATTGCTCGTTCTGCATTGCCAGCGGCTATTTGGGCAGGTGGGCTCCAGCCAGGGGCAGCAGAGAGACACCGCGCCCACCTCCCCAGGAGCCCCCCCCCCAAGCCTCCCTCCTTCTGGAACGCCAACAAGGAGCAGCCGAAGCGTGATCCTGTCCCAGGTGTGAATCCCTCCTCTCCGCTAGGCTCTCTCGGCAACCGGCCTTGGGTGCTGCTCGGCTTCTCCCACGAGACTGGAAATCTGTGGGGGATTTGCACAGGCCCACTAGCCCCCCCCGGCGTCCTTACCATTTGTTTGCATAGAAGGTGCAATATTTTGGAAAGCAAAACACCGGCTCTTCTCACAGGAAGTAAGGGTTTACTAAATTCTCTGAAACAGAAAGGGAAACAAGCGCCCGTTGACCCCTCTCGGAAGGGCTGGCCCACGGCCAAGGAGGGCAGGCGCCACTGAATTCGTCTTCCGACGGTATCCCGCCGTTCGGCAGGCTTGGTGTGCAGGAAAAGCCAGCTGGCAACCCAGAGCTGGCCTGGCAGAGACACACACACACACCCATACCCACACATCCCGGGCCACAGTTCTGCTGCCCGGCCTGCTGAGTTCCAGCTACAGGGATCAAGAAAGGAAGAGCCGAGGTGGCGCAACAGTTAGGGTGCAAGTACTGCAGGCCACTTTAGCTGACTGTGTTCAGCAGGTCAGCGGTTCAAATGTCACCGGCTCAAGGTTGACTCAGCCTTCCATCCTTCCGGGGTAGGTAAAATGAGGACCCAGATTGTTGGGGGCAATGTCAATATATATATATATATATATATACATTGCTTACTGGTGTACACCGCTTAGAGAGTGCTTGCACTTAAAGCGGTATATAAGTCTCATAAACAAATAAATAAAATAAATAAAGGCGAGGCAGCCTGGCTTACATCACAAGTTCTCTCATAGAGATGCCTCCTTCTTTTAACATTGGCGTCACCAATTCGGCCAGGTAGAGCCAGATGTGGGGGATGTCGATCGCCATGTCGTCGGCCGTCTCCAAGGTGTCCGCAAACCTGAGCCACAAAGGCGAGCCCTTAAAAGCGCCCTGTTGGCAGGAGGTGGGAGGCCGGCTTCTGCCCTCGGCCGCCTCCGACTGGCACCCGCAGACAAGCCGAGCCCTCTGGCCTGCTACCCACCCCTTGAAGAAGTCCCGCTTGCTCAGCTTCTCCGCCTGCACCAGCTGATAGAGCAGCTGCCCCATGTGGTCTCTGGTGATCTGACTCCTCTCCAGAGTGGACTCCACACCCACTTGCACAAACACCGGCAGGATGCCAGGCACATTCAGCTCCTCCACGCACTGCACGGCTTCCTGCGGGGAGACACAGGGAGGGAGGGGGGCTCAGGGTGGGTGGGGGGCTTCTCTGCTGCCTTTGCAGGCGGAGCTCAAGCCCCTCTGCCCAACCTCCCCCCCTGGCCTTGTGGGGACCTGGTGCCGGAAGATTGGGAGCTGGCTTCTTCGCCCAGGCCAGGTGTGGGTTTTTTTTTTTTTTTATTTCTTGTTTTCCCAGCTTTGCTGACCGCCTGTGAGTCGGCGGGCCACATGCCTCCATGAAAGAAAGCGAGGCGCCCCACAGCCCCCCACTGCGCTCACCTTGTAGTCATTGATGTGCAGGAATTCATCGATGATCGATTTGCACTTCCTTTCAATTTCTTCGTCCGACAAGGCAGGCTTTTCTTGGGGGTGAGGAACGGGGGCTTCAGACTTGACTGGAGATGGAAGGGGAGGGGGAAGAAGGTGAGAGAGCAGACCCAGTGAGTGAGGAAGGGAAGCATCTCATCCTTTTAATGAAAAGCAACGGTTCTTTTCAAGACGGCTGGCTTACTTTTCTCCTTAAAAGCCAAAGGAAGGTGCCTTAATTCAGAATAATCCCACCCAGGACAGGTAACTGCACACACACGGCCCAGCGCCCGCAGGCAGAAGGGCGGTGAAGCTCACCTGCCTCCCTGGCTTTGCTCTTCTCCGCCTCGGTGCTGTTCCGGTCGCTTTCCAGGCCGCCCGTCAGCTGCTTCACGGTCTCCAGCATCTCCCTCCGCTGCTCCTCCTGGGCCTGGTTGTCCAGGAGCTGCTCTTTGCTGCTGCTACTAAGCCGTAAGAAGGCGTTGGGGCGGGAAGCAGCCGAGGGAGGCAGCTTGTCGTTCTTCTCCCGGCCGGTGCTGCCCCGGCTGGAGGGAAGCAAGGCAGGGGCGTGAGCGAACAAACAGGCGGAGGACCCGAGAGGAGAGCTGGCGCTTTCGTCCCGAGGTCAAACGCCTGGCCTGACCACAGGGCCAGACCCGGGCAGCTGCTCAGCTCCACCATCCTGTGGCACTCTTGCCACACATCCACAGGGGATTGCGGGGGCTTTACCTGGTCAAGGCCCTGCGAGGATCCAGCTCCAGGGTGGTGCCAGAGACGGTTGACGCAGGCGCTTGTAGCGGAGAGAAACGGTTCAGGCTAGTGGCACTTGGTCGTAAGCAATCTGCAGAGGAGGCGGAGAGAAGGGGGCCTGTCCTCAGAACAAAGACACACACACACACACACACACACACACACACACACAAAGCCCTGCGGAGGATTTCCAGCAAGTGGCAGCTTCCTACTGCCCGCTCCCTGCTGCCCGGGGGGGACACAGCCAGCTGTGTGGCCCATGCCATGTGCTCTCAGCCCAGGCCCAGCTCCTTACCGATCTCGCTGGCCTTGGCTCCACCGCTGCTGCCCTTTCCCCAGCTGCCCAACTGGGCTTTAGGCACAAGCTGGATCTTCTCATCTATACTGGGCTACAGAAGGGCAGAGCGACAGATTGGCAAGCGCCCAGCGGAGGGGCTCCCCTCCCAGGCTGCCCAGCCCAGCCCAGCCCAGTGGTGCCAGCCAGGAGAGAGAAGATGAGGCAGGGCTCCCATAGGACTTTGCAAGCCTGCCTTGGACCAGAACAGTGGTTCTCAACCTGTGAGTCGGGACCCCATTTGGAGTCGAACAACCATTTCACGGGGGTCGCCAAACAAGGCAGTCCGCCATTTTCCCCCCCTTTTCCTTAGCTGTGCTACTCCCTTTTATTCTCTTGGCTTTTGAAAGCCGATAGAATCGGCTCTCTTGAATAGAGTCTAATTCTATTGGCTTTCAAAAGCCAATAGGAATTGTCCAGGCTGTCTCTGCCCTGCTGAGCCCGCCAAAAGTCCCCTTCTGCAAACGGTGCTGCACCAGTTGAGTAGTCCTCGACTTACGACCGGTTGAGTAGTCCTCGACTTACGACCGGTTGAGTAGTCCTCGACTTACGACCGGTTGGGGGGTCGCGGCATTAAAAAGGTTGAGAACCACTGGACGGTTTAAGAGGGAATCCCTCAAATTTCAAACTCGGCCCCAAGGTATCTTTGGCGGCAATGCGGAACACTTTGCCCACCTACCCAGGTTAGCTTTCTGACAACCATTGGATTCTGCCTCAAGTCCCCCGACAGACTCTCTGCCTGCAGGCCTACCTTGGTGATTTTAAGGAACTTGGTGGGGTCCAGCACACGGTTATTTTTCGCCCCCTGCACCGTGTTCCAGCCACCCTCTTCTGCCCTCTGGACACCTGCACAAGAAAAGAGTCTTGTTAAAAAAAAAAAAAAAAATTCGCTCCGTCCGTTGGCCGGTCAGGCAGCTTTCACTCGCCTGTTTAGGGGCAGCCCTCCACCAATCCACCATGCCCAGAAGCCAGAAGGCTGCTCCCCCCGGGGCGTTCTGGGAACTCTGCGGCACATCCAGGGGCTGCTGAGGCCGGCCCAGCTGGGAAAAAACGCCCTTCCAGATGGGCGGCTTCAAGACACGCTGGGAAAGCTAATATTGAATATTCTTGCTTTGACAAAATATGCAGAACTGTCTGGTACTTTTAGAATGAATTCAGATGATGCTGGGAGGGGAGAGAAAGAACATGTAGACCCCAGAAGTGAACCTTTGCCCCCCCCCCAGGCTGGTTGGAGAATGTGATTTATGACAGCAAAAGAGGGAGCGAAAATGCTAGCAAAATAACTGCTCTGGGGTGGAGATTTCAGATCTTGGCATCCATCCACGCTGTGCCGACACTCCGTTACACAGTAATAAAGGCTTTTTAGGATAAACAATGCCTGGAAGTTCTTTGAAGTGTTTCATTAGTCGGAACCTTGACATCATGCCAAGATCTGAAATCTCCACCCCAGAGCAGTTATTTTGCTAGCATTTTCCCTCCCTCTTTTGCTGTCATAAATCACGTTCTCCAAGGGGGGGGGGGAAGGAGAGAAAGGTTCACTTCTGTTCTGAAGCCCATGTAATTACTCTCTACACCAGTGGTTCTCAACCTGTGGGTCAGGAGCACATTTGGGGTCCAACGACCATTTCACGGGGGTCGCCAAACAACGCAGACCGCCATTTTCACCCCCTTTTCCTTAGCCGTGCTACTCCCTTTTATTCTATTGGCTTTTGAAAGCCAATAGAATAGACTCTCTTGAATAGAGTCTAATTCTATTGGCTTTCAAAAGCCAATGGGAATTGTCCAGGCTGTCTCTGCCCTGCTGAGCCCGCCAAAAGTCCCATTCTGCAAACGGTGCTGCCCCAGTTGAGTAGTCCTCGACTTACGACCGGTTGAGTAGTCCTCGACTTACAACCGGTTGGGGGGGGGGTCGCAGCATTAAAAAGGTTGAGAACCACCGCTCTACACATTTTTTTCTCTTCCCTCCCAGCATCATCTGAATAAACTCTCAAAGTACCAGACAGTTCTGCATATTTTGTCAAAGCAAAAATATTCAATACTAGTGGCGTTGACATTAGGCTTCGCTGCCCACGCTGAGCCTCCTTACCCGGCCGCCTCTTCTCTTTGGTCATCAGCTGTTGGACTTTCCGCTGCTCTTCCTGCTCCTCTATTTTAGCTTCTTTGTGAATCTGCTCGATGGTCTTGGGCCCTTGATCTGCCCTCCGGGACACCCAGTTGCACTAGAGAAGGAAGGCAAGAAGCAGAGGCAACTGAGAGGCGTCTCGTCTCTCTCTCTGGCACGGGCACAGGAGGGGGAGCACGCCCTGGAAAGCTCATCCCCGGGAACAGCCAGGCCAGGAGAGCCAGAGGGCAGAAACTCCTCTGCCTCCGGGCTTGGAGCCACACCGCCCCCCCCCAGCTCCCCGAAGGAGGAGAAGGGAAGAATCTGGAGCCATCTGCGACCTCTTACCTCAGCAGACACATACCTGCCGAAGGTCAATGACATCCTGCAGCATGAACCGAATTCTGGAGGATGTTTTCCTCTCCTTCACAATTTTCTCCATTTGATTGAAATACTGGTCCATTCGAGGCTGGAGAGAACAGAAGGGAGGGCATCAGATGCCAGCCTCCTTTCTTCCCGCTCGCTACACCTACATGTTGCAGGGGGTCGGGTCGGGTGGGACCTCCGGCATCCCGAGGCCCGGCTCCCAGCTGCCCTACCTTGGCCTTCTCAAAGTCCAGGTCTTTGCCGATGGTGTTCAGCAAGCGACAGAGGCACTCCAGGGATTCCTCGTCGTGGTTCTTCAGCAGCTTCACCACGCAGTCGTGCATGATGGCTTCCGTCAACATCTTCAGCTTGAAAAGCTCCCCAATGAACTTGATGTTGCCGATGGACCGCCGCCGGGCCTTGTCCTTGGCCTCCTCCAGTTCGTCGTGAAGCCGAGTCTTCTCCTCTGGCTGGGAGAGCGCAAGGAAAGAGGCCTGAGGAACGGAGCCACTGGCCGGCCAAGCGCAGAGCACAGCTGAGAGCCGTTCTCCGCTCCCAACTGCCCTTTCCTAGACCGGCTGTCGGGAAGGCTGCCCTCCCCCTTGGGGTAAAGGCCACCAAAGCCACCGAAAAGACGGGAGGCCCCCGCTGCACTCACGGTGGTGGCCGCCTCCAGCTCTTTCTGCTTCTTCTCAAAGACATCGTCGTCGGCCTTGTCCTTTTCAAATTCTTTCTGGCAACGGTTCAGCAACAACTTGCGGAAGTTGACCGTGCTGCCGGGCTTGTCGGCCATGGGCACCTTCAGCTGCGGAAGGTAAAGAGCAAACGGATGTTCAACCGAGGATGCCTTCCTGCAGCTGCAGCCAGGGTTTGCCCTCTCTGCCTGACGGACAGCGCCCACCTTGGAATCCCGAAGTTGGAGCTGAGCCCGGATGTCCTCCCCTCCCCCCTTGCCCAGCCTTACCATGACCAGGCCCCTGCACATGTTGGCGTAGGCCACGGAGAAGCTGGGCTCGTCGATGGCCTTTTCGAACACCAGGTCAATGACCCCCTTCAGCCTCTCTTCCGTGTCCACCGTCAGGTCGGTCACTTGCTTCATGAGCTGACTGAACATCTGTGGGGTCAGCTTGTTCAAGATGCTGCGGACTTTGCGGAAGAGCTCCTGAAGGGAAGGAGAGGAAGAGCCTCCGCAACCGTTCCTGAAGACCAGCCAACGAAGGGCTCCCCGGGAGCCCCATTTAAACTAACCCCTCTAGCAGCTGATGGCTGGGCTGCCAGGGGAAGAAAAAACCAGCCATGGGGCAGCAGCAACCGGATCTGCAGCCACGCCAGCCCCTCCAGCTCCACTTTTGCTCCAGGAGGCCCCCCCCCCCCAACAAGGCGGAAGAAAGCAAAGCTGCCCGTACAAAAATGCTGGTGGCAGCCTGACACGGGATTCCTATCCTCCTAATGTGCGCCAGCCAGTGGTGGGATTCAAATACCCGAACAACTGGTTCTCTGCGTGGATGCAAGCCTGGGCCTCCGAGGCCTAGAACGGACTTCCGGAAGTGACATCCACGCACTTCCTATGGGCCGTTCTAGGTCTCGGAGGCCTCCTCCAGGTCTCCCAGGCCTAGAACGAACTTTTGGAAATGACATCCATGCACTTCCTGTGGGCTGTTCTAGGCCTGGGAGGCTTCCTCCAGGTCTCCCAGGCCTAGAATGGACTTCCGGAAGTGACATCCACGCACTTCCTGCGGGCCATTCCAGGCCTGGGAGGCCTCCTCTAGACCTCCGAGGCCTAGAACGGACTTTCAGAAGTGACATCCACACACTTCCTGTGGGCTGTTCTAGGCCTGGGAGACCTCCTCCAGGCCTCCCAGGCCTAGAGCAGACTTCCAGAAGCAGCGGGGGTTCATCCGGTTCTCCAAACTCAACAAAATTTAGCTACCGTTTCTTCCGAATCGGCTGAATCCCACCACTGGCGGCAACCCAACTGCAGGGCCGGCTCCTCATCGTCTCTCTGCGCCTCCCCCCCTCCCCACCTGGGTTTTGATGCTCTCGGGATCCTCCACATGGCTCTCTCTCTTCAGGCTTGGCTTCCAGGCGTTCTCGGCTTTCTTCAGGTGGACGTCCTCTTTGATGCACACCGTGATGATCTTCCTGGGCTCCCTCCTCTGGCTCGGCTGAGATCGCCGTGGCCCAACGTTCAGCAGCTGGGAGAAAAACAAGAGCCGAGGTGGCGCAGCAGGTAGGGTGCAGGACTGCCGGCCACTTTAGCTGACTGTGTTCAGCAGGTCAGCGGTTCAAATCTCACCGGCTGAAGGTTGACTCAGCCTTCCATCCTTCCGGGGTAGGTAAAATGAGGACCCAGATTGTTGGGGGCAGTGTAAATATATATATATATATACATTGCTTATTGGTGTACACTGCTTAGAGAGTGCTTGCACTTAAAGCGGTATATAAGTCTCATAAATAATAATAATAATAATAATAATAATAATAATAATAATAATAATAATAATAATAATAATATTCTATTCATTCCATTCCATCTCTATTCTATTCTATTCTATTCTATTCTTTCTATTCATTCCATCTTTATTCTATTTATTTCTATTTCTATTCTATTCTATTCATTCCATTCCATCTCTATTCTATTCTATTCTATTCTACTCTATTCTATTGTATTCTATACTATGCTATTCTATTTCTATTCTATTCCATTCTATTCTATTCATTCCATTCCATCTCTATTCTATTCTATTCTATTCTATTCTATTCTATTCTATTCTATTCTATGCTATGCTATGCTATGCTATGCTATGCTATGCTATTTCTATTCTATTCCATTCTCTATTCAGCAGGTCAGCGGTTCAAATCTCACCGGCTCAAGGTTGACTCAGCCTTCCATCCTTCCGGGGTAGGTAAAATGAGGACCCAGATTGTTGGGGGCAATGTCAATATATATATATACATTGTTTACTGGTGTACACCGCTTAGAGAGTGCTTGCACTTAAAGCGGTATAGAAGTCTCATAAATAAATAAATAAATAAATCCGGCTATCACATCCGGCTTTGCACAAAGGGAGGAAAGCAACCTGCACTCCAGTCACAAAGAAACGCCCGCTGGTGGTGCCCTCTGAATGAGTTAACTTTTTGTTTTTTTTTTAATGTTCTTGACTGCAAACTGTCACCAAAAGGATTTTGGTCCAGAAAGACGGAATGTTGTTGGAATAAGGATGAAATCTCATCAACAGCCGCATCCCGATCAAACCGGCACCCGGAAGGTCTGCTGGGGACCGGGAATGCAAGACGGACAGCGCCTGGCATACAGAAATGCCACAACTGGGGAATTCAAAGCGGAATCTCTGCAATGCCACGGTGTCCCTGACTGCGTTTGCTGTTTGCGGGACACTCCCGTTTCTTTCTGAAAAGCCCCAAACCCAGCTTTGCAATTCTAACAACCTTGTTCTGGAAACAGCTTCGCCTTTCACTTACCGTATATGCCGGCGTATAAGACGACTTCCAGAAGCGCTAAACTCGGCGCCAAAGACAGGAGTCGTCTTATACGCCGGAAATACTGGTAGTTTCCGGCGTATAAGACAACATTCTAGGAATGCGGCTCGACGATAAAGACAGGGGTCGTCTTATACGCCGGGTCGCCTAATACGCCGGCATATACGGTATGTTGAATGCTTGGCAGGCAGGGAGGGAGGGGGTTATTTGCATTTTAAAAACATCACAGCTAAAACGCAGCAGCCATCATCACGGAAGAGGCAGCCACGGGGAAAGTGCAATGCGCATTTCAAGCCAGCCACAAAAACCAAGCTCGCAGCAACGCCGAAGAAGAACCCCATCGGTTTGGGGAAGCAGGGGCAAAATCTTCCCTGCTTTCTCCTCCTGCTTGCTAAGTCCGCTGCTCTCCAAAATGCACGTGAGCAGCACTGCAGCAGCCAAACGCAGCAAATCCGGATGGACCTGCCCATGCACTGATACAAATGCCGCCAAATAACGGGATTGATCCAGAAGGAATTTCTCCAGCACGCTGCCAAGGAGATTCTCTGTGAATGCTGACCAGACTTGGGAGACCAAGTAACGGACAAGGAACCATCTTATTCACGTGGGCAGGTAGTCAGGGCCTCGGCGAAATGCTTCATTACTCCTCCTCACTAACATGTAACCTTCCCTTGCTGGTGCCCAAATTCTGCAGCTGTGGCTATTTCCTCCCCAACCGGGGCGGGGAGGACGAAGGCCTGCAAAATTGGCCCACTAGACAGGCGCCCTCACCATTTGCTGACTGGAAGCGTACTGGATTGACCAGTAAAGCTTCGTTAATTATGTCGATACTGGTTTCTGTTTATTCGTTCTTTGGAACCCGACCCGGGGCTCCCTCGGTCGGCAAAAACCCAGCCCCGTGGTGGCGAAGCTATGGCGCGCGTGCCACAGGTGGCACTCAGAACCCTCTCTCTGGGCACACCCCAGTCCTAGGCCTTCAGCTGGGTTTTATAAAACCTTTTCGCTTTAGGCCTCCGTGTGCAAAAAAAAAAGGTTCAATCAATCAGTCAATTTCAATTTCTCGCGCGGAGGGGGAGAGATCTCTCAAAGTTGGAATTGATTAATTGAATTTTTTAGTCCCAGCCAGTTTGCCGTTACCACCACAGCCACGCCCAGCCAATGGGCCATGCCCACCCGGCACCCGATGATACGTAAATGGGTTTTGGGTTGCAGTTTGGGCACTCGGCCTCTAAAAGGTTCGCCATCACTGCCCCAGCCAATGGTGGGAAGAGATGCGTGGGGATGCCCCTTCCCCTGGCAACTGTGGTAGCCGAGAGCCACGTCCTGGCCCCAACCTGCCCACCGCCGCCTCCTGCTCCAGAGACAAAGGCTCCTGCTGCTCTAAGGCAGATAGCGATGGCCCGAGCCGCTAGCTGCTGCCTAGGGCAGGGGTAGGCAACCTTGGCTCTTGTACGACTTGTGGACTTCAACTCCCAGAATTCCTGAGCCAGCATGGCTGGTTCAGGAATTCTGCGTATTGAAGTCCACGAGTCATAAAAGAGCCAAGGTTGCCTACCCCTGGCCTAGGGACAGAGCGGGCCTTCCCTAAGCAAAGCGTCTTGCCAGTTGTTCCCTGGATGATCAGCCTGGGCAAGGGGGCAGAGCGGCAGGCCTCCTCCAGTGTGGCTCTCAGGGCTGCAAGCAGACATACCTGGAGAAGCCAATGGACTCAAGAGGGCTCACCTGGTCTCCCCCTTGCCCAGAACTGCGGAGAGCAGCCTCGGGTGAGTCTGGCTGAGGACCAATGTCCAGCATGCCCTCTGCAAGGGAACGCCCCCACCCCCCAGCCCTGATGCAGCGCAAGGCCGGCGCCATGTCAACCACTGCCTGCGCGGAGTCTCGGCTCCTTTGGCAGGGAAAGGAGGGAGGGAGGGGAGAGGAAATGGAGGCTGACGGGGAGGGGGCAGCGGGAAGGCTTACCCCTATCTGCAGATTCCTCAGCTGTGGGTGAGATGAGACCAACAAAGGGCATGCTGGGGTGCCACACCGCGTGCCGGAGGGGAGTCCGGGTGGGGGCTGCACTTTGCAGGCCTGAAGGAACGAAGGAAGGAAGGAAGGAGGGGAGCCACTCAGCCCAGGCAGCCACACCAGGGAAGAAAATTTGGGGGGGGAGGGGAGAAATTCTGTGGCCCCCGGACAGCCAGCTGATCCCTGCGCGGCCACTGCCCTCCCCTCGGCCGCCTTTGGCCCAAACTCCGAGGAGCAAAAAGCAGAGACAGCAGAAGGAGCGGCATTTTGGGAAAGCATCCTGAGCTTCGGAGGGATGGAAGAGCAGAGCAGAGCGCTGGGGAACCATGCCGGGAAAAGCATGGAAAAGCAAGAGAAAGCGCAGAGCCAAACCTCTTCCTGGGTGCCTGCCAGGACCTGGCTGACCATGCGCAGAGCAGGAGACCGGGGGGGGGGGGGAATTCAAAGCAAAGGTGGGGCTCACTTACAGCGCTGGCCCGCCCACCGGGGACTGGTCTTCCAAAATCAGCAAAGGCCGGGGTGAAGTCTGGGCCCCGGGCCAAGATCCGAGAGTCCAACGTTCGAAGAGGCAGCTTGGGCTGGTTGATCTGCATTGGCAGAGAAGAGGGAGAGTCATGCAGGGCAGGACGTGACCCCACCCCTCCCTTCTCGGCTGCTCGGAGGCTCCTGGGCCTTCAGCCCAGCCCCCCCCCAATTTCCTATTCAGGGGCTGACAGGCAACCAAGTGGAGGAAGGGAGGGAGGGAATCCATTCATCTAGCGCCCAACCGACTCACAGGCTCCTGCTCCTGACCTTATCGAGGACGACGTCGCTGATGGGCGGGAGCCCCTCTGGCTTCTGGATGCAGGCAGGCATGAACTGGAAGTCGAGCAGGAAGTCCCGGTCGTACTGCTTCTTCCCTTCGGTGTCCGCAGGCTTCCCCGGTTCTGTGGGGGGGCAGAAAAGTTGCTCTCGCCGCCAAGCTCACCTCTCGGGAGCCGGGCCAAAGCGGGCAACGAGACCCATCCAGGCTGCCCTGAGGTCCTCCCCCCTTCAAAGTGGCTAGGAGAGTGGCAGAGGGCTTCCGTCCCGTGCCCGGCTGACCACGGCTCTCTTTTTGGCCAGTCCCTGATGACAAATTATTGTGATATGGACGGAGATGGTGCACCTAACAGGCCGTTCGGTTCCCCAAAAAAGTGATGTGGCAATGAAGCTGTTTCGGAATCCCCCGGGTCCCTCCGAAAGGGAGAAACAGCCCCCCCCTCAAATTCTGTTCAGAGATGAGGGGTGGAGCAGCAGCTAAAGTCCCTGGGGGCTAGGTGTCTCTGATAGCCCTCCTTCACCCTCTGCAACCACGGCAGGGCTAACAACCCTGGGCACAGCCCACTTCTGGATGCTGGCCCTGCAGGACGTGGGCTGTCAACTGCTCAGACCTTTCCCCGCTTCCCCCCCCCAAGAGGCTCTCTCTTTGGACCACCCTCTCTGTTCCCGTGAGGTTGGGGGCAGAGGCTTCCCTCCCCCCCGGAGAGTTCCCCTCTCTGAGCTCAGAGAACAGGCTGGGGATGAAGGCTACCTGGCTTAAGCTGGCGGATGGGGACTTCGCTCACGCTCTCTGCGCAGCCTTCTTCCCTCTCAGAAACCTCCTCAGCCCCGTTGCGGAGAGGGTCTCCTTCCTGCTCGCCGTTTTCTTCCGCCGTCGTCGTCGCGTTGGCTACCGTCGGGTCAGACGGAGAGGCCCTGCTGACACTCCCGGCCTCTGGCTCGGCTTCTGGGATCCACTCGCCTCCGAGGGCTGCTTCTTCTGCTTGAGGCTGAAGCAGAGGCCACGTTACCCCCCCCTTCTCTTCACCCAGCAGGCTCTCTCCGCCAAGGGGGGATGGCAAGAATTTGCTCCCCGCTGCAGGCAAGTGGGAGCTTGTGGGAGGCCCCCCCCCCCAGGCCCTGCATTCCAGGAAGGAGTGGGGGGAGAAGAGTGAGATGATCTGAGCTCTTCCTCACTAGCCCCCTCCCCAAATCCATCCGTTGGCAGGAGGAAGCCGCTCCGGGGAGGACCATCCAAGCACCACAGGCCTTTGGGAGAAGAGCACCCCCCCCTCTTGGGAATCCTGCCCCGCTCACCTCAGGCTCCGCCTCCAGCCCTTCCTCGGCTGCCTGGCTCTGTTCTTTTGGTTTCTTCCACGTCTTTGGTGCAGCTGCAACTGTCGGGGCTGCAAAGCAGATCGAAAAGGGGTCGTTTCCCACCGCCCCCCCAAAGCAGGTCTGGCCGGGGAAAGGGTCTTGCTGAGCCCTGCCCACCCTCCCCGGCAACCATTCTCCCAGGAGGCAGGAAGGCCGAGCCTCGGATGCTGACCCACCTTCTTCCAGGCCTCTCTCGGCACTCAAGCCCTGGAAGTCCTCCTCCTCCTCCTCTTCCAGCTCTTCTTCCGTCTGGCCATCCACCTCCGGTTCCTCTTTCGCGTTGGGAGCATCTTCGCTACTAAGAGCTGGTTGGGGGGGCTCCTCATTGTCCAAATCCTCCTGGAGGGCGGGGGGAGCACCACCCGGCAGGAGAGGAGGGGAAGGCGAGCGGGGAGGAGACGGAGGAAGATGGGGGCCGAGAGCCACCGGCAGGGCGAGGGGAGAGGGGGGAGGCCTCGGAGGCGGCGAGGGTGAGCTGGGAAGCGCCACGGAAGGAGCAGCAGCAGCAGCAGGGGGCGGGCTTTCCACCTCCGGTTCTTGACTCTCCAGTTCCAGGGCCGGCGGTCCGGCTTCCTTCACATCGCCAAGTTCCGGGACGCCGTCGCCGAGCGTTCCCATTTCGGGAACTCCGTTGAGTTCATTAGCGAGATTAGCACTGGGAGTCTGCTGCAGCTCGTTGGGGACTATCCTAGAGGGCTCCCGACATCTCTCTGGGTCGGCGGCCTCGTCCTCCTCCTCCTCCTCCGCCAGGGGGCAGCTGGGCAATTCCAGGCAGGGCCCAGCCCTGGCCAGCGGTGGAGCCTCCTGCAGCGGGGAAGCCAGTTCGCAGCTTTCCTGCGAGCCGGATGCCAGTGGCGACCTGCTGGGGGGCACGACTGCAAGGGAGGGGGCTCCAGCAGGACCAGGAGGCTCCAAGGAGGTCTCTGGACAGGGGGGGCTCTCCGCAGTCAGGCCCGCTTGCTCTTTCCTCTCTCCACTCGGCTCTGCTCTGAGGGCAGGGGAAGGAGATTTTAATACTGGATCTGTTTTAGGCTTCTCTTCTGGGGAAAAGGAGAAAGGCAGAATTACAAGAGCCCAGCCCTGTCAGAGCCAACGGACGCTGCCCCCCACTCCCCTCCAGGGCCCACCAGCGGCAGCTCTCCTGGGGGCACCTCTTTGCCAAGCCCCACAACGGGGAAACCGGCGGAAAGGCTCCCACGATTCGTTTCAACCCCAGGCGGGCAAAGCTGCAGGCCACCCCTGAAGGGACAGGCCATGAACCAAAGCCCCCAATCTTTTGGCTGCCAGGGGTAAATGTCACAGGTAGGCAGTTCCCCTGGACCAGGGATAGGCAACTTTGGCTCTTTTATGAGTGGTGGACTTCAACTCCCAGAATTCCTGAGCCAGCATGGGGGAACTTCTTCATGACTCGTAGATTTCAACTTCCAGAATTCCTGAGCCAGCCTGGCTCAGCTTGGAAACCTCTCCCTTTCCCCTCAGCATGGCTGGCTGAGGAATTCTGGGAGTTGAAGTCCACGAGTCACAAAAGAGCCTCTTTTATGACTTGCGGATTTCAACTCTTTTATGACTTGCGGACTTCAACTCCCAGAATTCCTGAGCCAGCATGGGGAACTATGGCCCCCTCACGACTCGTGGATTCAACTCCCAGAATTCCTGAGCCAGCATGGGGAACTATGGCCACCTCACGACTCATGGACTTCAACTCCCAGAATTCCTCAGCCAGCATGGGGGAACTATGGCCCGCTCATGACTCTGGACTTCAACTCCCAGAATTCCTGAGCCAGCCTGGCTCAGCTTAGAAACCTCTCCCTTTCCCCTCAGCGTGGCTGGCTCAGGAATTCTGGGAGCTGAAGTCCACCAGTCATAAAAGAGCCGAGGTTGCCTACCCCTGCCCTGGACAGAAGCAGAACACTCCAGAGGAGGAAGCGTCTGCTGCTTTGGGGCCGTGGCTGTTCTGCAGCTAGGGGGCGCCCTTCCAGGTTGGGGCTCATCCCTGGAATGAGGGGCTGGGCTAAGCTCCCATTTCCCTTCAGGCTTTGAAACGTAAGTCAAGCCACAAGTCAATCGTTTCGGGGAACCGGGATTTGCCACCCACATTTGAAAGACAGAACTGGATAGAGAAGCGCTAAACGAGGGAAGGTTGACCCAGCAGTGGGGAGATGGGAGAGAGAGAGAGGGCAGGGTGGTCAAACAGCATGGTGAGGAAATGGTCCTGGTGGGGACAGCAGCACGAAGCAGCGTTCTACGTTACTTGATTTTCTTACGGCACTTAGAATACGTAAACCACCCTTTATCTACCCGGAGAAGACCGCACATAGTATTAGCGACAGAGAGAAATGAATGTACAATTCAAACTACGAAACCAAGAGAACGGAGTCCTACATGCCCCTACACCAAAAGTCCCATCCTCTCCACACTCCCTCCAGGTCAGTGGTTCTCAACCTGTGGGTTGGGACCCCATTTGGGGTTGAACGACCATTTCACGGGGGTCGCCAAACAACGCAGTCCGCCATTTTTCCCCCCCTTTTCCTTAGCTGTGCTACTCCCTTTTATTCTATTGGCTTTCGAAGGCCAATAGAATAGACTCTCTTGAATAGAGTCTAATTCTATTGGCTTTCAAAAGCCAATAGGAATTGTCCAGGCTGTCTCTGCCCTACTGAGACCGCCAAAACTCCCAGTCTGCAAACGGGGCTGCACCAGTGGAGTAGTCCTCGACTTATGATCGGTTGAGTAGTCCTCGACTTACGACCGGTTGGGGGGGGGGGGGTCGCGGCATTAAAAAGGTTGAGAACCACTGCTCCAGGTGGCCAAGGCAGATCTGGCGACCGGGGATCTCTGCTCACCCCAGGAAGGAGTGGCAGCTGTCCTTTCCTCACCGGTGAGTGCCAGGCTGCCAGTCCCGAAGTGCAAAACAAGTCTGGGAGCAGCTCAGCAGGACTGGGGCTGTGTTGCAGCAGGACCCCGGGAGGGTGAGGAAGAGGGGCAAGTTTGGGACCACTTTTCCAAAGAGCAGAGTCCAGCCCCTCCTACAGGTTTGGGTGCTGGAAAAAGGCTGGGACAAAGCATGGGGAATAGGACAGGGGCAGCAGCCTCTCCCGACCGTTGGATTTCGGCTTCCCCGAGTCTTTGCAGAAGCCGCCTGCTCAGATGGGGCTTGAGGCCGCCAATCTCCTCTGGTTCTCTAGTAAGCAGAACGGTGGCTCAGCCTCTCCTCTGCCCCCAAAGATTCCTGGGGGGGACGGGACGAGACCCACCTCTCTCTCCAACCAGGACGAGCCGTCCATCCACCCACCTTGCTTGAGGCCGCCCGTCGCCGCGATGGGGCTGCTGGCCGGGAGGGGAGAGTTCTCCACGGTCCCGCAGGCCACGGGGCTGTGCTCAGGGACCTGGCTGGGCAGCTGCTGCTGAGATTTGAAGTAGAAAAAAGGGTGATAATGAGCCTGCAAACATAAAAACCAGGAAAAGCGGAACGCAGGCAAGCAGAAAAAGGAAGGGAAAGGCCAGGTGAGAAAAGGAAACATATTTTTTTGGGGGGGGGGAGGGAAAAAAAGGAAGAAAACAAAACCATAATATACATGGAGAAAGCACATGGGGAGGGAGGGCCGGAGTAAAGCAGCAGAAGAAAGGTGGGGAGAGAAAGAGCGTTACTATCGGCAACACTGAAGACGACAACAGGGGCACAATTCTCCACGGGTCTCACCCCCCCCCACCCCGGGCAATGAGCCGGGGATCCTGGGTTAGGGGAAAGCTCACCCCCCCCCATCCTTCTACGCGCCCAGAGTTCGACTGACAGGCCAATTCTCTGAAAGGGCCTGGTCAGAAAGAACAAAGATAGAATAATTAAAAAACCCATTGTTCCCAATGGCCTCAGCCCTCCCCCAGCCCTGGGTTCACGGAAGACTTCCCGTGGAGTTTCCCCACCTTTTATCAAAAGATCGGGAAGGTCCTGCCCGCAGTCCTGACCGACCCACTGGATGGGGTAGGAAAGGGGCAGAGAGGGGGCTGCCCACCACAGATGCTGCGGCTGCTGCAGCGACCTCACTGACAAGCCGATCGCCGTAGGATCCCCTGCAGCTGAACCCACTGTGGCTGTCCTGTTTGTTCGGTTCTGGGTTGAGGGCAGGGTTGCTCCGTTTGAAATTCTGAGCTCCCTGTGGAAGGCTTTCCAGGTGGAGAGGGAGGTCGGTCAAATAATTCCTCTCCAGACCCACAATGCCACACTCACAAGGGCCCGGAAGACAGGTGTCAATGCTGCTAACATCGGATGTTCTTGCTTTGACAACAGATGGAGATGCAGCCATTTACTTTCTTACGCTTTACTCTTAGAATTAGATGATGCTGGGGGTGGGGGGGGGAGGAATGTGATGGGAGTTAGTTAGACGTAACAATATTGTAATAGTGTGTGAATTCAGGGCTTTTGAAATAAGAGATGATAAGGAATGGCGGGTTGGAGTAAAGGAGGGAAAGCCTGCATTTCAAACTAATTGGAGAATGTGATTTATGACTACTAATTAAGAGGAGGGAATTGTGCTTTGATACTATGTGCTTAGGGGAGGGGAATTCAGATTTTGGCTTTGCCTATGATGTGGTTCCGGCTAATGAAACATTCCAAAGAACTTCCAGGCATTTATTTTCCTAAAAGTCTTTTATTGTTACAAAATGTCGGCACAGGCACAACAGAGGGATCCTAGCACAGGGGTAGGCAACCTTGGCTCTTTTATGACTCGTGGACTTCAACTCCCAGAATTCCTGAGCCCGCATGACTGGCTCAGGAATTCTGGGAGTTGAAGTCCACGAGTCATAAAAGAGCCAAGGTTGCCTACCCCTGTGCTAGGATCTACGTTCTCTTCCTCTGAGCAGTTAAATTATCAGCATATTCCCTCTCTAAATTAGCCGTCATATCTCACACTATCCAATTAGTGTGAAGGTCAAAGGTTTTCTTCCTCTTTCTTTTCCCGGGCTTTACCCGCAACGTCCCTTCTGCTCTTTATTAAGCCCATATTTACCAGACAACTCTGCATATTGTCAAAAGCAAGAATATACAATATTTGCAGCGTGGACAGCCTACGTACGGTGCCGATGCTATGTTACTCGAATCAAAGATTCTTTAAGGTAAACAAGGCCTGGAAGTTCTTTGAAGAGTTTCACTTGTCGGAACCACGACAACAGGCTGCAAATCTCTAAAGGACAAAGAACTACAGGCAGCCCTCGCTTAGTCACCGTTTCAAGTTACGTCACTGAAAAAAAAAAGGGACTTATGACCGTTTTTCGCACTCACGGCCGTTGCAGCATCCCGGGATCAAAATCCAGACGCTGGGCAACTGGCTCGTATTTACGACGGTGGCGTCGTCCCGGGAGTCACGTGATCCCCTTGTGCGATCTTCTGACAAGCGGAGTCAAATGGGGGAAGCTGGATTCCCTTAAAGGCCGTGTGACTAATTTAACTGCAGTGACTCGCTTAACTGTCTTGCTTAGCAACGGAAGCACTGGGATCAAATGTGGTCGTTAAATCGAGGACAACCCGTACTGGAGACCCCCTCTCCCTTTAGGACAGCAGAGGCCCAGCAGCAGCTACTAAAAAGGCGTTCCGAGCACACGTTTGCAATGCAGATTCCTCTGGAGAAAGGACCGCAGGGGTGGGAGGGAGGGGGGGGGCTGGTTACCTGAGGAGGGGTGGGGGTCGAGGTGGGCCGGATCGCAGGAGGCGGAGTGGGGGTCGAGGTGGGCCGGACCGCAGGAGGCGTGGGGTTCCTGCTCCCTCCGCCAGACATAATTTCTTCCGTTATGTCTTTGCCCCCTTGATTCGGATCCCGGATGCGGATCTGGCACAAAAAAGATAAGGAAGCCGCTGAGCCCTCTCTACTCGGATCTCCCGAACCCGGCTCGGCACTCTTGACTATGCCCAGGCAACAGAGGTCAGACGAAGCCGTCCCCCGGATGCCCTGCTGGGGCCAACCGAAGAGCTAAACGCCCCGCTGGTCCCTGGGCCATCCAAAGTGCTTCCCCAACAGGGTGTGGCCGTGGCATCCAGCCACCGAGATCGGCCTCCTGGTCGGGGAGCCGCTCCAGCCGTGGGAAGCCCCCCACCCTCGGCGGAGAGCGCTTACCGTCTTCTTCTCCCGCTTGGTGGGTGGGAGCGGCTGCTGTTGGGGGGTAGGCACTATGATGGGTGTCGACTGATACACCGGCTGACTCGGATAGAAAGGGGCTCCTGGAACAAGGGAAGGGGAGGAAGAAAAAAAAAAAGGCACGTCTGGCTGGGGCTGAATGCCCCCACTTCAGCCCCCCTTTTTCGGGTCAGCCAATCCTCCCCAAACCAGGAGCCATTTAGACGCCCATCAGGAGCGCTAGGATGAACAGATGTATGGGGGGGGGGAAAGGGACCAGAAAGAGCCTACTTCACTAAGGAGCGTCTTACCGTAGGCATTGGGGAATTCTCCAGGCCCCGGTCCTGGATAAAAGGGGCCAGGCCCCGGCGGCTGAACGGGATACTGTTGCGGAGGCCCCACGTAAGGAGGACCGCTGTGCCGATACTGTGGAAGGAATGGCATCAGGCATGAGGACACAACGGGAGAAATAGCTGGCAAGAGAGGAGAAACACCCACTCTCTCTGGCTGGAAAGCAGTGGCAGCAGCCTAAAGGGAGGGTGGGCATCCCGCCGGCTGAGCCAGAGGGGAAGTTCTGCCTTCCTCCGATCCCCCCTCCGTGTTCTTCCTCCTCCAGAAGCATGAAAAACCAGCCCCCCTCCCTGGCCAGGAGCCCAGAGGGCTTTGCGATGCCCACCGGGTGAAGCCCCCCGCTGCTTTTCCAAGGGTGGCACTCCCACCCAGCCCTCTTCCAGCCAAAGCTCACCAACTGGACAGTACCAAGGACAGGGAGGTGGAGGAAGCCCACGGCAAAGTCGTCCCCACCCACCCACCCACTCGCTTCCCCCCCCCCAGGAGCAGCAGCAGCAGCCCCCTTACCTGTGGAATACAGTACTGGGGCCCCTGAGGCATTGGGTAGGGCATGGGGAGGTGGTTGACCATCATGATGTGCTGATTGGTCTGATAGACCGCCGTGGGGGTTTGTGCGCCTGGGCGGATGGAGGGGCTGCTGTTCTGGATCGTAGCTCGAGGGGGCTGGATTTGAGGCCTCTGGAAAAACTGGGGGGGGGGAGGCAAGCAAGCAAGTAGATCATCGGCACCACAAAGGCTGAAAGCTAGGCAGCCCTTGCTCAAGAAGACCGACATCCCTGGACCAGTGGGACCGAGGCAGGACCCGGAACGGACCCTCTTGGTGCTTGGGAAGTCGTGCTCCCAAAGCCAGAGGGAGTCCACAAACAGGCCCATCCAGATGCAGGAGGCTGTTGGGGCCTTCTCTTGTGGACGTCCTCTTTCAATAAAGGATAAAAGGGGGCAACCTGGCTTTAAATTATCGGCCAGGGAGGTTGGGGAGGGGGGCAAAGAAGCTGTGGCACGGTGGCCTTTTTGACGTGTAGGCTCTCTCTCTCATGTGCAACAAGTGCAGAACGGGGTGTCAGGCATGAACACATCGAACCGTCAAGGGGGGGAGGGGTGACCAAGAGACGAGTCGGACCATGCAGAGCCAGTAATGGAAGTTACCTGGATCGGTCTGAATCCTCCCTTCAACAACGAAGCAGCAGGAAATAAAAAGAAAGCCGGTGGAACAGCTGACAGGTCAGGAGGGAGGGAGGGCCAGCATGCAATGGAGGACCCCGGACCACACTGCCCTGGACGGAGCTATCCACATTATCTGTTCCCAGAGGAGCCAATCAGCAACCTCCTGTGGGAGTGTCTGTGGCCGCCCGAGTCGTCTCACCCTCCCTTCCTCGGCTTTCTCTTCCACTGCCAGGCATTTGAGGACATCCCATCCTACTCAGGGGCTGGCCAGGAGAGAAAGGATTTCCTTTCCGGGCGTGAGCTGCCTTGGGAGACCCCAGGGCGCCCAGCAGAAAGGAGAGCTACACCAGGTCCCCCAAACATGGGATGGGCTTCTGGGTGGAGGCAGAAACCCCTCCCCAGAAGCCCAAAGAGAGGCCAGCCTGGGACACGGGAAGGGCGGTTCCCACTTCTTCATCTCATTTGGAGAAGCAACAGGGTCCATGCCCGGAGGGTGGATAGGACAGGAGCCATAAAATCAGCATTTTGGGGGGGACTCACTCCCCTTCCCCTCACTCACACCTGCACTGCTGGTCAGGACTAATTTGAGACCCTGCTGGGAGACCGCCCAGCGAAACCCCAAAGCAGCCAGTCCTGAGTCGTCTGCCAGAAGAGGGCAGGGGGGGTCTTTTAATCCTGCAAAGTCCGATTTGATCCTTTTGCTTCCTTTCCTTGGGAATGCTGCCCTGCCACCCTGTCCAGGCCAGGAGGGAGCTGGGGCGCCTGGCTGCACCTGGAAAGCTCTGCTCCGGTTCGTGGAAACATAGAAGCAGAAAAGTACACATTTCTGCTCCTTTCTTCCTTCCCTCACCTAGCATCCACCTGTAGGGCCGTCTGATACGTGGGGAAACAACAGGAGGGGAGGACAAGCATCCCCTTGCTATCCCCCACATGACAAGGCCAGGCCAGCATCTCCACATCGGGAGGGTATCCTGGTGGCGTCCACTCAGCAGCTCGCCAATAAAGGGGCTGGCGGACTGGAATGGGCAGAGCACCAGCAGACGGAGAGCTGCGACAAGCCCCCACCCCTCCCCAATGTTGCTTCTTAACAGCTTCGTGTTGCGCCCCGATGTGCAAATGCTCCTGCTAGTTGCCCGTGAGGGATTTGCAGAAGAAGGTGGCTTAGCACACACATCACATCAGACACCACCGGAGCACGGAAAGGCAACGAGCAAAAGGTTCTGGGGAAGAAGACCACAAGACTGGAGGATGGAGGGGGTGTCCCCCACAAACATTCAGCCAGCATCGATCAAACCAACCCAGGGTTTATGGGCATTTGGGGGGCGGGGAGGGAAATGACAAGATGATCACACAAGCGCTGTGCTTGCGTCAGATGTTGGACACGAGCCATTTGCCGGATGACCTCGCTGCCCCAAAAGCCACTGCTTTGGCCTCGCGGGGACCGACTGCAGTCTGGAGATCCTGGCAGCAGCATTGGGCATCTTCCACTATGGCCAGCACATTAATCAGCACTTGGGCAGGCGTGGGCACCTCTGCCCCTCCCAGCAATACCCACCCACCCCAAAATGGGAAGGACATAACAAGGCTCTAAACTTCAACTTATGATCCCTTTTCAGCTAACATCCAGTTCTGGGACCAGGCAACCTTTAATGGCTTCTAGCTACGTTTTTATTTCATCATGTGCGTGAAGATCAAAAGGTGCCTTGTGACATTTTGCACAGTAACCTCTACATATAATTAATCAAGCGCACAAACAGATGTGCGAGACGCCTCCTGTTATGGTCCCAGCAAGGAGCCCTCAGGGGTCAGCCAGCAGCCTTCCTCATTGTTCCAGATCCGTGACACTCCACCCACCCGGGCTCAGCCGATATAGCTTCAACATGCAACAGCCTGGGGGGGGGGTCCTTTCTTAGTCCTCAAAGGCACAGGAGGGGGGGCCCACAGACAGGAGGGGGGAAAGGAGAAGCCCCTGTGGACTTTCTCTCTTCCAAACCAGTTCAGGAATTCAGCAAAACGGCAACCTTGACGCTCCTTGGTGGAACCCCAATATTAAGTGTTAAGTAGAAAGATGCTACCCCGGCCATGCCGGATCTCACAATCTTCACTACTTTTTTTTTTTTTTTGAGTTCTCCCACGAGACTCACAGATGCTCAGTTCAGGCCAGAACACCAGCATCGTGTGATATTTTGGCTATCGAGTTTGGGGGTCCTGGCTGAGAGACCAGGGCAATTCAGCAGCACCAGCTGCAGCTCTTCTCCTGTGCTAGACCCATCCACCACCACCCCCCATCCGCAGGGACACCTCCTGATCTGACACTAAGGGGAAGAATAGAAGAGCAGCTTGCTAGGAAGCGGGTCGTGGGTTGGGGTCAGTCTCCCCCGCGCTCCCCAGGCTGCAGGGAGATCTACAACACCCCCCCCCCATCCTCTCAAAGGGAATTAGTAGCTTTTAGAAAGTGGAGCCACCTGGAGCCAGAGGTCAAGGTGCCAGAATTAGCAGCAGGAGGAGGGCCAGCTAGCCGGCCAGAACACCCCCCCATCCCATCCCGCAACCAGGCTGTAGCAGAGGGAGAAAAGGGGGGGGGGAGCAAGGAGGGTACTATACCTGGTGGTGGGCAGGTCGAGGCCCGGCTGCGAACTAAGAAGCGGGAGAAACAAAAACACAAAAAAAGAAGGGAAGGCACAGAGAGTCAGAAAACACAACGGAAGGCAAAAATGTCACACTCTATGCAAATGAAACCCATGGTGGGGTGGGCGGGGTAGGGGGGGTGCGTAAATGAGAGATGAGGAAATAAAGAGCATGACTACTACGAAGGAAGCACACAGCTGCAGCACACAGAGGGAGGGGGGCACAGCGACCCCAGCTGACCCCACGGGGGGGGGGGACCTGTGGCCAGGACAGGGCCCGGCTCCCAGGAGGCAGCCCTGGGAAAGCCCACCCCACTAACGCATGGGGATGGGGGGGGGGCAATCGGGCTGAGGGTTCCCAAAGGGGAGGGCGGAGGGGCCGCCAGGCCAGAACCGTAGCTGGGAACTGAAAATGGAGGGAGGGCAAGGGGGCAAATGAAGCCCTGTCCTGCCCTTCAGCTTTGATAGCCCAGCCTTTTGGTGAGCTGCTGCCCACCCAACAACGCGGGACCCTTTTCCTTCCAGCCCCTCATCGCGAGCCACAGTCTTCTCCAGCACCACCACCCCTCTTTTTTTTCTTTTTTGCACTCTCGTCTTTCTGACTGCCTCTTTTTATTGTTGGGCCGACCAGCAGGGTACATGTGCTTGAAATAAATTCAGAGAGTAGCTTTTTGCACAGGACGGGGTGGGAGAAAGATAATCTCCTCTCTGGTTTATTTTTTTTTTCCCATCGGCTTTTGTGCAAGTGCAAACAAAAAAACAACTTTGCAAACTGCCCAAATCCTATCCAGGAGACTGAAGGTGAGCGGACAAAAACAGGACGGGCGAATGCCAGCAGACAACAAGGGCACAAAATATCTTTTGGGCCACTGCCTCTTCCTGGAGGGGGGGGGGGACTCTGAAGCCGCCAGCCTCTCCCTCCAGCAAAGGGCACCCCTGCCCCCCCTCTTTCCTCTCCGGAGGAATATTCAGACATGCAGCAAACACACGTCCTCTCCAGCACTCCAGACCCGGCCAAATCCACACAGGGAGGGCCTCCACTGCTCCTCCAGCCAAATGCAGGGCAGACACGCGCACCCCCCTTCTTTGCAAAGCATTTGGGGAGACCTGAGGACGCTAAGCTACGCAAAGAGCATTCCAACAACACACTTTTAGGGAAAGAAACCACCTCCTAGCCTATTTTCCTGCTGGCTGCCATCAGCTACTGGCCAACATCTTCCTCCGGAGCTGTAAGCAACAGAACAAACTGTAGTCACTTGTGGCTCAGAGAGATTTTAGGGGTTCATTTCCTGGGGGGAGGGGCAGGGGAGGAGCCTATCGGGCTCCCAGTGTCGCCCACTGGAGTGGGGTTGGGAAAGGGGCTCCCCTGCTTAAGGGAAGCCCCACAATTGGGAACTGCCCTTCGCACTCCCCAGCTGGGTGGTTGGGCAACTCCAGTCCAGTTGCTATAAAAGCAACCCAAACTGTTAGGCCCGGCCTCCCTTTCGCCTCGTGGGAGTTGGCACACGGGGCGAGGCGAGGGTGTGGATGTGCCTGGGGACGTGGCAAAGCCAGCGGGTGCAGTCAGGAGGCGCTACAGCTGCCCGCGGCTCCGAGGGCCGAAGAAAACGGGGTCCCCCTGGGCGAAGAAGCCCGCGCTGCTGCCCTTCGTTACCCAGCAGGGAAATGGACACAAGGGCCACCAGCTGTGAGCCTGCCCACCCCTCGGCACCCATCCAGGACGGGGCGGGATTGTGGGGGGGGGGGGATGAGAAACCGATGCAAGCAAACCCAGAACAAAATGCAAGAGGGAGAGGGGCCGAAATTGCATTTGTTTTGGATTTGCGCAAGGGAAGGGGCGGGGGGGGGAGAGAATGAAATGTTAAGTGAGCAATTTTTAGTCATGGGGTGGCAATGAGAGGCAAGAGATGGCACCAAAAATTAAATAAATAAACTGCACACAGGGTAATATTTTCAGAAGGGGGAAGAATGGTTCGTGACCACAGAAAAATGACTGACAACTTATAGGCCGCTTCTACCCCGTTGTCTTCTCCGGCATCTCCGTGGAGGGAGCTGCCCAATCCGAGAACAGGTGGCCAATTTGCCTCAAATCGGTCGGGGCAATCAATTCAAAGCCCCGTCCTCAGCCGTGGGCTAGAAAACGCCGCAGGCCTTTCCTTCGGGGCAGGGGGTCTGAGTTGGCAGCCCTGCCTCCGGGTCTCCCTGCCTTGACGGTTGAGCGGGCCTGAGCCTGCCAGTGTCCGGAGACCCATCCTGGGCCCGTGTGAAAACACGCTCCTTTCGCCCGAAAGGAGAAAAAAATACAACAGGGCTTTTCTGTAGATCAGTCAACAATCTGGGAGGGGGGGGGAGAGAAGGAAATTAAAAACCAAAAGGGCGACAGGATGGAAGCAGTGTGCCATGGGCACGACTGTCTGCGAGAAGGGAGTACAGTTTGTCATATTGCTTACAAGGTAGTATTTTATCCAGCCTCTTCCCGCCAAGGACCTGTAAGCCGGACTCTGTTCCAAAACCTTCCTCCGCTTCCAGGGGCCGAGGCAGGGGATGGGCACTGCTCGGCCGGGCTGTCAAGAGAACTGATTTAGAGAGACGCTCCTGAGGCAGGTCATCCTCTAGCCATCCATCCTTACTCTGCCCACAGCTAATAAAGTCTCCAAAACTGGCTCCCCGGAGATCATAACTGGGGTCACTGCGGGGGCTGGCTAAGGAAACCCCAGCCAAAAGGTCCCTCTCTACCTCAAAGCCAAAGCAGGCAGCTGGAACCCAAGTGCTGCCTGTCCCACAGCTGCTCAAGGGACAGGCGCAGGGGGCAGGGGGAGTGATGAGCAAGGGCAGAGGACGGATGGGATCACGACAGCTACCCATCGTTGTTTTTTTAAAAGAAAGCCTTATGGTCCCTTTCCCCCCCCCCAGCCTCATGGTGCAAAATGGCAAGGATCACCAGGACATCCAATCTGGGGCAGTGCGATGGCCACAAGGTCCTCTGGCAGCAGCAGACCACACCATTGGCCAAATCCCACAGGTGCTGAGCAAGAATTCGTAAAGGGGAAAAAGACGGAGGGGTGAGTGTGTGTCGCATTTACACTGCGGTGTTAACAACGGGATTGCACAAGAGGGAGCCCGGAGAAGAGGAGCAGAGCTCCAAGAAGCCCAGTCTTTCCCCGTTTCCCAAATGACAGTGAAGCAGGGAGTCCTCCTGACAGCAGCAGCCATGCCAGAGGGGAGGCGAGGAGAGGCTGGGCCGCCGTTGGACTGAAACGCTGGGAGAGGGGGCGACTTACCGGAGAGCGGGTCTGAGGCTGGGTGCTCATCGCCTGAGGGGCTTGGGGGTACACCAGCGTGGTGGGTGCGGCGTTCTGTCCGGCGGGGTACGGAGCCTGCCGCAGAGAAGAGAAAGCAACGTTGGCAAGGGATGGAGCTGGGATTTCCTTCCACCCCAACCCCACGAGGACCCAGACTGGCACGTAGCCACCTCCTGGACACTGGGCAGGTCTCCCGGGTTCCATCCGACTCCGGGCACGAGAGGACGGAGACTGTTCCATTGGAAGGCAGTAAAAGGAAGAGTTGAGAAGGTCCCCAAGCCTTTCAGCCCCTCAATTCCAGACAACCCACCCAACCCACCCGGGGCAGGCTGAGGTTCCTGAAAGCTGCTCTTCCCGCAGAGTCTTCCAGGCAAGCAGGGATCGCCCGCTGGACCTTGTCGTCCCTGGGCTGCCTTTCCTGCTTACCTCCCCATCTTGAGGGCGCTCTGACACCACATTCCATGTTAAAGAGGGGAGGAATCATAAGTGGGCAAGAGCAGAGCCCCCTCCCAAGCATCTCAGCAGACGAAGAGAACCGGGAGCCAACTCTTTCAAGAGCTGCTAGCTCAGGGGTCTTCCAACTCGGCCCTTTTATGAGACTTGTGGACTTCAACTCCCAGAATTCCTCAGCCGGGCACGCCGGCTGAGGCACTCTGGGAGCTGAAGTCCACAAGGGCCGAGTTGGAAGACCCCTGAGCTGGGTCGACGAGGGCGATAACAAAAATGCCTCCATGTTTTAACGTTGCGGAGACTCAACATCTTTGTCACGTGTGAGGCTGTGATTCAGCAGAGTCTCTGATGCCGGGCCATCCCGCGCGTGAAGCAAATTAACCATCGCTCTCGCGGCATCAGCATTCTTTGGTGACTGCCTGGTAAACCCAAATGCTCATCTAATCCCGCTCTGCCTTGACTATATCAACGCGCCGCAGTGTATCTCTCAGGCAGGAACCAATTTCGCGGTGCTGTCCTCTCCTCCTGGAAGCAGAAGCCAACTAGCTGTGCCACCAGGAGTGGGCAGGAGATCCTCAGCCAGACTAGGATGCCAACCAAAGGAGAGACCTTTGGTTGTTCGTTCCCAGAGCAGCAACCCTCAAATGTTGCGGCCCTTTGCCACGCTCCCCCACTTTTGACCGTCCTCGTTTGCAAAGCGCTCATCAAAACAATCTCAAGGGGAAAGTGTGATTCGGGCCCAGCCGCGTACCCAGTGACGTCTGCCTCTGGAGAGGACAGAAATTCAGGGCTGCATTTAAAAGAAAAATTAAAAAAAAAAAAAAAAGATTGGGGCACCTGAGTGTTAAAAGTCCAAGAAAGGAACCCCCCCCCCCATGTGCTTCAGGTTCCCAGGAATTTTCTCGTCACAAAAGCCCTCCTACGGCTCTCTCTAGTCTACCCTGCTGAAGATAGGGAAGAAAAAAAAAGAACTATTTTTTATCGGCTTCCCAAACTAGTTGATACCTACCCACTAGGCCTGCTGCGCAACAAGATCTGCTCCCCACCCTGCACTCATAGCTGGGCTGGAAATAAACAGCAGACGTGCTCTGTTGCATCACTCTGCATGTTTGTTTGTGTGTGTGTGCGTGCGTGCGTGCGTTTCAAAATGCTGAGTCACAGGCAGCTCTTCCATTTCCAATTCTCAACATCATCAGCGTAATGGAAAGGCCCACTCTGGAGTCCCAGAGGTTCTCTGGGCCTGTCAAGTGCCCCCCCAAGCTCACAATATTTGACTGACTCGCAAGCAGGCCCCCCACTGACTCATCCTCAGCTCAGGCCTGCCTGACCAGGTGCACAACGGGCTGGGCTGGACAGGTAATAATAATAATAATAATAAAGTTGGAAGGGACCTTGAAGATCATCTAGTCCAACCCCCTGCTCAGGCAGGAAACCCTATGCCATTTCAGACAATCTCTTCTTAAAAACTTCCAGCGTTGGAGCATTCACCGCTTCTGGAGGCAGGTTGTTCCACTGGTTAATTGTTCTCACTGTCAGGAAGTTTCTCCTCACTTCTAGGTTGCTTCTCTCCTGGATTAGTTTCCATCCGTTGCTTCTTGTCCTGCCTTCAGGCGCTTTGGAGAAGAGCTTGACTCCCTCTTCTTTGGGGCAGCCCCTGAGATACTGGGAGACTGGTATCCTGTCCCCCCCTCGTCCTTCTCTTCATTAAACTAGACATGCCCAATTCCAGCAACCGTTCCTTGTATGTTTTAGCCTCCGGTCTGTGTGCTTGTGAAGGCCGCATTCACACACCTTGGGATTGAATTCTGCTGTCAATGAGTGCCGGAAGTTCCCGGGGGATCACGGCTTGCTTCTTCCAGGAAGCCGGCTGTGACCCACGCCACTGAAACAGCTCAATTCACAAGGAAAGGTTTTCGCACAGCCGGGCCAAACTTGCTGCCAAAACAGCTCGTTCCAAAAGCATCCATCACCAATCGCTGGGATGATGCCAGGGCACTCAAAGCTCCCCGAAGCCTCTCCTTTCTCCACCAACGGCTATTTATGGGAAGGAAAGCCTTTCTCTCCATCTCTTTGAGGAGAAAAGCTGGAACAAATCTCAGCAAACGTTACTTTTCAGGCAATTCAAAGATTGTAAGAAGACCGCGGCCGATTGCTGGATGTGAACCTTTCACAAAGCCTGGGAAGCACAGAGGACTCGGCCTTCTTTGGAGGAGTCCCCCTTACGGGGAGACGGGGAAAATTGATCCCTTTTCAACTGTGTTATGAATGACACCAGCTTTCTCCTCCAACCCGGGTTTCTAAATTTAAGACGAGCATTTTGAAGAGGGAGAAGAGCACCACAGCTGGATTACGTTACGTAAATTGGCCTTTTGGAGCGGAGGTTCCTAAACTTTGGTCAGGACAGCTCTGAAAAATCTCCAGCCACTTGGGGAGAAGGGAGAGGAAGCAATAATAATAATAATAAATACATCTGGACTGGGCTTGTCTTAAGCCTAGCAGGCCAGCCATCCAAATGCGCGCTGGGCTTTGAGCCCACTTTTACCCATGGAAGCCCGCCGTGAGTCTACAACATTTTAGATTGAAAATGATTACAAGCAAACGATGGACTCCCTAGATCAGTGCTTCTCAACCTTTTTAATGCGGCGACCCCCAACCGGTCGTAAGTCGAGGACTACTCCACCGGTCGTAAGTCGAGGACTACTCAACGGGTGCAGCACCGTTTGCAGAAGGAGACTTTTGGCGGGCTCCGCAGGGCAGAGACAGCCTGGACAATTCCTATTGGCTTTGGAAAGCCAATAGAATTAGACTCTATTCAAGAGAGTCTATTCTATTGGCTTTCAAAAGCCAAGAGAATAAAAGGGAGTAGCACAGCTAAGGAAAAGGGGGGGAAAAATGGCGGACTGCGTTGTTTGGCGACTCCCGTGAAATGGTCGTTCGACCCCAAATGGAGTCGCGACCCACAGGTTGAGAACCACTGCCCTAGACTTATTCGTGGGGGGGGGAAGGCTGTACTTCCCCCCCTAACTCTGACTTAGAGGAATTAGTGATGCTTACAATCTCCTTTGTGAGGTAAACAGCGAGAAGGGCGCAGAGCCTGACACACGGGCAGCTGATGACGTGCCAGGTTTCTGCAAAAAGCTGGGCCACGGAAGATTTAGCAATGCACCTGCTGATCCTGTAAATCGGGGTGGGAGGTGGGCAACTTTTGTCCAGGAGCTGAAAATTCCCACCACGGGCCCCCTTCAGCGTTCCTGCCAGCTCCTGATCGGCAATAAAAAACTGCCAGACCGTCCCTCGCCAAATGACCAAAGCCTTCCTATGACTTTAGGCGAGCCACCGCAGACAGGAGGGAACTTTTTGTCGAAGGCAGCTTTGAAAAGGCAGCTGAAATCCAAACGCTCGAGACAGACCGTCATTTCCCAGGGTTTCTGGCTTTGGAAACTTAAAACTTAAAACAAGTAGGCGTCTTTCCCCCGTTGTTCCTGACCACCAAGAAAGCAGCTTTCCCTCTGCAAAAACAGGTTCGTGCCGCCAACTGGATTGCCAAGTGGGAAACCTGCTGTTATTTTTTGGAATGGCAGAAATGGGACGAAGCAGACCCAAGTTCTAGAGAAGGCAATTTTCCTCCGCCCCTTCTTCGGAGAGCTCCCCAAAAGGAGAGGAAAGCTGCAAAGGATGGGCACCTGGTATCCTCGGTCCTAGACAGCGCACAGAGACGAGGACACGTACCCCTGGAATCTTCCAGGCCATTTCTAAAACCAGGCTCTTTCTCCAGTCTTCCTAAGGGCAGTCTTTTGGGGGGCAGCAAATGACATTTGCGCCCTCAACTCCTCCCCCTGCTGGGAGAGGCCAGCAAAATGCTTCTTCACCTTCCTAACCCTTTGGAGACCTCAGAACTAAGGCTAGCAGGAGCAATGGAGAAGCCACCGGGCCTAACGGAGGCAGCCTGGACGGTTACCAAGGCCAGGAAATGCAACTGGACGCCCCCTTTTGCCGAGAAAGCACCCACCCCGGCTCGGAATTTCATAGGGGACCTCTGGACCTTTAGAGTCCCCGAGGCTGAGCAGCAACACAGCGCGAAATTCCCCGGAGGTGACCAGAGGCCTCCAGCACAAAAGGCAGACTTGTCCTCCAGGTCCAAGACGTTACACAGCCCCGCGTAAACTCTGCGCAGAGTCTCCCCCCCCCCCGCCCCGGCGTGTCTGCAAGGAGGGGCCCTGCGTGTGTCAACACGGCAAGCCGAGCCAGGCTGGTCCAGCGGGCACCGTTGGACTTTTTTCTTTTTTTTTCCTCTTGTGACTCACCATCCCACATCCCAGAATCCTTTGCACCAGTTCCCTTGGATCTTCAAAAAGACTGCTGGCTCTTGGGTGGGGTGGAAAGCTTCTGTCCCTCCTCCCGCCTGGCTGCTGGAGCGAGAGTGAAAGAGAGTGACAGAGTGTGAGAGAGAGAGAGAGGGAGGCAACAGGGGACAGAGAGAGAGAAAGAGAGAGAGAGAAAGAGAGAGAGCGCAAGGAGGAGGGCAGAAGGAAGACGGGCAACAGGGGCAGTGCATCCTCTCCCCTCCAATCGCTTTGCAGGATCTGGGGAGGGGGGGGGGCTGTGTGCCCTGGGGGAGGGGCTCTCCTCCTCCCTCTCACCAACCGCTAAGCACAAAGAGCAAATTCAGCTTTCCAGGAACAGTCATCCTCCTCTTCCTCTTCCTCAGCCTGGGAACGATCCCAGCACAGAGCTGGCGGCTTTCTAGTTAGCATGAACCCACAGCGGGGACTCCCCGTGGCTATTTCTCCGCAGCACTTTCCTTCAGACCCTGGGTGCCAGGCTCAAACCCCCCAATTATTGCCCTCTGGAGGAAGTTTGTCTCTAAACTGCTGGGGTGGGGGGAGGAAAGGGCCCTTTCCTAAAGCCCCCCCCACTGGCAGCCTCCACTTTTCTCCAAGAAGCCATCCGCCCGGATGGTGTGTGTATGTGTGTTTGTGTGTGTAAGGGGCAATTGAAGGTACATCCTTTGGATGGAGCATATAAATCCCCTCCAGAGAAACAGCAAGGGGGAAGAGACCCCCCCCGTCCGCCGACTGAGACAAGGGGTCTCAGAAACCCTTCCTGTCACCAACTCACAAAAGCCTCTGCAAGGCGAACGGGCGCAGCCCGGACTTTCACGCCAATAACAGCGCGTCCATTTCTCCGCTGCCTTTAGGGAAGTGACCCTAGACCAGGGGTTCTCAACCTTTTTAACGCCGCGACGCCCTCCCCAACCGGTCGTAAGTCGAGGACTACTCGACCGGTCGTTAAGTCGAGGACTACTCAACGGGTGCAGCACCATTTGCAGAAGGGGACTTTTGGCGGGCTCAGCAGGGCAGAGACAGCCTGGACAATTCCTATGGGCTTTGGAAAGCCAATAGAATTACTCTATTCAAGAGAGTCTATTCTATTGGCTTTCCAAAGCCAGTAGAATAAAAGGGAGGAGCACAGCTAAGGAAAAGGGGAAAAAAATGGCGGACTGCGTTGTTTGGCGACCCCCGTGAAATGGTCGTTCGACCCCAAATGGGGTCCCGACCCACAGGTTGAGAACCACTGCCCTAGAAGGAAGCAATGGGACCCCCATATCCCACTCTTGAGCCGACCCCACAACTGCAGGGCAAGCAGCGACTCGCAAAGGGCTGCCTGACACAGGGAGGGAAGGAGGGGGGGGGGAAGGAGAGAGAGAAAGGCAAGATTAACCATTATTTGGACCAAGGAACAAGAAGCGCCCCGTACTGACAACCCAGCGACGGACAGTTGTGCAGGCCTGCGTTTAGGGCGAGGGGCTGCCCCTAGTCTCAAATTAAAATCCAACTCAGGCCAGGAGCCAAGCAAATGGACCCCTTTTCCAAAGGTCGGGCCAGCCACTTAGTTATTAGAAATGAGAAGTGAAATTAAGGGGAATGGCCCCCCAGAAAGCAGCTTCGGGCGCTCAAGAGGCTTGTGCAATTCCCCCCCCCAGGAGCTACATGTGGGTAAGATTGGGGGGGGGGCTAGCTTTTCTTCGGGGAGCCCAGAAGCGGCCCCAAGAGCCGGGTGGGCACAAATGCAGCCAGGGAGAAGGACTCTATTGGACCCAGTGGCTTTGCGGTTCGCTTAAGAGCAGTGGTTCTCAACCTTTTTAATGCTCTGACCCCCCAACCGGTCGTAAGTCGAGGACTACTCAACGGGTGCAGCACCGTTTGCAGACTGGGACTTTTGGCGGGCTCAGCAGGGCAGAGGCAGCCTGGGCAATTCCTATGGGCTTTGGAAAGCCAATAGAATTAGACTCTGTTCAAGAGAGTCTATTCTATTGGCTTTCAAAAGCCAATAGAATAAAAGGGAGTAGCACAGCTAAGGAAAAGAGGGGGGGGGGAAATGGCGGACTGCGTTGTTTGGTGACCCCCGTGAAATGGTCGTTCGACCCCAAATGGGGCCCCAATCCACAGGTTGAGAACCGCTGCTTAAGAGGCACGAGGCTAAAAACTGCCTCCTTCTGTCTTTGCATCTGTCAGTCTGTCCTAGTGGCCCGCCAGGCCCACCGCTGCGGGGTTCAGAGGTTAAACACCCCCCCCAGAAAAAGGCACCCCCACGTGAGCAATGGCCACAGTGGGAGCCAAAAGCCTTCTCGGGCCTGTCTGACGTCAATTCAATCTTCCGGTCTCGTCTCCCCAAAAGGGGCAAAAACCCCAGCTGGAGCCGCTAAACCCATCCAAGGGGGGAATGTGTTCGAAACGAGCCATCCTGAACCCGCAGCTACTCCTCCGTGCTGCCTCCAGCTTCGTTTCACCCTAAGCTGCCCGCGTGGCTACTAGCTCCTTTTCAAGGCGCTACCATCTCGAATCGCCCCTGCATCCCTTTCCTCTCTCTTTCAGCACCTTCGCTTGCCTTGGGGGGGGGGGGAGACGGCTTCTGACAGGAGAAGAAAGTTACGGGCGTGCAGAGAGGGGGAATATTCAAACCATCATCTGTTAGCCGAAAGGAGACTTCGAAGAAGCAAGCTTGGGGAGGGCGGTGAGTGTGAAATGCTCCCTAAGCAATCCAGCCGTGCTGGGGGGGGGGCTCCTCTTCTGGAGCCCGACCCTGGCCATTTAAGTGGAGCAGCACGCTGCCAGTGGAGGCATCGCTCTGGTCCCCCCCCCTCCCGTGCCCAGCTTGACATCCCCCTCCCCACACACATTTTGGAGAGGTAATCTCAGATCCCTGAACTTACCTGGGTGAGACCAGGGGAAGAAGCATGCCCGGGGGGCGTGGCGGCAAGGGCGGGATGCCCCTTGCTTATTTCATGAGCAGAGTAAGGGGAGGGGGCAGGAGGGCCTGGCTGCCTTGCCACCTGCGTAACCTGCGAGGAGATAAGCTGTTAGTGGAACCGAAGAGGAGTAAAACAAAAGTAAGCAGTAAGTAGACTCATCAGAGCAGCTATAAACCGCCCACTTGATTTATGTTACTGGATCTGACTCCAAAGAGGCCCTGGGGCTCCCGGGATCCTGTGGAGCCGCATCCTTAATCCACCCCCTAATTTCTCCTGTAGATAGAAAAGAGCTTGGTGGGAAAACTCCCAGCTCCTTTGAATGGCACTGGGTATTTTATTGTATTTTTCCACAAAGGAAGAGAGCCACTGGCCACTGCTGGAGACGGAGGCCAGCCCACTCTCGGAAGCCTGGCTAAACTGAGATGATCCATGATCAAAACCAAGGCTTAAGATAAAAGACTGGGTCATCATCCCGACTGCTGTCTAATTAACATCTCTGCTTCAAAGGAAACGAGCAAAGTGGGCTCTAAAGAGGACAAGAGAGCGCCAGATTGCCATCTACTTTGATCAACCCTTAGGTGGGAGAAAGCGGCTCGGTCGGTGTGTGTGTGTGTGTGTGTGTGTGTGTGTGTGTGTGTGTGTGTGTGTGTGTCCTTCTTTTGGCAGCCTGGGGATTTAGCTCAAAGGAGGGAGCCACACCATAGCCCATCTTCCTCAGCAGCCCTGGTCTCTGGCTCCATCCTTCAAGCTATCCCAGCGGGAGAGGCAAGGCAACCCCCGGCAGTGTCAAGTTTGTACCACGTGTGAACGGGGAAAGATGCTCACCCACATTTTGTGGGTCGTTCTCTTTTCATTTCCATGTGACACCTTCCTCCAACTGAATGCAGCCCGAGGCTGCCTTCCGCTCTCCAATTTTATCAACAACGATCAATTACTTTCTATCTACAAGCCAGGGCTTTTTAACGTTGCTATTATATTTAATTCACTTTTTCCAGTGAAGGACTTCCTCCATTTGGGAAATGCTGGCTATTACCAAAAAACAAAAACAAAAAACCAACCAGTGAGTACTACCTACAAGATAATCCCACCCTTTTCTGCAAATAAATAGGAAAGGGACCCCGAGGTGAGCTTTCAAACAACTACGCTGGTCTCTGGGCGTGAAGTGGTGAGGAAAGCCGTGCTGATTTTTTAAAGATCCAGGATGCCCACTTCCCCATTAGCAGTTTCACTTAATCCGCTCTAAGGAAAGTATTAATTGGGGGGAAAAATGGTTGGCAATTATGCTTACTCCCACCCAGCTAGTTTTCTTGCCTTGATGCTGATATATTTCTTAAAAATGCCGCCGGGTCAGCCACGGCTCATAGCAAAATGGATTGCCCTCCTGACCCACATCTCTCACGGAAAAGGGACCGTGGCTGGAACAGCCTTCCTTCCTAATTCTTTTCCGGGTGGGAATGGACTCTTCCTGCAAGGAGGAACCCCGGGATGACTGGAGGCCTCTCCCCAGCGCTTGGAGATCTGCCCCAATAGGACCCTGGGTTCAAGAGGATGATGGGAATTCTTCCTCCTCTGGCTCTTCCCACCAATCCTCTTCCAAAACTCAAACCTGGACTGAGCTCAAAAGACTGTTATCTTTTGCGCAGCTCATTCCCATTCGATCTAAAGGGATCCAGTTCTGAGGCACATCGCGACAAGAGAGGGATCAGAAAGCAGGTGGTCTGGACCGGGCCCTGCTCTCCAAAGGTTCGAGGGCCAGAGTATTTCAAAGCACATCATCCATCGACAAAGAGTCCAATTATGAATTGCTTTCCTATCTTTTTTATCGTTTATCAACGTCTGCAAACATTGTTCAGATTCTAGAGCTTTACGTCAAGGCAGTGGTTCTCAACCTTTTTCATGCCGCGACCCCCCCCCAACCGGTCGTTAAGTCGAGGACTACTCAACTGGTGCAGCACCGTTTGCAGAAGGGGACTTTTGGTGGGCTCAGCAGGGCAGAGACAGCCTGGACAATTCCTATTGGCTTTTGAAAGCCAATAGAATTAGGCTCTATTCAAGAGAGTCTATTCTATTGGCTTTCAAAAGCCAATAGAATAAAAGGGAGCAGCACAGCTGAGGAAAAGGGGGGAAAAAATGGCGGACTGCGTTGTTTGGCGACCCCCATGAAATGGTTGTTCGACCCCAAATGGGGTCCCGACCCACAGGCTGAGAACCACTGCGTCAGGGGAACCCTGCACGCACCCAGGCCTATTCCTAAACCTGCCAAGTGTCAAGAACTGCAGTGGTTACGCCAAGCATTCCTCATTCTCTGCAAAAGGAAGGTGACACTCCCCTCGGTCATCAGAGCATCCCCCACCCACTCACCCCCCCCCAAAAAAAACTCTTGGCAAAAGCAGCTCATGCCGTTTTCTCCTTACCGTGCTGTACACAGCCGAGACGGTGGGAGTGAAGATCCGATCCTCCAGGGGCTGCTGGACAGGACCCCGGGGGATTCTGCAAGACAACAAGTTAAGGAAAAAAGACAAAGAAGAAGAAAAAAAAAACCCACAAAACTGAAAGAAAAATATGTTTTGTACAAACGACCTTACGTCTGCCTCTTAAATCGGGAGAAGCCGAGGCCACCAACTGTTACACTCACACAGGAGCCAGAAAAAAGGTTAGTGCAGACTGAGTTCTCCTGCTTATGAAGTCGATGGGATATGAGGAAGTCACAACGGACGACGGGGAAGATGAAAACCAACCGTGTATTTTTTTGTGAGGCAACACAGCCAGCCTCCTTTTCAGCGGCCGGAGGACACGTTTGGCCAAGGGCACAGAAACGGGAGTTTCTGGTGCTTTCCACGAACTGTCCCTTTTTGTCTTCCTTAACAGTTCTGGGAACCAGAATTACCTTAATAAGCTGACAAAGGCGCCATTAAATCCGCTGCCCCAGATAAACAATGGAAAGCGCCGTTACAATCCAGAATATGCCCTCTGAACTGCAGGTAAATGCCCCAGAAAAATATCCCTAGTTGTGGTTTCGGGAAGGAATCAACGCGCAGATTCTAGGGAACGTTCTCCGCTGCTTGTAAGATACTGCTCTGCTTTTTAAAAGATGCCGGGGACTCACTAGCCAGGGCTTCAGAGGAGATTCTGCAGGACTTTCCCCACCCACTGAGACCGACACAGGAAACTACAGCAGGGGGTCTTCAAACTTGGCCCTTTTATGACTTGTGGACTTCAGCTCCCAGAATTCCCCCAGCCAGTGGCCGTGCTTGTGGCTACCACTGCTAGGGAGTCTGGGAACTGAAGTCCACACCTCTGGATGGTAGGGAGTTTAAAGACCCTTGGTTTGGGGCAGGGGTCTTCAAATGTGGCCCTTTTATGACTTGTGGACTTCAGCTCCCAGAATTCACGTGCCTGGCTGAGGAATTCTGGGAGCTGAAGTCCACAAGTCATAAAAGGGCCACGTTTGAAGACCCCCTGGGCTACAGCAACAGAGAAGGCTTTGATGGGTCGCTGGCTAAGCAGCACCTGGTCAGCCAGGTGACAACCCTACATGAGGAATAAACACTCATTCTTTTCAAAAGCACCAAGGTTCTCTGTCCTAGTATCAAAGCCCTCCTTTCAGCTAACGGATTTGGGAGAAACTTCAAAGCTAAAAGTATAACCGACACCAAGGGGAAGACAAATGTTCTCCACAGCTAACCCCTGACAGCTCCGTCTCAGGAAAGATGGGCACGGACACCACAAAATTAACACAACAACACACCTTGCAGCATTCTCTGTCCCCACAGCCCCTCAAGTGGTGGGGATTAAAATCCTTCGCTTTCCAAAACTACGGAATACGCACAACGGTCGGCTTAGTGCCCGTTTGAAGTTACGACGGCGTTGGGAGAAAAAAGTGACTTAGGGCCCTTTTTTCACACTTACGACCGTGGCATCATCTCCCACGATCACGTCCTCAAAATTCAAACGCTTGGCAAGGGCAACTGGTTCATATTTACGACCACTGCTGTGTCCCAGGATCGTGGGATTCCCCCTTTGCACCCTTCTGACCAGCAAAGTCCATAGGAAATCTGGATTCCCTTAGCGACAGCGTTACTAATTTAACAATCGCAGTGATTCAGCTGACAAACGTGGCAAGGAAACGTCATAAAATGGAGCAAAACTCTCTCAACAAACTTCTCACTTAGCAGAAGTTGTGAAGCTCAATTGTGGTTGTAAGTTGAGGACTACCCAACAAAAATGCGTATAGGCCATGGTTTTCCCAGTTGCAATGTAGGGCTGTGAAAGTTGGACTGTAAGAAAGGCTGAGCGGCAAAGAATGGAGGCCTTTGAATTCTGGTGCTGGAGAAGACTCCTGCAAATCCCCTGGACTGCAAGGCGATCCAACTGGTCAGTCCTGGAGGAGATCAACCCCGACTGCTCTTTAGAAGGTCAGATCATGAAGCTGAAACTCAAATACTTTGGCCACCTAATGAGAAGGAAGGACTCACTGGAGAAGAGCCTGATGCTGGGAAAGATGGAGGGCAAGAGAAGAAGGGGACGACAGAGAAGGAGGTGGCTGGATGGAGTCCCTGAAGCAGGAGGCGTGAGCTTAAATGGACTCCAGAAGATGGTAGAAGACAGGAAGGCCTGGAGGAACCTTGTCCATGTGGTTGCGATGGGTCGGACATCACTTCGCAACTAACAACAACCCGTATACAAAAGCTTCTTAAAGCTCCATGTCAATCAGGCCTATCTACAAATCTCCCTTGCGGTACCGCCACAGGCCAACTTGGATAAATAAACTAAGTTTCTAAGATCCAGATGGATCTTTCCAAAGAGGGTGATTTCCACCAGGCCACCCCAGAAAGAGTCCAAGCATCAGCCAAGGCAAATTTTCTCGGATTTTGCTAGCACTCGGTTCTTTTATCAGTCTCACAGCCTTCCCAAGAAGATCCTGCGCAGGGACAGCTGCTCTTAACACAACGGAGAGGGCAATGTCGCAATCTGAGGCATGCAATACCTCCCAGCAGGCAGAGAAACGCTCTTTTGCTTCTCCAATTTATAGGCCTTTTAAGTGCTAAGAAAAAAGAACGAACCAGGTTTTCGATGGGCATTATTAATACCCACGTTTGAGATATCAACAGAGGTAGGAGAAAGACGGCAAAAACCTTGACAAACTCACCTCACACACATTGCCTCACAGAGAAGTTGGGCGTCTGTGTCGAAAAAGCACTTCCTGAAGAGCCCACGATCTCAGCCTCAGCTGCCCAGCTTCCCTACGTCAAGCTGAGGTCCGTTTCCTCCAAATAATCCCGCAGGATTTTCAGCCGGTTCAGGAAACCCCATCGTGAGCCTGCAAGTCCTTGACTAAAACCGCAGTTCCGACTTTTGAAGGGAAACCTGAGCTAACAAACAGGCGCAGGTCTTAAAAATAAAAAAAGAGCCCGTCATGTGACATGTCATATCACGGAAAGGGGCCGGTGACACAGCAAAACACGTGTGGCTCTGCAATTTGAAACTCGAGACACACGACACTAATGCGTAAGGTTCATGAGCTCAGAAAACGGAGTAAACAAAAGGGACACTTTTTTTTCTCTGGAACCTCTTTTTATATCCTTCCTCGGCTTCCGGCAACGCACGACAAAACTTCGGCGGCTTAAGTGAGCCATTTGTTAAGGGAGGTCTGCCCCATTTTACCACCTTCCTTGCCAGCTGACTCATATTTACGACGGTCGCAGTGTCCAAGGATCACGTGATCCCATTTGCAACCTCCTGACAAGCGAAGTCGGTTACTGGTTTAAGAACACGGTTGTTAACCAAAACGGGCTTCCCTGGCGAGTTTGCTTGTCCCAAAACGGGGTCACGTGACTCCGGGACGCTGCGACCGTCGTAAATGTGAGTCAGTTGCCAAGCATCCGAATGTAGATCACGTGATCGTGGGGATGCTGGAAAGGCTGTTAAGTGTGAAAAAGGGTCCTAAGTCCCTTTTTTTCAGTGCCGTTGTAACTTCGAAACGGCCGCCGTAAGTGTGAAAAAGGGTCCTAAGTCCCTTTTTTTCACTGCTGTTGTAACTTCAAAGCGGCCACTAAGCGAGGACTATCTGTTTTCCCCGTTTCCTCCTTGAGAAGCAATCCTGCCATTTGTTGTCCGGCTTCCTCATTTGCCACTTAAGAGCGACATCTATTCGGCAAAGCCCTCCTCCCCGGGGATACTAACCAACGTTCGCTAAGGCGACCGTCCAAACACTGGCAGGAAGGGCCAGGATAACATGTGCTGTCACATGCTAACATGTGCTCTGAGGCAAGGGGACAAAGCTCGCACCTTGGGCCGATTTAAAATAAATAAATAAATGAAGTTAAACTCTCAGGATCTATTTCTACAAGCCAGAGGGAGCTGAATTGTGTTTAGCTAATGACATCCTACGAGTGAACGTAGAGAGAGATGGGAGGGAATAAATCCATCCTGCTCTCTCTAAAGTAAAAGAAAGAAAGAAAGAAAGAAAGAAAGAAAGAAAGAAAGAAAGAAAGAAAGAAAGAAAGGAAGGAAGGAAGGAAGGAAGGAAGGAAGGAAGGAAGGAAGGAAGGAAGGAAGGAAGGAAGGACACCAGATTAACACTGCTATCATGTCCCCCCTTGTCCTTCTCTTCATTAAACTAGAATTGGGGATGTCTAGTTTAATGAAGAGAAGGACTAGGGGTGACATGATAGCAGTGTTCCAATATTTCAGGGGCTGCCCCAAAGAAGAGGGAGTCAAGCTATTCTCCAAAGCACCTGAAGGCAGGACAAGAAGCAACGGGTGGAAACTAATCAAGGAGAGAAGCAACCTAGAAATAAGGAGAAATTTCCTGATAGTTAGAACAATTAACCAGGGGAACAACCTGCCTCCAGAAGCGGTGGATGCTCCAACACTGGAAGCTTTTAAGAAAAGACTGGCGAGCCATTTGTCTGAAATGGTATAGGGTTTCCTGCCTAAGCAGGGGGTTGGACTAGATGACCTCCAAGGTCCCTTCCAACTATTATTATCATTATTATTATTATTATGCTGTTGATAGTGATTTAGTCCTAGGAAACCGTCCAACAACACATCTCCAATTACAGGTAATCCTCAATTTACAAGAGTTTACTTAGTGACTGTTCGAAGTTACGGGGGCACTGGAGAAAGTGATTTAAGACCCTTTTTCACATGTATGAAAGTGATTTAAGACCCTTTTTCACATGTACGACCATTGAAGCATCCCCACGGTCACGTGATCAGGATTCGGACGCTCGGCAACTGACTCATATTTATGACGGTTGCAGTGTCCGGGATCTTGTAACCCCTTTTTCACAACCTTCTGGCAAGCTTAGCCAGATTCACTTCCCAACCGTATTTACTAACTTAAAACAACCATCGTTTCACTTAACAACTGAGGCAAGAAAGGCAAAATTCACCTAACAAATGTTTCGCTTAGCAACAAAACTTTGGCCTCCATTGTGGGTGGAAGCCGAGGACGACCTGTAACTTTTTGGGAAGGAAAAAAAAAACAGTTTTGGAGAGAAAAAACTGCTGGTCAAACAGCTCTGGTTGAGAAAGGCTTTCGTGATTTCTACCTCCGTTTTCTTGTTTTTTCTCCCCTTTCCTTTGCTACTAAACCTGGACAACTGCTCCTTTCCAAATCCTAAGCCTTCATCTGCATCCGTCACCTGCCAGCACCCTCCACCTCCTCGGAAGCCTTTGCAACCCGTCACAACACCTGGGACACCTGAGCCATCACCCTGCAGGTGGAAAGCAACGATTCAGCTCATCCCACAAGCCGGGAGAGCAGCTCTGCTCAGCCCCTTGGTCCACACCGGAGAATCCACGCTACGCTTACCGTCCAAGTGGCCTACAGACTAGGGGCAGACAGGCATCCCGTGGTCACAGCCAGGAGCCCGCACGGTGGAGGAGTCCCGTCACCTCGCACTCCGAGAGGTGGCTTTGCTTTCATATCCGGAAAAAGCAGCTTCGAAGGTGCCAGGATGAGGGCCACGACCTCAAGAACTGCCCTCTCCAGAATGTCTCCGTCCCTTGTCTATCTTTCCTCGGCCCAGCTCGGCCCCAGACGAGGCACGTAGCCCAGAGTTTGGACAGCAGCAAGCAGCACTTTGGACAGCACTAAATGTCTGGCCAGACTTGAGTTGCATTCAGATTTGCTTATTGATTAGGCATCCGGTCGTTGATTTATTGCTTCAAGGACCGTTGACTTTCTTGGTAATCTACGATTTAAGACTTTTTAAGCATTTTTGGGGTGAAGTGTTCCAGGTCCCTCTAGGAAGAAAGGAGGGAACTGTAACGAGAACAGTTTAACAATAGGAATTCAACAGATGGATGAGGCCATCAGCTTTGTCCTTGCTTGCACTTTATCCTTGCTTGCACACCAGGAGCTCGTCACTCGGAAACCAGGGAGAGAGAATTTAAAAAGAGGGTAAACTGCTCACACCAATACACAGCGAGGGGTCCCTGGTATTCTCTGAGCTTGCTTGTTTTCTTGCAGATGTTCCATTAACGTCCGCAAGGGTTAGGGCGAACGCCTGCAAGGAAACACGCAAGCTCAGAGAGCAGCAAGGACCCCTCATTTCAATTCTGGGAGCTGAAGTCCACAAGTCATAAAAGGGTCAGGTTTGAAGACCCCCTGGCCTACAGCAACACAGAAGGCTTTGATGGGTCGCTGGCTAAGCAGCACCTGGTCAGCCAGGTGACAATCCTGGACTACAAATGTGATATCAATACGCAGCGCAAGTATTCCACGGGAAATTAACCCAGCCGCACCCCAATCCAGGACTGTTTGAAGGCCAGCAGTGGACTGCTTTCCGTCCAGACGCCGTTCCAGGAGAGCTTCTTCAGGAGATGACCCCACCCAAACGACCTGCTTCCTTAAATTCAGAGAGAAACGGCCTCTACGCTACCATGAGCTCCTGGAACACCAGCCCCGCCGAATCCAGCATCTTTGAAGTGTGCTGGAATACAACTATGACAAGTGGGAGATGATGGGAACCATTGACCGGGATAGAAAAGATTGGGTGTTGCCTTGACGTGGCTGCTCCCGAAGGAGAAAGGCCAAACTGCCCGAGATAGATAAAGGAGGCTGCTGGAGCCACTGAACACCCCCTTGGCAGACCTTCTCCAACCGGTCACTTGAAGCCACGGCCTTCCCAATCTCCCTGAGGATTGGGGCAGAACTTTCCCTCCAGCCAGGGAACCTTTCTTCCCAAGAGCCCCTGGGACTGCTTGAGAAGGAACAATCGGGCTAGGAACTGGGAAGAGAATCTGGGACCATTAACAAAAGACCCGGTCTGAAAGAGTTCTTTGTTTCTCCGGCCACTGCCAGCTTTCTGAATGGCGGAGCGGAGCCAAAAGGAACTGAGCAGGAGGAGGAGGAGAAGAAAGGGATCAACTGGTGGCCCTTTAGGGGACGTCTCCTTGGCTGCCAAGCACCAAGGCAGGAAGAGGCCTCTGCAGAAGCCACACACACTGCCCACCCCAGCGCCAGAGACACAGCCATTGTCTATCTGCAAGCCCGGCTGAAAGGAACGTGCCCTGCTCCGGCACCACCGGGGGGAAACGTGCGGAAGGCAGCATCTCAGCCACAAAGCGCCAGATACGGCAAGCAGCTGGCCAGAACCCCAGCACTCCCGGGCGAAGGAATCTTGCCTAACGCCTTGGGCCAGCTTTCATTCCGGCTTTTTCTGACTGACAATGAAAGACGCTGCCTGGGCCACATCGGGCAAGCGGTGCCCTTTTAATGAAGAGTCAGCCTCATTCCGCCACCCGGCTCACGCCGACCCCGGGAGACTCAAACAGCCAGCAAATGTCACTTCGTCCGTCTGCAACTCTCCTTTGCGGCACCAAGGAATTAATTCCAGGGAAATGCAAAAGGTCGCACGGAAGCCCATTCTCACACGCTATCAACATCTGTGCCCCCAGGGAACCCTTTCCTGCAATCGCACGAGGGCACTTAAAAAAATTCTCTACCCAGTGAAAAGTGACTTCACAGAATACCACTCGCTGTTAAGGAACGGCAAAATAAAAAATAAAAAAACCTACTGTAAACAAATATATGTGTTGGATTATACTCCCGAAAAATCTAATTCAGTGGTTCTCAACCTTTTTAATGCCGCGACCCCCCCCCCAACCGGTCGTAAGTCAAGGACTACTCAACGGGTGCAGCACCGTTTGCAGAAGGGGACTTTTGGTGGGCTCAGCAGGGCAGAGACAGCCTGGACAATTCCTACTGGCTTTTGAAAGCCAATAGAATTAGACTCTATTCAAGAGAACCTATTCTATTGGCTTTCAAAAGCCAATAGAATAAAAGGGAGTAGCAAGGAAAAGGGGGAAAAAAATGCATTGTTTGGCAACCCCTGTGAAATGGTCATTCGACCCCAAATGGGGTCCCGACCCACAGGTTGAGAACCGCTGATCTAATTTGATCATCAGCAGGAGCTTTGTAAGAGGTTTTCATTTCTGGCCTGGTTTTGAAACCATTGAAAAATGAAGCCCAGGTAGTTCATTATGCGGCTTGACCTCCAGAAATAAACCTTGACACAAGTTAATTCTGCAAAATTAAGCCAGAGATTTAAAAAGCAAAACCAAGAACGTTCGTCAAA